AATTTCTTTTACAATATAAATCAAATGAGCACACTATACAAATCTATATATACACAATCAGTATAGTGAATTATTTAAGTTTTGGACAATTGCAAAACTTGCTATCATAACATAATTGATTAGGAACACAAAAGTGTGAAATTTTTTTACAAGTATATTACATTTAGTCTATCTTTATTCTAATATAAATAATTTGCAATCTAGATATAAATTAGAAAAATCCAAGATTCAATTAATTCAATCTCAAGATGAGGAATTAATCTTTTACATTTATTGGATGATACTCAACTATGAATATTGGACATAAATCAAAACAAAAATTTTGAATTTTTATGTATGTCATGGTTGAAGAACAATACAACTCATCAAAAAATGACTTATCTTTCTAAGCATGTTATACAAATAATGCTCTCGTTTGAAAGTGACACAACACAAAAATTCATCTTATCATATTGAAAGATGCTGAGAATTTTAAGTGTGGAGCACTTTGAAACTCAAAATGCTCCAATTCCAATATGTCTTTACAAATATCTAGATATATCATCTTACATTTACAATTTATCCAAGGATATCATACCCACCATTAAACCAAGAGAAATGCCACATGGCCAGTAAGCATCAACATTTTTGAAATAACACATAAGTCATGACTCACTTCCAAAAAATTGCTTCTTTGTTGATTAGCAACAAAGTGATGCAAAGTTGGTGTATGTGCACATGGTAATGTAACCTATAGGCAAATATCATATTTTAGTGAGCCTTGATTGGAAAGTTTAAACTGTGAAGTAAGACTCTCTAAGCTCCTGGAAGTTGTTTGCTTCACACAAATCTCTCCATGAGTTCACGGAGAGAACTAATTAATTAAGAATTTAACTAACCAAGCTGTTTGACTTTCTTTGAGAGGTCTTCCCATCATAATTTTTTGTTGCTCTACATTTCACTTCTCACTAATGTCGGTGTCTACTACACTCTCTAACCGGCTCGTGCCACTTTCCTCAGACTTACCTCGCGAGTTGTTGTTGAAGTCTCAGGAAGGTGTTTATATTGTATATGTATATATTGTGTTTATAATCATATACTGTCGATCAAGACGCGATTTCTTTGTGTTTCAAACAACCGAAAAGTTACAAAATATGTACTAAAAAGACGAATTTGTTGCGAGTATAACGATAAACTGAGGATAGATTTCGAGCTCTCCCAATGTGATACTGTACTCCAATTGGGAGGTCAGTTCTCCGCAGATTATGTGACGCCACTCGGAGGATCAGCTCGTGTCACATCTGCAATCTTCATCTGGACGCCAGAGTATGCGGGATTTTGGAAATGAAGTCCTGGAATTCGTTATTGTTGTCCAATCCCCAGGCGAGTAGACTAACACAACACTTGAGTGTCCTTTCGGTGGTTGAGCTCGGCGAATTCGCTGCTTGAATCCTTGGAGGGGGTCACTTTGCTCCAAATCTAGGCTCTAGACTGGAGGATCGAGAAACTGTAAAATCCAGGTCCCATGTGCGAGTTGGAAGTACTGTTACTTTCTCTTTCGCGTGAAGAATTTGAGGATGCACGTGTGCTGGAAAGGTTCTCGGTACTCCAGACTGCAGATATGGACGTAAGGATACCCCTGGTTCCTTGGAGGCTCTTGGCCACATCAAAATTCAGTACGTGGCAGATTTTGTCCGCGTCTGCTCGTTGGCAGCCAGGGCTTGGTGCTGCCGAGCAGTGCAATCAATTTTGAAACTATCGTCTCTTCTCGATCGAGGGACGCTCTCGCCTTTCCTAGAGCGACAGCGTCGATTGTCTCCTCTATCTTTCTCATCATCTGAGCGGAAAAAAAGCCTAAGGTCAAAAAGAACACTGACTGACTCACTACTGGACTGTCAGACCGTACTTACTCTCTTCGAGTGTGTCGTCCGTTCCTTGGGATGCGTTTGCCAATCTAATTTTCCTGTTTTCGGTCAATAAATCAGTTGAACTAAAGTGTGCGTGATTTGAGCGATCCTATCAAAATGCCCTCAAGCAGCAGCTGCTGAAGCCTGAACCCTCCTCCTGATTGAACACTTGCAGATTTAGATGATTGCTGAAGAATTTCATAGAGGACGGAAGGAAAGACAAGTACATGCGGAGGCGGCTCCGCAGTCAGTTAAAAAGATCTTTATGATCCAAAAGCTTTCTTTAAAAGCCATCACCAGCCATCTCTCCCAACTCCAGCATGTTTTGCATCCCGTGGTGTGTGCCTTTGACCAATTCTTCTTGCGATAGACTCCATGGAGCAGACAAGCCCTTCACATCATCCCAATATTTTATCATCTATCGATTTCGACCAGCAAATTTAACGCGCTTGAGGCCATTACATCCCAAGAACTACATCGGATTGACATATAAAAAAAAACCAGCACTTGTGTTTCCTGTTGTGTAGACCAAGAGTTCATATCTTCACCGACCTTCTACTTAAGTCCATCCCGGAATGGAACGAAGATTTTACATACTCGCATCGGAGTTTATGCACGTATAGATCAGCAGACTGCCACCAGTTCGCCATATTCTCCACTTTCTCCTTGCTTCCGGGTAGGTTCAAGTCATTAAGTAGATGGACTTCTTTATGTGTTTTACTTTTATTCCTTTTGAAGCTTGATTAGGACACATCTTGGGATTGACGTAGCAATGGCTCTTTGAATTTTGAGTTTCGAATTTGAACTAGAGACGGTGCGCGTCTTGTTCAAATTGCGCGTGAGAGACGGTGCGCGTCTTGTCTTGCGCGTCGAGATTCAAATTGTGAGACCCGTTGTCGATTGCGGACCTCCAAAGCATGAACAGACGTGGAATGGACTTCCCCATGGCCAGATGGATTTGGAAGTTCTTGACCAGAACAATGGAGAAAGTGTCGATCTTATATGCAACCCCCAACCCACAGACTCCAATTCTTGGAGCATCATCGTCGCATTGCCCGTGTTCCTCCTCCAGTCAAGGTCCTCCTCTGTCTCAGGATTTACTCCCGCTCTGTCCTCCTGTGGACGTTCTGTTCGATCGAGGGAGGCTCGCTTCTCCTGGAGCGACAGCGTCGATGGTCTCCATCCAGACTTCGCATCGGAAGCCGGTGTTTGGACGAGACTCCCTGGGGACAGCTCAGAAAATTTTCTTGATTTTTGTATGAGGACCAAGGGCAGGCACCTCAGGTCGTGAGCAAATCGAAGTACGACTCACATCCGTGCTCAGATTGGGTCTGCAGAAGCTACGACAGCAGAGCATGAATCGCAGATGCTCTACATTTTAGGGGGCATCTCTGAGAGCATATACTTGCTGAATGTGCTCGTGACGCATGCTGGCAAGCAAGCAATGGTGACGACGGCCCAAGTCAACACAACAACGAAGGTACTGTGGACCTCCTTTTCCTTAATCCCCTGGGCTCACAGCTCTCGTACTCCATCGCTATTCTCTTTGTACTGGGTTATTATATGTCCTCAGTACTGCTGAAGTAGGTTACTTGTAATTCACTAGACATCGACGAGATCGCAGTCTAATGCGGAGATGTCACTTTCATAACTGAAAGTGACATCTCCGCAAACTCGGAACGAACCAGGGAACAAAGTGCAGCGCCGCAAATTCATGCCCGACAGTGCCAAATTGAATGAAATTGAATACTAGTATTCCGTGAAATTACACGATCTGCCTGTCGACCATACCCCATCCAGCGTGGTAATCTCTGTTCACCTCAGGGACTTTGCCAGGGGAACTGCGGTGACTTCTGTATGTCGAATGCACGTGTCCTGCACGGACGCACTCGTGAAAGACTTTCAGCGAAAGTGGTTCGAATAAAGAGCAGATTTATATCCGGAGGTGAGTCGAGGTGAGGATTTCCGGGGTTTGACCCGAGACAAAGTCACTGTAACTCGAACTTCAGTGCCATGATCTGCGTCTTGTCTCGTGTCCGCAGTGGTGGTGTACACACAGTGGATGAGAATTTCTCGCAATGGTGGTCTGAAAGCTTTCGTTGGACCTCTGGCGGTACAGTACAGGACATGTCTATTGCGGGTATAGAGAGTCTATGAAACCTACAGTCAGAATGAGAAGTCCATCCATCCATCATGCGATCTGCGCATTGTGAGGAACCAGCGTCAAAAGGTGCATTCGATTCGAGGTTCATCCAGTTTGGGGAACACAGCGATGTTGCGTTTCGCTGTCAGCAGCAGTCATAAAGCCGACTTCCGAGCTCCACGAACACTAATGACTGACTGTCCTGGACTGTCTGTTTGGCGTTCGATTCACGGATACGACCGGAATTCATCTGGGTGATGAAAGGCTCGTCACACAGCACTGTCGCCTGGATGGCGGTTCGGGGATCCTGGCTGCGGATATTGCTGGACCCAGTTGCAACCTGGACAGAGCAGCACCGGAGTGTCAGAAAGGGGCTCCGGTCGAAACGGCGCAAATGGTTTAAGGCCCTGGGCTCGTTCGCCACTGGGTTCTCGACATGCATTGCTGGGTTTGATGCGAGGTGTCTTCGATTTTTATAGGTGCGTTTCCGATTGTGGACAAGTTGAACTCTCGCCGCAGAGATTCCCGGCACCGCAAGCATTGAATGAACGCACAATCTTCCTGTGGATTGAATCATGCCCCGCATGAGCTGAGCTCGTGCGTTTGATTCTTCTTGAGGCACGTAATTCCGTCGAATCCCTTCTGAGCGTCCAGTCTTCCACGAGGCGTTGAATTCTCAGCAGTCCAATGAGGAAACTGATATCGGATCGAGGACCGCAGTGAATGACATCCGGCGAATGTGGAACTCCCATTAAAGGCTTTCTTCTCTCGAGGATCTGCTCTCGAGCGTCAATTTTCAAGGAGCACGACAAAATGACGGCAACAGAGACTGGATTTTGCAAGGCTGGACTGGCGTCACAGATCTGGATATTCTCCATCGGATGATTCGCTCCTCGAGGAGCGTGAGACGAGAATAACAAAGCCAGAGAAATGAGAAGAGCCAAAATGCGCACGAGACTCGGGAAAATGTGACGATGAAAAACTAAACGTGGCTTGTGTTATTTCAAAGAGTACAAGTGCACGAGTTCACAAAATTGTGAGATTTCTGCTCTACTGTCTGTGTAATTAATAATCACCGCGATCGACTCGATCACAGCTAGCCTGCCAGGCAGCAAGAGTCTGAATCACTCGTCCTACGCATGCCATCCTCAATCACGTTGCTGCTGCGGAGGCGGGCCGGTTGACTCGATGGACTCCAGCTCGATGCCGGCTAACCTCCTCGACGACCGGAGTGGGAAAATTCGAAACGCCCGCAATCAGAAATCAGAAAGGCTTAATCAATCCTTCCCCGAGAGCAAGCGTTCCATTTACTGTGAGTTAGACACTAATCGTGTGAGAAGCAGCTGCTGCTGCTGATGCTGATGCTTCTACTTGAATGTGACGGTGTTATCGTTCTGAATCTCGGGCACGTCTCCAACGAAATCGTTGTGGCTCAAGTCCAAGAATTGGAGGGTGTCCCTGAGCTGGTCGATCGATTGGGGGACCTTTCCGCTCAACATGTTGTGAGACAGATCGAGGTAAGAGATGTTATCGAGCTGGCCGACGTTGTCAGGAAGAGGTCCTGTCAGATTGTTATAGGACATGTCGATGTACTGGCTGGAGGCCAGACTGGGGAAGAAGGTGAGAGGGATGGAGCCGCAGATGTCATTGTGGCTCAGATCGAGGGTGTAGCTGTCGGAGGTGTTGAAGGTGGTGGCCGGAAGCTTGGAGTGGAAGAGATTGTGGGAAGCATTCAGCAGGCGCAGCTCGGGAAGGTTCAGGAGCAATGCACCCACGTCTCCGCTGAACTTGTTCTGCGAGATGTCGACCTCGGTGATGAGTCGAGACTCGGCCAGCAGGGTGGTCAGCCACGCGGGGATGTGTCCTGCGAACCGATTGTTTTGCAGCTCGAGCACTCGGATGACGAATTCGGCGGGTGCAGGGCCGGAGTCGCCATAGCTGCTGAGGAAGTTGTTGTTGAGCTCGACGTAAGGCACGCCTGCGAGCGACAGAGGGAACGCACCGTGGAAGTAGTTGTTGCTGGCGATGAAGGAGCCGAGAAGCCCCAGAGTGAATGGGAGACGACCGGACAGAATGTTGTTCGAGATGTCGAGCTGCAATCCCTCCTGCGAATTGATTCCCGCATTGCCGATCTCTTCGGGCAGAGCTCCGAGCAGCTTGTTGTTCTGCAAGTTGACGTATGTGAGGTTGCCGAGCAGTCCGAGCTCCTTGGGAATGCTGGTCAAGTAATTGTTGGCGAGATCCAAAAACACAAGTGCCTGCAATTTCCCGAACGAGGCAGGGATTGGACCGAACAGACTGTTCTCAGACAGACTCAGGCTGCGGAGAACCTCCAGGCTGCCGAGGCTGGCAGGGATCTTTCCGGAGAATTGGTTGTTGTTGAGCTTGAGCTCCTCCAAGGATTTCAATCGCCCGAGCATGGCGGGCACGGGGCCGGTGAAATTGTTGTAGTCGAGGCCGAGGTATGTCAGCTTGTCCAAGGTGTAGCCGATGCAATTGGGGATCTCGCTCACCAGCGAATTCACCGCCATGTCGATCGATGTCGCCTGGCGCCATCGGCAGATGCACGACGGGATCTTGCCCGTGAACCGAACTGCAGCTAAGGCGACGATCTCGAGCTTGGTCAGATCACAGAAGCTTTCTGGGATGGGGCCTCCTGTGAAGTCTTGCTCGGGGAAGGGCATGTTGACATTGATCGTCAAGCTCTTCAGATTTTTGGCCTCGCCGATGGAGGCGGGGATGGTTCCGGTGAGATTGTTCAGACCGAATTCCAATGTTTCCAGCTTTGCGAGGTTTCCGAAAGTGTCCGGAAGAGGGCTGTTGAAGAACACAGCCACCACTCTGAGCGTCTGCAGAGCAGTGAGGTCGGTCAAGCTCGCTGCCGCGATGCCTGTGAAGCCAGGCTTCGGTGTGGGGTTGGGGCCGTATCGTGGGTGGGGGGCCTGCACCTCGAGGCTCACCACTCGGCCGGAGCTTGCGCACTCGACACCTTCCCATCCCGTGCAGCAGTCGGTTCCGTTCCATGTCGAAAACACGCCGCCAGGATCTTCGAATGTGTCTCTGAACGTTTGCAGAACCTTCAGGTCTCCTTCGTCACAAGTCTGCGCGCTGCAAGTTCCCCAGAGTGCCACGATGAGCAGCACTGCTGCCCATTTCTGCCCGATTCCTCCTCCAGCCATGATTTTGCTTTTGATTTGAAATTGGGATGTCGATGGCAATTTTACTTCCAAATTCCTGCTGCCAACAACAACAACAACAGATGCATCAGCATTTCGATGTACATAGGAAATCATAATGTCAGCACCCAAAAAGCCCGACGATATATCGCAAGCTATTCTCAATGCAGTCTGCTGAACATAAGCACTTGCTCGCATTCGCAAACGCATCAGCTGCTCCTTCAAAAATCGAACCCAGTTTCATTCAAGGTTTATCTCGCTCGAACACAAGTTTCTCAGGAATTCACGAGAAGTCCAAGCGGATCGAGATGATGCAATGTGTAGAATTCCCCGTTGGATCCATGGAATTTCTTATCACTCCGTCTCCATTTCCTCAATCTACATCTGATATATTGAGAGGTGAATTCGGATGGCGTTTGGAACTGCTGTGGACAAGCGATGACCTCAGAGGGAAGAGGGGAGAGATCCACACATGAATTAACAACACGACGAGCTGTAGGGTGATTATGGGAGATCTTACCTCACAATGCAATGTCCGTCAAAGCTCCATGTTTCCTGTATAGGAATAAACTTCAAATGGAAGACGTACTACTGAGTGTGGTGTGCCTCAAGGACAAAGGTTGGTGATGGCATCGTCTTCCATCGGAGCTTATATACCACGAGAAGTCGTGAATGAATGGCAGATGAGATCGTCACAGTGCAGCATGCCTCCAATCTAGGAGCGTGACGAGAGAATTTCATATTTTTATTCCAGAGGGCCCGAAAACAGGTGCTTCAAGAGGCAATCCACACTGCACCCAAGGCAGCGAGCGAACGAACGAGCCGGCCTTTGGGGTCAGACCCGAGGCTGGATCTGATCCATGATACTCCACAGTCCTCCAACTGCTGAGCTTGAAATTGCTTGGCTCGTCTCTGTGGGGCCCAAGCCTACGCGCACAGCAAATCGTGTTGTCATGCTCAAGTCTCTCTCTCAAATCAAGTCACGTTCCCTCCCCCACAGAAACAGAGCTCTGAAACGCACGAGGTGCGAAGGTAGAAACAGTCTCCATGAAATTATGAGAAATCGTCTCCCCCATCATTCCTTCTCATCTGAACATAATCGAATCGAGCAAAGAGGGCTGCTTCGTTAGGGGGAGTGAACGTGATCAGCTGAAGGTCAACCTTCCATCATCGCGGCCTCTATACGCCAGAGCGAATAACGGCGAACGCCGAGACTAGTCACCGAAAGGGCATCATGGCCTGGGCCTCGGGAGAAGCATGAGTGCTGCTGCAGGTTGCTCGCACGCGTGAGATCGGGGCCTCGACTCACGTCACACAAATCCGGATCACATGCAGACCGATTGTCAAGGCGCGACGTCGGCCAATTCGGTGCAGAAGCACCAGCCGTCGTGCAAATCAGGTCCTCTGTAGCCTGGCCAGCTTCTGTTGATTATGGACCCATTCTTGCGTCGATGGTCGGATTGATATTGGCGAATCCAGGGGAATGAATTTCACGCTCGAAACTTCATCTGCATCCTGAAGTCCAGATCCAGTTTGTCGGGGATGCAATGCAACTCTTAAATTTTGACTGCATGTGCCATTTAATTAATTACTAATTTGGAAAAACTTTGAATTAATTATATATATATAATAATAAAATATACATATACATTTTTTTACTATTTTTAATATAAAATATATGTATGTAGATATATTAATACAATATATCGTAAATATGTTGTTGATCTCATATATCAAAGTGAGAATAAGTGACCAAGGTATGGTATTCCACGTATTGTAGAATCACACTAGTTATTCATAGCTATATATAATTAAAAGTAACAAAGAAATACACTTTGTGCATCCCATATCCTTATGATTATATTTATGAAGACTTTCTTGTTCCTGCTCCATCTGTTCTCAAATTGTTCCTCATGCATCACCAATATCTACTATTTGATAGTAAGTACAGTATATGTGTTACTTGACACTAGATGGTGGATAAGTCACATGTCTTCCTCCAAGTGAATATAGTCAATCTTGGCCATAGCAAAAACTAAATACTTTATAATATTACCTCCATTTTATTAATCTATTAAACTCCAAGTGTACAGCAAGTCATATGAATTCATTTGTATGTCATATTACTAACTACAAAGTGCTACATTTGATGTATACATACCTGAGCATGGAACTCAAAAATAAACTATAATTTATTTAAAATCAAGAAGATGATGCATGTGATGAATTTAACTCTAAACAAAATATTATGTATGCAATCTATTTTATCAATATTAAGACAATTCTAGAACTGAAATTTGAGAGAAATTTGTTTGTAATTTTGTCAAATCTTTAATTGAAAGGTAATTTCCTCATCATGTTATTTACATTCTTTTGATTCTCTTATCAAAGATTATTAATGATAATATAAAACTATAAGACAAACACATCCTACAAGATGAGACAAAAAAAATTTATACTATGTGAAATATAAATTCATTCTGAAAGCAATACATTCAAAAATACATGCAAAATTTCATCAATCACTCCTATATCTAGGTAGTGAGACATAAAACTTCATAACATGTAAGGATTATTTTGTTGTTGATATCACATTGCTTTTGATAGATTTAGATGAATTATCATGCCAAAGTATTCCTTGTTATATTTCAAGACAGTTAAAAGCTACAAGATAAAACTTGATATTCATGTAATCAAATTTATAATTAACATGATCTACATGAAGAATATATGTATATCACTAACAAAAGAGATATTCAATACCACCTAACCTTTGCTGATTTTTTTGACTTTTACATCAAACACATCAGTTTTATACAACTCATGACTCTTAAGTTCATTCTAAATCACATTAGTTTACTAGAAAATATCTGTAGTATCATGAGTATTTCATGATTATAAATGAAAAATTATCTCCTTTTGTAAATTTATTTAAAAAAAATCAATTTAAAATTGAAAACAAAAGGATCTAAATCAAAATTATTCAATCTCTTTAAAATATGGATTCAAAACAAATAAATTCATATTTACTACTTTCAGGCATATTTTCCAATTAAACAATCTATGAAAAAATGGCTCAATGAATATCAATGTCAACTTACATTATTTCGTGCATTGAATCCAAACACTTGTGAGAAAACCAGTGTTCAAACTGAAAAAAAATTATGTCGGACACTTAGAAAATTCTTTGTAGCAATGTATTGCATGTATACTATCACATTAAGTTCAACATTATTCAACAATCGATTCAGACCAAGTAAACTCTCAAAACAACTAGAAATGAACATGAATTTAAATACAGGATTAGTAATGTTATCACTAACAATTTTTCTAACTCAAGATGATAGGATGCATACAAAAGGATTAAAATATTGATAAACCAAGATACACTGATCTCCTTTGATAAGATTTTGACATCTTTAATGATTTTTTTACATGAATTTATATAAAAAATAGAAAAACTAACTGTAATGCAATCAGGAATAGACAAGAAACAAAAGATTTTTAGCAGATTTTATCATAAGTAATTTCAATTAAGCTTAAAAAAAATGACAATGTGGCTAAACCTGACTCTTGATCCATGTCATCTTTCTAGATCAACTCTACAATTCAATCAAATAGATGATTCATATGGTCAAAAACTAGGTGTCGTTCACTTCTGAAAGATATAATGTTTTCACATTGATATTAAGTTTTAAGAACAATATTATTACAGTACAATTTTTTATTTTTATCATCCAATGGAACGATGACATGTGTAAATATGTATAAGTAATCATGATGTTTGTTATTATTATTTCCATAATAATGTCAACATTAAATGTTTTCACAACTCACTTGCTATATCTGATAATATCAAGAAAAAATTCAATATAGTTCTAATGTTATTCGTATTGAAAATATATGCATAATCGGTGTTTCATTTATAAAGTGCATCTTTGTACATTGTGTTTTCATTTAACGTTGAAAATTAACACACTAGACATGATATATCATAGGCTACTCTAAACTATTAAAAGAGGAAACATGAAATTATGTTTAGTACAGGCAGAAAAGGGCCAAACGTACATATGTAATTCTATTATTATTATTATTATTATTAGACCTTTTGCATCTTCACATTTAATCCATTGTGAGTGTCCTGGGTTATATTTCTCATTAATATACTATTGGATCCAAGGAATAGAACCCCATATCCAATAGCCTAGTCACTGATTCTCAATTTATTTCTTTCTTGTAGGGCATCATCATCTTTTTGCTATCTAGTAGACACCCTGTTTTTTCCTACCATGTATCCGCTCTCATTTGCATGACTACAATTTCGTTATATCTAACTCATATGCAAAATGTTAAAAGTAGAATTACACTAATAATTTTCTCTATGAGATGTGTAAATTTCCAACTATGTCAGAGTAAACCAATGCAGTGAAAAGAATGAAGATATTAAAAATAGAAACCAAATCCACCTCTTATTAGATCTTGATGAAATAATTAAGAAAATAATTTTTATATTATGTACAAGACAATGATACCTATAACCCATTGAATCTTAATTAAAATAATTCTACATTTTCCATAACTACAAAGACTTGACGCAGGGGCCGAAAATGAGACGAAAACAAATTTGAAATACGCTAAAGCAGTTGAGACTCCTCCCGTTCTTCCAAATGAAAAATATTGCTCTCGGACGGAGCATCGACCGAAGAGGCGTCCCCGAGTTATCTATGACGTGGAAGAAGTGAGGTGAAGAGGCGTCCCCGAGTTATCTATGACGTGGAAGAAGTGAGGTGGACAAACGGAACTCGACGGAGCTCTGAAGCTGACGCGGGTGAGAGATGATGAAGGGACAAGTAGGCAGACAGCTATTTGAGTGAAGTGAGGAGGACAGACAAAAACAGTTGAGACTCCTCCCGTTCTTCCAAATGAAAAATATTGCTCTCGGACGGAGCATCGACCGAAGAGGCGTCCCCGAGTTATCTATGACGTGGAAGAAGTGAGGTGAAGAGGCGTCCCCGAGTTATCTATGACGTGGAAGAAGTGAGGTGGACAAACGGAACTCGACGGAGCTCTGAAGCTGACGCGGGTGAGAGATGATGAAGGGACAAGTAGGCAGACAGCTATTTGAGTGAAGTGAGGAGGACAGACAAAAACGACGCAGCATTAAGGTCAGCGCCGAGAAGTGCTCCCGGGGGGGCTCGAACCCACGACCTTCGGCTCATAAGACCGATGCTCTAACCAACTGAGCTACGGGGGCTTCTTGTCAGTGAGGAAAGACTATAGGAATATAAATACATTTATTGATTTTCCACAAGGTTAGGGATCAGAACCGAGTGTCTAAAGGTTAGGTGAGGTTTAGTTGGCGTTATTTATACTCGCTGCCCGCGCTAACCCGCGCTCCCGGTTGCATTGATCATTTCTACCCGGTACGCACTTACATGGTTGGATCCGTAATCAGCTCCATAGTAAGACAACCACGGCGGGTTCTGATTGATGACGAATGTTCTGATTTATAAATGATTTATGTATGCCTCCGTCTTGCACAAAGTTACACTGATTACTTACCGAATATTAGGAACGATGTTCATGTTTAAGCTCTAAACCACGAGTAATTACCGCGTCTGTTATTTTTTTAGAATGGGCAGATCAGACCACCGGACGGGCAGTTGAGTGCATTGCACTGAAGTCTACACGTAAACATTAGCGCGGTCAAGAAACAAACATAACTCGATAATGCAAATGCGGTCAGTTCTAAAGAATCATATGTAGCACAGTTTTGATTATAGAAGGGATATGTTATAAAGTTATTTTGCATAGAAGATATTCTGAGAGATGGGTTTCTATTACTCATCATTATATCTAAAAAATTTTATAAACATCAATACGATGATTTACAAATATTTTTCGGAGCAAAATATGGTCAATAAAAGTGTTATAGATAAAATGAAATAACTCAATCTAAGCTTATATCACTTCATTTTTTAGATAAACACAACAAAACCTTAAATTGAAAATTTCATATGTGATCATGAGATATTATCATTGAGACTGTGGGGGCCAAGTTTTCAAGAAAATGAAATCCCCGTTGAACTAAACAAGTAAGATATGGAGAGTTGTGCTTACTTGATTATATTGAGAACTTAGACAACTGCAGTATTTAAGTATCAATGTTATTCTATGTTAATTCAAATCATATTATGAAAAAAAAAGAACACATGTGCACTTTATTTTATTTTATTTTATTTTATTTTTCTGTGAAGTATAGAATGAAATTTTCTTGGACACTTTCTTACAACTATGTACATTTTCATATATCATGATTTCATATAATTTCAATGTTACATCAAAAGAAGAAGAGGCTAGACTTTATTTGTATGACCAGTATGTGTATGTTTGAAATTTTGGCTCCTGTCTAAATAAGCATCTACAATGTCATTATTTACTTCAAAATCTCTTAACTTGAAATATGAGTAATAACATGTGACATTTAGAACAATTGTATAAGTATTGGTAGATAATACTGATTTGCAGCAAACTAGAAGAGCATCAAAGCAGATTAGTCATGAATAATTTTCAATAACAATTTCATGATGTTTACATCTATACTATGATTGTAATTAGATTATGTTATACTATGATTATATTAATTTCAAGAATTTCTTATAGAATTTTCATAAAGTAAATACATGTTATATTGAATTTTGGTGAATCAACAAAATCGTTCAAAGCAAATTACGAATTTGTTTTGAACGATTTTCTGTTGAATAGAAACTATTTTGAATTTGATGACTTGTTAAATATAAATAAATTTATATATTTCTTAAATTAAAATTTGATACATTGAAATTTAAAGCAATTTAAAAAAAACATAAATTTTGAAGATTATATTTTTGAAAATAAATTCATTTAGAAATATTTGATAAAATAAATTCATTTTAGGATATATCTCATAAATTTAATTTAGTGTAGAATATTTCATAAATTAAATTCACTATAGAATATTTTCCAAAAAAAATATTTTAGAATATTTCATAAAACCAATTTATTTTAAAGTATTTCCTTGACTTAATTGATTTTAAAATATTTTATAAAATATATTCATTTTAGATTATTTTATTTTCACAATTCATTTGAAAAGTTTTTAGTAGAATTAAAATCATTTTACATTTTTAAAAAAAATAAAGTAATTTTAAAATTTTCATGAAATAAAATCAATTGAAAATTTTTCAAAAAACAATTCATTAAATCAATACATTCCACTGGTTACATAATATTGAAAGGAAACCAGGTCAAGGTGCAAAGTTGACTCGAGCTGTAGGAACCTGTGCTCAAATAATTCAAAAAGTTGAGAATACACCACAATGTATTGTACGGGAACCTTCAAGTGTTGACAGACTAATAAAAAAATAAATCCATATTGATATTTCCAAAATTTAAACTCATTTGGATGGATATTTTAATATCATTTTTGCTATTTTATTTCATAAAATAAATACATAATTCACTTTGTTACTCTTCTACCGTAAAAAAATTTTTAACTCTAGATTATCCCGCCGTGCTTCTAATATACATGTTAAAGTAAGAAATCTGAATCTGATTTTGCAAACTCAACATTAAAAGTTGTTATATTCCTCCAAAAAGAAAGTGAACGCGGAGAGTTATTACATCTCATATTGTGTATGATGAAATGGTTGATGTCAGACCTATATGTTCATGAGCCTAGCTGAATCTACTAAAACTACTAAATCTGAAGCCAAGGGAGAAAGGCCGCGGGCTTTTATGGCCCCTCTCCCCCTTTCTAAACGTCTCTAAGCCCCCCAGAGGCCGCTTAGAGACATTTTCGTGGTGTGAGCCTGACGGGCAAGCTGTTTTTTAAGTGTAGGAGCGAAGCACGGTGAACTGCTCGTCGATGAACACTCACACGAGTTTAGAGACAATCTAGAAGGAAGAAGGAGGAAGATGTCACCTTCGCTCAAACATCGCATGAGGGGTGAGCACCAAATATTACTAAATCTGAAACTACAAACCTCTAATAATCAACAAACATAAGGAGTGAGGAAGTAAAACTCATTGAGAACTTATGAAGTGATAAACCAATTATCGCAGTAGCGTATTGAAAAAATTCGAAATCTAAAATGCATTGAGTAACTAAAACTTTTGTGCTCAATTCTTATAGGTTAGGGATATTCATTTTTTTCTTTCTCTACTATCACATTTAAACACAACCAAAATGGAAAAAGATTATATTTTATTTTAGATAATCTTAAAGATGATTTTTATTTCATCATATGAATGAATGTTCGACATGGAGTTGTATTTCCCTACCACAACAATATTCCAACTAAGTTTATTCTAAAACTAAATAATATAATTTTAATATATTTTTAAATTTTAGCATAAATCAAGTCATTTAAAAAAAATTCAAAAAAAATTTCATTTTAAAACAAATCATAAAATAGATTCATTTTCAAATAAATCAAAAAATCACATTTATTTTAAAATAATAAAAAAAGAAATTCATTTTCAAATAAATCAAAACATAAATTCACTCTAAACTAAATCTTAAAAAAATTAATTTAAAAATGAATCATAAAAGAAATTCATTAAAAAATAATCAAAGAATAAATCCTTTCAAAAATAAATCATAAAATAAATTTATTTTAAAAAAAATTATAAAATAAATTCATTTAAAATTTTCCAAAAAAATAAATTCGTATTAGATTTTTTCAAAAGTTATATTCATTTGAAAGAATTTTTTAAAATATTTTTAAAAATATATCCATATAAGATTTTGTCAAAATTTAATTTTTAAAATTAAAATTTAGAAGATTTTTTTAGAATTTAAAACTTATTTGAATATTTTAAAAAAAGAAATTCATTTAAAAATATTCCATAAAATAATTCACTTAAAAAAAATCCGTAAAGAAAATTCATTAAAAAAAAGTATCAAAAAAATTAATTTTATAATTTTAGCATAAATCAAGCTATCAAAAATTTCATAAAAGAAATTAATTTAAAAATATCTTTGAAAAAAGATTCATTTAAAAATAACATTGCTATAAAATTAATTTCTACATAGAATATTTATAAAATAAATTTATCATTAGAATATTCTAGGAAATAAATTTATTTTTAAATATTGCAAAAAATATTTTTTTCATAGAATATTTAATAAATAAATATAATTTTAAAATAATTTCACTCGAAAATAATTTATAAAATAAAATCATTTAAAAATGTTTTACGAAATGAATTCATTTGAAAAATTTCATGAAATAGTTTCTTTTAAAAACTTTCATAAAATAAATTAAATTTTAAATACGTCATGAAATAATTTTTTTTAAAAAATATTCATGAAATAAATTTGTTACAAAATATTTCATACAATACATTCGTGTTAAAATAATTTATATAATAAACTCGTTTGAAAATATTAAACAAAAACAAATTTCGTCTTAGCGTTATGTAATTTTCTAATCTTAACTAATGTTTCTATAAGATTAATCTAAAGGATTAAAAAATTCTTCCATGATAAGTAGGGATGAAAAAATTTCCACTTTCAAAAATGTAGTAAAAGGTTTTTTTTAATGTATATTTACAATTATTTTTGCTGTCAAGTATACAATAATTCTCCATTGAAGTTTAAGATGGAAAAATCTAGAACGTCATGAAATCAAATTTTCATTGAAATAAGATTATATATTACAGTAGATTTCACATAGACTTTTTCATCGAAAAGAAATGTGATATATTACGATATGTAGAGTGTGTGAAAAAAAAGATTATTTTGTCACTGGATTGAATAGCTGTTTCTAGTCTCATCGTGCTTGGCTTTTGTATGAAAGCTCTAGAAATCATTAAACAGAATTGATACTTGTGTACTTTTACTCGATTCCTGCCACCTTCAATCATACTACGCTTCACCAAATTCGGATGCAGGCGGAATTCATGCACTCGTTTTTATCTGGTGGGCTGTAAACGGGCAAACGATTGTGCTGAATGTTACACATTGATGACTTGACGCGGAAATGAAGGAGATGAGTCGACGAGTCTGATTTCTCGGACATTTTACGATGCTTCTGCGGCGGTTTGCCTCTGGATTGGTCTCGTCACGGAAGAGCAATTCTGCTGTGATTTCTCGCTCCGATCTATTCCAAGGTGTTTATCTTTTGACCACGTTGTTTTGTTGGGGATGAGCTGTTTATTTGCATTTCACCTGTACGAGTCGTGATTGTTTATGTTCAATGTACACTTCTGTGCAAGTGATCCTTTTGAAATCGCCGTCAGATAATTTAAGTGTCTGATAGTGATTATCAGTGAGCTGTAATTTAATCGCATACTTAACCATAAGATTGTTTTGTGATCTCAGCTAGCAAAATTGTTGTCCAGAACACTTGAAATGAATGTGTTGACTACTTCTTTTAGAAATTTAGGGCGTATTACATTCAGTTGTTAATACCCTGTACTCAGCTTGTATTGAGCTAAGAAGCTATCGGACAATCTGGTCTTGAATGTGTTGTCCACAGCAAAGAATGAATTTGCCCGTCACTAAGCCAGTACAGTACAGCTTTTAGCAGCACTTGAAGTTTAAGAGATGGTGCACAATTAAAGAGTCGTACAGTCCAGGACAAACTATCATGCTACAACTCCGCGTATGACTTGATGTTTGTATTTTACAGGCTTGCGATGCACGAGATGGACCTCACATGCAAACTCTTCGACTCAGGTTCAACCAGTACCCGTGGTGGAGGCTGACATTGTTCTCGTAAGTACAGAAAACGTTTTTGAATTATGAGGACTTTTGAAGTTCTCAAGTGTTCTCGTCTTGTATGGTTGTTTGAGTTATATATGTTCTTAGGATTCCTTATAGTGGAAGATTTTCTTGAAGAAGTCTATGTTTACAATTCTTTGTGGTATTCTACGCAGTCGCTGTTTAGTTGTATCCTCTGTCAAGGCCGAAGGTTTCATGGGTGTGAACACTAAGTACAGCTGACTCAATACTTGCAGGTGCGTGACTTTATCTACTCAGCTCTATACGATGAGAACCAGGGCTACTTTTCTGCCCGATCTAGTGCTGTGGGAGAGTTACCGACTCCAATCAATTTTAACGCTTTGGAAGGTATGTACCTACCTATCTGCAATCCTTCTGTATCCAACCATGATAGAGTACTATACTGGATCCCTGCTAGTTCGCCTTCTAGGTCCCTAAGGAAGTGAAACCTTCAGACTTAGGATGTGATTTTCAAGTTTGCAGGACGAATGGCCTGACAAAGTTTATTGACAAATTCTACTCAGGGAAGAGAGCGTATACACAGTACATTGATAATCTGTATAAGCGCGGTGATAGCTCTTGGTTCACCCCAGTTGAACTTTTCCAGGTCAGTGAAAAAGCAAGTCCTCATTTGTTTCGTCAACGACCCTCTACTTTTCCGTATCATGCTCTCAAAAACCTCAGAATAAAATAAAAAAAAAAGTTGCTCCTAATACTAACCTCATGTTTCTGCTTCGTGGCAGCCGTATTATGGTTATGCACTGGCAGAGTTTATTCTGCGCACTCATAGTTCCTCAAATCCTCTTATAGTGAGTACACTATACCCCTTTCTTCCACAACATTCCCTGAGTTTTAATAAACCGATCACAATGTATTTGGACTTACTGAACCCATGTATCAGCCATCCTGAGGGTTCCCTGGGTGAGTGGGTTTCGACGGTAGTTTTGTTTTTTATCTGTTATCTTCTGCATTCGCATGTTCCTTTGACCATTTTTTTCTCAATGATTTTTTTTCTTCTCTATTTTCATATAGGCAAGTTTGCATAATATACATGGTAAGAGAATGTGGGTGAAAGCCCGTATATCTTACCTTGTGTATATTATCCGGGATTTTTCGACAATCTGGGAATGAACCTATGCAGGATAATTGCTCAGACAGTAGAGTATTAACAAATACAACATACGGAACATGTGAATGTAGACATGTGCTATTTATCTTTCAGATCTCATGATAAAGCTTGTTCAATGCATCAGTGAGAATGCAGAATAGACGAAATTCCTTGATTAATCTGTCTGAATTAAGAAGTGTGCTGTAGGAGGATCACCGTTCAGCGTAGAGATCTGAATGATGTGGAGTTGCTGTTACGTTCAGATATATGAAATTGGAGGTGGCACTGGCACTTGTGCACGAAATATTCTTGACTACATGAAAGCACATGCGCCACGAACACTATATGAAACAATGAGCTACAAGTAAGTGCAGTTTAGAATCACGAAGCTTCTTTTTACGTGCTGGTTTCAATGTTGCCAAAGTAGATTGATTAAAATGGTGACAGCTGGATACCATATCTAATGTTCAGAGGTACGAGCATTTCTGGGCAGATCAGTGGAAATAAGCGGAGAACTGGCAAAGAAACAGTATCAGAAGGTGACCAAGGGAGATGAAAACCGAAAGCAATTCAGTGTAGAGCGCAGGAATGCAAGTGACAGAAGTGGATGGGGTTTGTTCTCTTAACCTGCTAAGAGTTGACCAGATGCTCGTATTATGAATTTATGTATATAAAAGTAGAATAATATTAAAGTAAATGCACATATATTATGTTACCCTCCAAAGTTTAGCCAAGCTAGTGCTTGGGCCATAATGTCGTAGTCATCCCATACAGCTCGAGATATGAAGGTCTATCTGGCATTAGAGGAGTCACTTACATACAGAGGATCTTCGAGCAGATCTCTGTATATTCTTCTTTGTCCTTGAAGCGTGAAATACTCTTGAAAGTTATTACTTACTTCTGTTGTGAATACTTTCCACAGGCGCTGCTAAGAAGGAATCTTGCTTCGTCATTATGCTTGAGGTATTGAATGCTCGTCATCGTAAGCAAATTCCGACTTGGTATCTTCTCTTTTGGACGTAGATAAACCACAAGGCATACACCTCAAACTCACTCTTCAACCCATTGTGCTTGCAGTCTAGTAATTGTAGTGCTTGCTTGGGTCCTTATTGAATTGCAAGCAATTTCATCACAAGAGGTTTTACAAGTTACCATAAATGATAAACTTTATGACCTTTGATGCTCAGGTCCTTGATAATCTACCTCATGATCTAGTACATCGTGAGACTTCTCGATCTCCTTGGATGGAGAAATGGGTACTTGAGAGAACTGACGGGTATGTAGTTGTACTTATTTCCCTCGTTCATTTGTTGAAAGCGTAATGAAAGTTGACCTTGGAATATCAAGGATATGCGTTCTCTGCAAATGATAGCGTTGACGTAGTGATTCTGAATTACTAGAAGATACGTAGACGAGACCATTACCCAGCAGTTCCACCGTAGAGAGAAGATGAGAGTTTGTTTTCTTATTATCTCCCATATTTATAAAAGCATAAACTAATGGATTTGGTTGATTAGGGAGGTGCCAGGTCTTCCAGTTGAGATATCTAAGCCTCTTCAAGACGACCTCATAATTCGCTGCCTTGAGGCCATGAAAGGTGATCCAGCTCAAAGTAGGTCCGTTACCAGAACTTTGAAGAACATGGTTGTCAAGCTGCTCAATGCTTCTGAGCTGCTCTGGATTCCAACAGGTTGTCTGGTATGATTTATAAACCACTTGCCCGACAATCATGCATTAGACCCCTAGTCCTCGGATTGCCCTCTTATTTGCCACAGAAGAAGCTACGACTATGTTTAGCGAAGGAAATTAGACTGGTAGTTGTTGGATCTAGACCGATTCTTCTGAGAAATTTTACTTTGTAAATAGTTTGAGTTGTGTATCCCAGTGCTCAATGCTTTTTCTGTTAATAGCGTCTCTGTGTAGTAGCCTATTTTTTTGTCAAACTATCCTAATCCTTTCGATGGATTTGTGGCCGCAGAAATTACTGGAGACACTGCACTCTGCTCGACCCAATATGACCCTGATCGCATCTGACTTCAGTTTGCTTCCAGACGTGAGGCTTGCAGGAGAAGGAGCGCCGTTGGTTTCGAGTAAGGTAAGTTTCAATGTTGTGTTTGCCTCGGAAAGCTTTTCGAAGCTAAGGACTTGACCATATGAAGGCAGCGGATGACCTCAAGCGATCTAAGCATCTATCTTTATAGTTTTGAGTGCACTTAGTACTTTGGAATGGCCGAAGTATGGGGAATGATCACATGTGTTACGGCTGAAGCCTGTATTGGGTTTGTATTTAATCTTGTCCAAATACTACGTGGTGATTACAGAAAGGAGGAGTGAACAAAGATCATGCGACGTACTTGGAGGCGAAGGTGAGCATCGTTTAGGCTGAGCTTACTTGTTTCACATCTCACTTTCTCTTGGATCCGTCTGTTTAACCAGTCGAAGGAACCTAGAGCATTCAATGAGTGATGAAGTTTGGTGTGGACACAGGGACATACGGACATTTTTTTCCCCACAGATTTTTCGGTATTACAGAAGTTGGATCATCTCTGTTCTGCTGCCAACGGGAACACCAAAACTTCTCGACGGTCTTCTATTGTGAGTGTTTGACCTCCTCTCTTCTTACTGCCTCAGTTCCAATTGTTGTTTCACAGGGCCACTACTTCTCTTCACGAGTAATCTCACACGTACAGAAATGGATGATTTCGGATGAAATGGATTGATTACCTTGTTGTAACACCGCAAGGCCTGTCGCACTAGTCGAGTAATTAGTAGACATCTAAAGTCTTGAATTTTGCCTCTGGCAGGTGAACTCCGCTCAATTTATGGATCTTTTTGCCGACACGGGAAAAACTCTCACTAGAGATGGCTATAATCCTCTTCTAGAGGATTTTAGCAATACTAAATTTTATATAAGCACCCCTGCTGGTGGATTCAAATCGGATGTTGGGACACAAAGTACAGGTTCTCATTCGATATAGTAGTAAACTTTGATACCAAAGGTGCAACGAGAAAGAAGTTATTGTCTTGAAGTAGATTCTGACGTCTTTGTTTTTGCGTATGTTTCTGTGCATGTGGTTGTTCACCATAAATTTGATCCTATACCAGTTTGGAGTTCTGGTACACTACATTATAGTCCACACCGCAGTTGTTCCCACATGTTAATGCAGAACTGGATGGGTCTTCCATATCGACCATCCGTATCTTGTATATGCTTTCGTCAGGAAATGTCTCATCCCTTCCGTTACGACAAAAGGTAAGGATTGTGGCTCGATTACTTGCACTGCTTTGTACAAACTTATGGATTCTTCCACTTCGGCATCTTACGTTTCTCAGTCTTATGCATGGCCTCGATGAATCCACAACAAGAAGTATCTTGACTATTACTCTTAGACATTGCAGAGTGCTTGTAAAAACGAATTAGATTAGGTTGCAGATACAATTATTGATGAATCTACCATCTATTACCTATTTGAGTTGTGATCGAATCAAACGGTTGAATGGTCCAGTGGTGTGGTTCTGGTTGCGGGTGAGAGAGGGACAATGTTTTTACATGAAAGAGTTATCAAAAGATGAAAAAAAATAGAATAAGTTAAATATCCCCACAAAAGATTCTAATTCGAATTTGAGAGTGACAAATCAAGTCAGTGTTTATCTCAAAGATAATCTCAGATATTCAATTTCCGATAAAAGATCACAACAGAAGGAGACAATTGACAAAATCAGGTTTGAGGTATATCAAACGGAGTAACGTTCCACCACAAATTGATGGATCTCCCGCAAAAATGATCCATATCCTCAAAGCATATGATATTGTTGGACCTTTTACAACTATATAAGTTAAGGGCACTTTGAGAGACAAATGTTAACCCGGGGTTTAGTATAAGCAGTCACCCAACCTGGTATAAGGTGGATGAGACGATCCCACCCCTACCCCCACCCTTTTGTTTCGATTCTCAATTTGCCTCTTCAACAATAGGGTTATCTTGTAGATGTGGTACTCAATAGTCGATCATATGCTATATTTTACATTGAACTTACTAATTCACGTCAGTTTGAATTTTCGCTATGATGTCATATTCTTCAATAATATGTAGATATTCTGGTTTCTGCCAAGTGATAGAACCTCCTATCCTTGTGGTATCTTTTCATCCTTTTGTGTATCTCCAGACACGCGCTATATAATGGGTATATTATTGATTCAAACTTCACAGTAACAACAACCTATCACTTTTTCTTTACTTGAGTATACCAAATATTGGGTCCTTTACTTTTTCACACAATGTATTAGCTCTTCACTTTTTATATCACTTCAGATCTTGAATGTACCAAGTATTGAAACCCTTATGACTACACAAGATTTATCGACCGTTGTATCATTTCATCACTTCAGTTTTTCAAGTAAACCAGATGATTGAACCTTTACTGTACGCAATTTGTTGTCCTCTGTGACTGACTTGGCATTTTAAAATTGTCATATTCGACATCCCAACTTCAGACTGCAGGATGTTAAGTGAATATTGAACATTGGGTCCAATCAAAGGACGCACGTTGAACATGTAACCCTCATACAAAAACTGACATCGCTGCAAAGTGCCGAGTGTTGACTAATGAGCTTATGAAAGATAATATCGTCTTCAGCAAATTATAATGATTTGATATACACTCAACACAAATCTAGAAAGATGCACACGATCTGATATACAATTCTGACTCACGAGCTTTCGCTGTGGAGCTTTCTAGATACAAAGGACGCCTTTCCTTGTGTTGATTACCAGCCACGTTTGTACAGCAAAGAACTTCCTAGAGCGAAATATAATATTACATCGAAATTCTTCAGAAAGAGCAGATCTGTGAGACTGCCAACTCTCTCAGCTCGGTTCAAAGTCACAGGCTGGTGGCAAGCATAACAAAAAGGTGTCTAGTGAGCACATGTCATGCACGAAGGAGACATCATCATTGTCCTCAACTGCAAAACCATTCTCTTTCTTGCATCTTCCTCATAATTCCATTTAACGTTTCTCAAAGTACATCTTCAATTCACCAAGCCAAGTCTCTCAAGAAGAATATGCGAAAGTGGAAATGGCACCGTCCACATCCACGTTGCACTAAGCGTTATCACAATGCCTCGGAAATCCCTGGCAGAATTGGCAGATGAGAAAAGACTTGTCAATCTGCGGGCACAATTCCTCCGTAGCAGAAAATTTGGACCGTCTCGGAACCCTTCTGCTTTGAATTTATCAAGGTCAGCTGTGGGCATTTTGTTCTCACTTCTCATAAAGAACTAAGTCCAGAATACTTGCCGCTGACAAAATTTGCACTCCCTATTCATCCTCTTCTTCATGACTGGGTCAGTCATTGTGCTCGTCATCCGAGCTGCTGCTGCTGCTGTCGTTGTCTTTCTCTAATAAATTTGCTGTGGCCTCCTTGATTCTCTCTTTCTCCTCTTCATCATCCTCATCGTTCTCATCGCTGTACTCACTCTCATAATCCTCGTCTGCGTCGTCGTCCACTTCGTCAGCCTCGTCGATGCCATCTTCCAGCAATTGCACACCCTCCCCTTGCGAGACTCCTGGCCTCAAAACAGGACGGCTTCGTTTGGCCACTTTCAATGTTACGTTGACTTTTTTGTCGCACCCAAGCCAAGTGTCACACAGGCAGAATGCAGTAAGTTTGTAGGTCCCTTCAGCCGGGGCTTGGAACTTCTCCATAACTAACCGTGCTCCACCTTTCACCCTTTGAACAGCCTCTTTCACTGCCTTGTTAACTTCAGTGTCATCTGCTCCAGTTCCCTCTACGGACTCACCTATGATTTTGGAAGCGGCGGCAATTGATGTAGACTCATCCATGAAAGTGATTCTCTGTTTTGTCCACACAGAATTCGCAAGTTGATCTGCAAGCAGTAACCAATACAACTCATCTTTGACTTGGGGGAAATGCGGCGCGTGAGGATGGGCAGCAATCAAGCCGTTCTCTCGTTGAAGAGTAATCCAGGCTTCCATGGTGACGATATCACCTTCTTGGATTCCTTCTTCACCTTCTGTTGTGCACTTCACCTCCACGGAGATATTTGGCATCATATCCAGCACCGCCTCCACATCCTCAACCTCCTGCTGTGAAAAGCCCCCGGCCGTTTTCAAGAGGTCTGCCCTAGATTCTTTAGAAAGCTCCCTCAGTTCCTGGAAACTCCTCATTTTCTGCAAACAAAAGCACCGAACTGGCAGTCTTAAAAGCCAATAATGCCTGGATGGACTCAGATGAATAGAAGTATTTTGAGCATCACTCTTGAGCATCGGAGAACACATCTCCAAGAGACCCGATGAGAAAGGCCGATCACAAAACTAGACTGCGCTTTCCAAGAATCTACAATACACAGATTTTACAAAAATCACATACCAAATACCAGAAACCAAATCCAACTATTAGAAGGAACAAGTCAGTTTCTACGACTGTTTCCACATCCGAGTTGGGTTGTGTACGAGTCACTTCACAGCTTCTCTTCTCCTTGAGAATAACTATTAGTCAGCCACATAGAGATTTGCTTGTGAGAATATCAAGGAAATCTCTATGCATGCGATATACTTCTGAGTTGAGATAGCCCACCTTTCGTCCGAGCTTCTTGACGACATTTTCATCAAAGTGAGGCAATTGCAAGAAAGGCGCAATCCCATCTGCTGAAACATTTGCTGCTCGCTCCGAGACTTTCCGTGCACTAAGGGGTACTGCCTGCAATTGTCCCAAGTGATAGAATTGCACCAAATGAATCAAAATGTTGGAAAACTCAATATCGATTTGGTATTCTTTTGTAGTGTTACACCACAAGAAAGGAATATAAACCTGCTACTCGTCATAAACATAAGCGTGACCAACCAAACGCATGAAGACAATGATTAGCAGTGTACCTGCACAATACTTTGTGAAAACTCCATGATCGAAAGGGCAGGCCTGAGCCAACCATGACCTTCAACCGTTCGTGGAATCAGAGCTATCTGAAATGCAAGAGATTTAAAAAGTCATTAAGTGTTAATTGTGCAATCGTACGATGGCACACTTATCTTCAGATCGGATTCTGTGACTTCCTGGATGACTACATCCAAAAGATGAAAACTGAACGAACGTGCAGTAGCTCTAATCTGCTTATACAACAAGAACTACTTGCCTTCATGAGCTCCTCCATAAGACGAGGCACGATGTTCATCACAAGATCAAAGTCTGCCTTCATCTCTGGAGGTATTCCGTTGTACTCTCTAGTCAACTGAGCAAGTAATAGCAGCTCGGCCTGTCAATCATCATCCAGATACAGAAAAACGACAGAATAATTAGAGAAAGAATGATCTAGAATTTTGAAACCTCTCAGTTCCAAGCCGGGCCGTGCACACTACGATAAGGAAAGTGAATCCTATAGCTTTCCACGAAATAATATGTGCAATATGATAGTAGGGAGGATGTTACAAGCACTTGAAAATTGACGACCATTCGTTCTAAAAACGAGGATGTATAATCATACTCGCTCGACGTGCAATAAAAATCCAGATCCTCTGAATAAGGAGTGTAACGGCCCTTCAATTGCTAACCTTGATAAAAGCAGGATGTCTTTTTTTCAAGAACTTTTGCTGCTCTGACTTCATGTTCTTCGGATCAAGATTTAGCTCACTTCTGACAATGAGAAATAGTTTTTGAAGAGGAACTTCATCACGATGCCGGACAGGAATCTCCACAAACTCGGCCGCTTGAACGAGAACCTCCAACACCTTGCTGCAAAGATTCACGTAGATAAATTGACAAGCTCTCAGGTCAATATATGAATACAACAAGCTCAGCCTATTCTGTTGCAAAAATCGAATACTGCAAACATACTTATATCATCCAAAAGAAGCTGCCAAAGTCTCAACGTCCGTAATCTCAATGCTGCGACATCGTTACATCCTTCTTTGAGATACTTGTAGGCATAACAAAAACTCCTTTCATCCTTTCTACTCTGCCCTCGGGGAGAATAGAAGATAACGTTAGAATTTAACATGGCTCTGAGTTCAAATGATAGATACTTTTGATACATCAATATATCCTTTCACGACAAAATAAGAAAGGTGCAAACCTTGGCGCAAGAGATGGTTTCATATTACGATAGTAGCTGCTTATGGTCTGATGCATGACGTAGTTCCCGGTGTACTTTGCGGACTGGCGAAGATACCAGACAGCACCCATAAGGGGGAAAAGGACACCAACACCAACAATGGCGATCAACAGAAGGCCTCCAGCTGCCCCATGAATGTCCAATAGAAATTTTGGGAGGGCAATCCCCATTTGCATTCCCTGCACGACAGATGGTCAAAACCACTGGACAGTTCGAAATTCATCGTGCAGTGAATCAGATATACATGGTAACTGGAAATATACACCCTATGAACAGAAACAATATGCGATTGTGCGTACCTGTCGGCCATCAGGATGACCATACTTGGCAAAATTTTCTCGAGACACTGGATCCGTGAGAGCTTGGTACGCTTTCGCAATGAAGTCAACAAAGTACTTGTTCGCCTCTGTGAACAAATAACATCAACATTTTAATGTGTAACAGAACTCGACAGCCGCTGAACGATACATGGATGAAATATATTAGCTAATTAAGGAGTTCGCAATTCTTTACATTGAGAAATATTCATGACTAACCTGGATCAGGGTTCTTGTCGGGATGGTATAGAATTGAAAGTCTACGGTAGGCCTTCTTAATATCATTATCAGACGCAGATGCTTCGAGACCCAAGATAAGGAATGGGTCGAATGGTTGACTCTGGCATTAAAAAAACAAAACGTTTCTTTTAGAAGCCTTCCCTATTATGAGCGTCAACACCTCCAAGGAAATTATCCCAAACAACCCCTCTTGATTGTTTGAAAAAAACACACAAATAGAACGAGTGGAGAATCAAATTACAGGCAATCTTCTATGTAAAATTGTAAAGGTTGGCAAAGCCCCTTGTTGCAAGCATCAATGCAAATAAAACTGGACGGAAAAACGAGTGAAGCTAAAAAGAAGCGCAAACGGCAGATGAAGAGCTACGGTTCACATCATATCAGCAAGAGGTAAGAAGCACACCTCGCGTGTGCTGATCTTGATGTAGTAGAACAGAACGAAGATTATTAACCAAGAGGTTACGAGAGCCACGTTACTGAAGGTCAAAAATTTCCAAACCTGCGGACAGAAAGACAATTTCATGACATTCACCCTCAAGAGTCCCAAATTATTTATACTCAATGTATTGAACACAATGGATGCGCTTGTTGACCAGCGGTCTTTCAATTCCTCGACTAAAGGCATCAACCTCTTTCTTGACAGGAAGAACTTCAATGAGGAAGTGCAAGGGAGCTGTAATTATGAACCCAGCTCCTGCTATCCCCCAGGTAGCTTAATGCACACGAGCTTCGAGTAGTGGCAACATTTTCATTTGAACACGATCGCACTACAAGCTCAGAAACAACCGCTAGAACAGATATGAGGAAATGTAAAATGCCTCAGATCGTAGTGCTCAGACCAAACTACCAGATCGTCCTACACCATGCCGGAAGGCAAGAGGTCCGGCGAATGTCCGGTATAATATGCAGATCCACGAGGCTCTTACCTTTTGCGAGAGAGAAGTTTGATTCTTAGGGGCCCGTACACATTCGGAGCAGCGGCAGTTCAGATTCTTCTTTCTCATTCCCGTGAAATTCGAGATTCGATAGATTGTCCAGGGCACGGTAAACAGCCCCATAACGGACAGGATGAAGATGGGAAACAAAGAGCTCATCTCCTCGGACGCCGCCATCTCTGCGAAGCTTCAATCCACCACCCACGAAAATCACAGACCGACAGACAGAAGAGAAGAGAAGAAGAGATCCGAGAGAATCCACCCACAGAATACGAGCTTCACTACGATCGGATCAAAACCCCAATGCGATCCGAATTTTCAAGAGAGTAGGTTTGACATTCTGCGCGTCCTCCACGACGCCTGCACGCGTAAACCTTCCTTCGTCCATCAAAACACCACCGCGCGATCCAATCCTCTTCTCTTCGACAACCTCCACCTCCTCCCAGTCCTATCCCTGCCTCCCTGCCTACGATCGACTAATCTTCGCCCGCAGCGCGCTGCCTTCAAAATCGCCGTCCTCCTCTGCCCTGACGCCGGCCACGAACGAGGGACGACGGCCCTCCCATGAAAAGAGCAGAACAACACCTGCCACTCGCGATCCGCTTCGTGGCCGAGTGGCTTCAAATTCCGCGCCCGCCCTTGCCTCCTTCAATTCCTTCGACCGAACTCGAACTCTGTCCGCAGCAAGTGCGCATCGGTGGAGCTCGGCAGCCTCTTCCCCCGGCAACAAATTTCGTCCCGTGCCTCGAGCGAGGGGCTTGGGCTTGGGCTTGGGGGTGGGGGCGGGGGCTATCTGGGAGCTATCTGCGCTTCCGGCTTCGTCCTTCGTCCGCCGCCTTCCTTCCTTCCTTCCTTCTGCGAACTGGACCCATGCTTCGAGCGAGGGGCTTGGGCTTGGGCTTGGGGGTGGGGGCTATCTGGGGGCTATCTGCGCTTCCGGCTTCGTCCTTCGTCAGCCGCCTTCCTTCCTTCCTTCCTTCCGTCTACGAAATGGACGCCCGAGCGTCTGCCGGTTCCGCGTGCTGTGCCGGTAATGGTCATGCACAATAGTGTCTCCACGTGTGCCCTCCTCATTGGCTCGAGCCGCTTCCGTGTCCTCGTATTGGTCCACCGTGCTCTCCACGTCAGCCGCTTGACAAGCCCCGGCCCGCCCCCTGCCCCCTGCCCCCGGCCCTGCCCCTCCCTCCCTCCCTCCCCTTCCTTCGCTTCTTGGGATCGTAGTCGATGGCACGAGAGTCCATCGCCTTCGGATCGACGACGAGCTTCGGAAGAAACGTTCTACGAATTGGAAGGGAGCATCGAACGACCGATATCCATGTCCGTGGTCGAGATTCGGTGCTCGGTTTTGTGAAAAAACATCGAGGCGTGGATCTCGGACGGCGAGGCTTGTCTGTGCTTTTGTTCTTGAGCTCGTCTGGAGTGGTTTCATGTTCTCCTCCTTTTCCCGAAGATGGAAGCGAGTTCTCTCACTCGAGCTGCATCGATGAGTCGAATCTGAAATGTATCGTCTGATGTGTATTTTCAACACGATCCTGTTCGATAGAACGAAATCCTCAACAAAGGTGAATATTTTCTTGTTTTCAATCTTGACTGGAAACCTTAGAATCTTTTAAATCAATGAGCATATCAGGAAACGCGATGTCTTGGAAAATGTTGGAATAAATATCTAAAAAGATTAGCTAATATATTGCACTTTAAAACTTCTGCTAAAAGTTGGGTATGTATGGTTACTGACAATGATTTAAAATCATTACAGCTGATTTTATCTCTCTCTGAAGATGTGCTTGAATCATCGATCAATCAGGATAGTGTAGGTTATAACCTACACTTCCAGATTGATCGATTATACTATGTTGAGGATCTTGCACTAGATCAGAGTCCCAAATACGATGAAGTAGTTTCAATCTTGTTGCTTCTTTTGATAAGCATATGATGTTATTCGAGCAACATAATCATGAAAGGAAATGCATTCAAGTTTAAGTGGGATAAAAGCCACAAATAGGATATAATAACATATGAACATGTCAAGCAAATTTACGGTGCGATAATGTAGGACAACAAGAACGAAGAAAATGATTTCTGTGAACCAGGAACGAAGGTGTAATAAAGTTCGATCATCTTGGTAGATTTTGGGAAGAAGACTTCGAAGCCCGAGAAGCCTGCGATCGTATCTGGATCGATCTCTGGATCTTGAACGATCAAGATGGAGAGATTACTCTTGTCGGATTCGGGTTTTGTCAAACTTGCCCAGTGCATAAGCAGATGTGAACGAAATGTACACCCCGGATGACCTCACGAACCAGTCACCGTCCAACAGCGTCAGTCCACTTAAAACTTATCCTACTGAAATTTATCATAAATCAAATCGGGAAGACGGCGTATTAAGAATTTTAAAGATATCTATGGACGAGGTATCTTCTTTAGGTTCATATTCAGTATAGGAACACGTCTGTCACTCTTTTAACATTCACTATTACGATGTACAGTATTGCAATCGACGATTGTGGCACATCTGATTGGCGAAGTAGTAGTGTCACGTGACTCCATGCGTAGATGATAGGAGAACTGGGAACATGTTGATAGCCAGAGCATTCCCAGACCTGCTAAAGGACAGTAAAGCTTCGTAACGAAGTATGCGTTAAAGTCAATGAATCTCGACGTACATGAGTTCACCACTTCTTGTGATAACGGAGTCGTACGAGTACAATCAGGCAGTTAGCACTTACTGGACAAGGAGTGTTAGATCTAAAACGTTTGCTTCCAGTTGAAGAGTGTGACTGCACGACTGGGTCAGGGACTTAGCGAGCAGAATGTAAAAGAGTCTCTGTCAAGCAGCTGAATCCTGCTGTGCACGGTTACTAATCATGCTTTTCCTCTCGAATGACCCGTGGCAATAGGGTACTGTACTCGAGTGTAGCACTGCTGTACGTAGAGAATCAGCGAACTTGTACTGAAATATAAAGAATTGTTTATAGAGAGCACCAAATCATCTCCAGTACGAGCATGTACCTGTACAGACGTGTTCGTCCTCTCTTGCTCCGTGTCCATGTCAACCGATCACAATGTCTATCGTGGACACCGGAAGTCATGAAGACTCAGTGAGGCTTCACACATACGCAGGGTTGCACAACAACAGAATGTGTAGCACGTCGACGTCTTATGCACAACGCACGGCCCACACGTGCCTCAAAGTCGGACGTACGCTTTACACAGGATCCACTTCGGCGCAGCGAACTCATGCGAGTTAGCGAGACGGTACAATATCTTCCAACGTCATGCCTCCACATCTCCTTTTCAGGATTCTTAAAAAAAGGCACTCTTGTATTGCATCATTGTTACCCCAAGATTGCCTTTCATGCCTGTATTTGGTATAATGGCGATTTACCCTACAGTGCATGGTTTATAAAGGTTTGTCCAGAATTTTAAGGAGTCGGCAATGAGTGGCAAAGGAGTGAGGTAAAAGTAGGACTCGATTCCATCCACCAACGTAATTGATAAGCCGGATCAGCTGTGAAATATTGACATGTTATCTGGAAATGTTACAACCTCCTCACGTATATCCATGAGCCGAGCCCTAGATAAATACAGTTGACTGTAATTTACAGACGAATGTGACTGATTTACAGATTGTACTCGGGCAAATCAACAATTTCTATCACAAGGTGACCCCCAAAAAGCTGGGGAAGCTCTCATACTTCGGTTCCCAGCCAGTCATCCGTCTTGTTCGATTGTTGTTCATTCTCTTTCCCAAGGGTCCCTCAGAGCCTGAAAATGACGTCCAGATTGAGAGAGTTAGAAATAGATTTAGTTTTACATTCTGGGTACAAGGCTATAATAACAGAGAGATGATTATTACAATTGAACAACTTGGCAACTTTTGGGATAATGCTACTGACAGGGCCCCTCGGATTCTTTGAATTTTTCAAATAAGAGAGCGTTGTGAACAGCATGTGATATCACATATGTTCGTAGGTATTCACGAAAAAGATCATTCTGAAAAAACATTTGTCAAATAATAAAATAAAACCAAGCGCATTATTTTAAAGAAGAAAACCTACTTGTGAATCCTTCGAACTTCTTATCATACTTTCCGCTTTTGTTAACAGCATCCATAATTTCCTGCCTGTGAAATCACAAGAACTTTGAATTAGATCGATTATATTCCACGTGACAAGCCTTATCTTCTGCTCAAGGAAGACGAATCAGTATGGTAGTACTCTCCAAATCTATGAACCTAATGAGAGGTATAGAAAAAAATAAACTCCATCTAGCTGAGATCGTGTAATCCGATGTGCAGATGGTCAGGTTGAATTAAACTACCAACCTTGAAACTGGATGATTATCACATCCAAGAAAAATTTGACCTCGGTGTTCAGCCCTTAAGATGGCTACGCAAAGAGAAGCCGCATCCTGTCAAATTGCAATGTTCCACCGGTCATACTTACTTCAGACTAAGAACTGAAGGAGTAAAACAGAGCACACGCATAAGCCCGGTCCGTCCTTTATATGCTTTCAGTTTAACTGTACAGAAGATCCAGAAGGAAAAGCGCGCATGTAAAGTCATATGAAAAGCAGACATACCTCGTAATGGATGAGATTCACTATGTGGTCAGGTCGTTGTGCTATGGTCCCTTGGCTAAGATAATAGCTATGAGCTCCCCGCTCCAAAGTGTAAAAAATAAGTCAAGGCCAGAAACCGCGGGAGAAAGAATGGGCCGACAAACAGCTTGGTGAACAACAATGGGAATCTAAAGCAGCAAGCCGCAACAGCAGAACCCTGTTACGAATTTCATAAATAAAAGAATCATCACTATGGCCTTCACAGGTAGATTGGAAGAGGATATATATAGTCCGGCCAGTCTAACAACATTGCCTCCGACCTTCAGGACCTCTTCCTCTGCTCCATGCAATCTATCAGTACGGGGTCCAGCTCCTTTCGGGACTATGGGAGCAGTCTCCTGCAAGCCACCATACATAGATGAAACACAAAACCTACTTTGGAGGCTGACAGACAGCATGTAGAAATTTGATCGTTAAGAACGAAAAGACGTGTCAATGTAGCTAGAACTGTGTACCATAAGCATGTTAGAACACACTTTTTTTCTTCAAAATAGTCGCTTGTCGCTAGCTTTTATTGGTTAGGACATTGGTTTAGAGAACTCGCTTATATCATCGATTCTGAGATGGACGGGCCAAAGATCGATAGACAAACCCTGTGAGTTATTTGTTGCCAATGCGCCTGGGCAGCTCAATAAGGGAGTTCAGAAGACCGCTTAAGATGCTCCTACTATAAGCACCAACATAAGTGGTCTTTGTACGTTGTAAGTTATAGCATTCAAGACTGCTACATACATACTACTGCTGAAGAGATTCACTGGACTTTCAAAGATGACATAGTCAGGCTGAACAATCCTTCGAAGGAATGTATCACAGAGACAGCAGTAGATGATGATGGGGTGTTTGGCTGAAACATAGACTAGCTGCCTTTGCGTTTAGTCTAAAATTTTCTTCTAAAACGGCTTTCTTCGAAGAGACACGATGAATTTTCTTCCTTACTTCCAAATCTGCCAACAATTGCGTACCTCGTCACAGACACCGTTGTCGCTAACGGCATACAGGGCACTGCTGGACGTAAATAGCAGACATCCTTCTCCATTCCATCTCTCGGCGGCCGCCCTGTATCACGGCGTATTGAACTTTGAGAAGAGTAGAACTTGCCTTCCATAATCAAAGCAATCGACGGCCCTTTGAATTCAACATTGCATTTATTTGGTCTCGAGCTGACTATATACAAGTGACAGTATTTGTCCAACCTGACTTCAGCAGCATAATCTGCACTCCCTGAAGGAGGAGCACAGAATATCACATTTGGGAATTTCTCCCCCTTACTGGCATCTTTGGCGACAGGTATAATGCCAAGGCTCCGCAGCTCCTCATGGCGATTCGTACTATTTGTCTGACCAACAACGTTGCACTCTCCCTCGTTCACCTGATTTGGACTCACAGGTAAGTATTTGTGCTCCGCCGATTTCGGTCCAAAACCAGCTAGGACGTGCTAAGATATAGATTTAAGAGTTAGCTGAACACGAGTAATGAGCAGCAACTGTGTCAAGATTATACAGAACCGCCCTCGTAGAATGAATTTTATGGAGTGCAAACCTTGAACCATTGCTGTGCAACCAAACTTCCCAAAACTCCGGGTCCCACGACAAGAAGGTCCACTTTCGAGGGGGTGAAGGACGACGATTCGTCCAATGCATTCTGTAGAAAAGAAAGCTACCAATGCGTTACTGAGTATAACATTCCTCAAGGGCTGAACGACAGCTGCAGACGAGGAAAAAATGTAAGAATCTAATTTCCTCTGTCAGCTGAAATACGGTGCCCGAGTAGCATTAATGTAAAAGCTACTGACATCAACAATGTCTGAAGCATGGAGTCATGGAGGATCGAGCTCAGACTAGAATTTCATCATCCGCGAAAAAACTGTTAGAACTGGTCGAGGCTAGTTGCGTACTTTCTCAACTGTCTCAGCAGTTGCCATTGCGACCACTCCCGCCTGATGAGAGGATCCACAAACATGACGTCGGTACAGAAAGTTATGATAAAATCTGAAACGCAAGAAGGAGCAGGACAAGAAAAGCTAACTGCACCAAACGCAAATCGCAATAAATCTTCACGCTCGACGGGTGACCAATCACTGGAAAAAACGCGGAATTATCGTTGTACCGAATTGCAGAAACGAGGATATGACTAGAATGGGGAGAAACCAGAAATTTCTTGGTTCTTCGGACAGCGACACTCGACGGCACGAATTTTGGACGTGCGACGACCACCGACTGAACCCTGCTCGACTCTCGACAATCTAAACGCAAACGAGAGGAATTGGACCGGGGCGGAATTGCAGTCATCGCCAGGGCGCCATTCTTCGGCACGGCCTGTGCGGCGGCGGAAGCAAACGCGGACGAAACGCAGCAGGCGGCACTCGTCGTCGAGGCCATGGCCTCGGTCTGGCGTCGAGCACAGGCAGCACAAGAAGCAGCGAGCGAGCGAGCGAGGGATGGCGATGGCGATGGCAGAGGCAGAGGCAGAGGAGGTCCACCTCGAGCGCGACTCGAATTCTTCTTCGTCGTCGACGATCCGGATTTCCGATTCCCTGTTCACACTGCACCTTAACTCGGCTCGTAGGGTTTATCCACTGGATTGCGATCCATAATCACGACACTCCGGTCCGCCTTCGGGAACTCTCGGTCTCTCTCTCCGTCTTCTATTCTGCATGAGGCTTCGTCATTCCTACAGCACTCTGCGATGGATGGTCCCCGATGGATTAATTATGCTCGCAATTAATTAACTCTCTAAAGTAATTGCGATTTAAAGGCTTTGTGTAATTCGTGCCATTGGCCTTATGAAACATTGGTACAGAGTAAAATGATTGAAGTTGGGGAGACGGAATGAGTGATAACATGGTGTTAGAGTCTAACAATCATGTTCCCAATGGAACCATGTGCCATTGTCGCGTGTTTATTCTACCATACTTATGTTAAACTGATTCCGTTTAACGTAAACATTTAACGAATGATTTGACAGAATTGTTTTCCAAGGGATGATACAAGTTTGTTGGCTTTTCTATTTTTGTCCACTATTAATAATACAATCTAATTTTCCTTGTTTATGATAATTGAAGTTAATGATTTAAATATGACCAAATCCGTGGAGTTGATAACACCTACAATAATTTATCCCCCATAAGTACAATGAACTATACATCACTTACACAAAGAATAATGGCGCCTAATCTAATCCATGATGTAGAAAATTACCATAAGATTTAGTTTTAAGCTTCCCTTTTGTAGTTACTGACAAAGTATGTTACATACCAACATATCTGTTCACAATTAGATCTATAATAGATGATATTTGCATATGATTCATGTTTTGACCACAATGATAAATTTTATATATTAAGTTATAAATTACTGTATATTTTGATCTTGAATGATACTTATAATATGACCATTGGTTTAACCTACTTTGCTTTACAGTCTAATTCAAATCTTCATATCAATCGTATAATGTGTCAATATATATTTGTAAAAAAAATAAAATTGCATATACCATTCAGTTATGTGTTTGAAGTTGCCATTAGGATTTGGTAGTTGCTGAGTCTTTTATCATGAAACTCAATCATATATATAAAATAAGTAAAAGCACTGTCAGGTTATCCATGGATAAAACTAAAAAAGAAAGATGAGTCCAAATTCAAAAAATATAAACCTTTAAGTATAAAAAATCTGCACCTTTTTATCCAAAAGTTCTACAGAATACAATAGTATTGTGTAGAAAGGATCCAAGGAAACACTCCTAAAGAAAAATTGATTTTGCTATAAATAATTTTATGTGATAATCTTCCTCCAAATTGCAATTATAATACTGTAATTCTTTCAAGTTTATGGAACAAAATATTGAACAGTTTGTACTCCCTGCAGTTTAAGACAATATTATTTTCAATCGCTATCTATAGTTTGGATGTACACACATAACGGAACTCTCCAGACATACTACTGTTAACTCTATATTAAATATATTACTGAATAGCCAATATAAAACATCACTTCTACTTTATTCTACATAATGTGAATGAACAAGTTTTGATCATTTATATTGAGGTTAGTTATATTACATTTGCAACTAAGTTTCACTCGGATAAGTCGATATGCAATGTTATATATCCATGCTTACGCCTCATATTATAAAACGAGTTGTTGCAGTTTGAAGATGTTTCCAAAAGTTTTCATGCTTAATCTCTATGAACTTGTTTGATTCGTTACATACGATAAATTTCTTCTCGTGAATTTAAAGCTTGTTTTCAAGCTTCGTCATCATGTCAAACTTCAACTTTTAGACTGAGCTTACTTGCATCATTTTAGTAATCTTCGTAAAGATGAGTAACATTCGGTGTTTTTTGCCCTGATTTATTTTCATAAATTTCGATGAAACATCCCAACATCCTCCGGCAGGTTTGAGAGGACTACGCATGTATATGAGGGTGTCTTGCATATTCGTATTGAAACCCACTTCGATATTTGCAGTCATCTTCAAAAGTCATGGCTTTTTGACATAGTCTGTTGATACAGACTCGATCGGGAAGAGTAAAATGGGACATTTACTCGTCTTTTAGGGTCTTCAAGTGAGCTTCAGTCACGGGTCAACAAATCACAGCTTCCAACCCATTGTATGTAGATTTTTTCATTGGTTCGAAAGGAGGCAAAGTATCGATTAAAAGTAACACTCAGTCTTTACTACATTTTCTTCAAGTTCACATCAAAGGAATGTTTCTCGTCCTGAGTGCTCTACAAGCTTTACATGGTTTCCATAATGAGGCGGCAGGTTTCTACCGCCATCTCCCTAGCTTCACAGTTGGAAACCTCATTAAAGTGCAACTACGCACTCTGCACCAATCTTTGCAACTGGTGCTATTGGTGGCTTTGAAATCTTAATAGTTAATCTACCAAAAGATCGAACCAGTCCATCTATCTCCTAATCTCATACAATGAAGTGTATCCGGCCCCAACTTACAATCACATGGGTGCAGAGTTTCTAGTTGGGTGTAAGTGGATTTTCTTCGCGTTTGAGGTCAGAAAGACTAGTCATGATCGACTGCACATCACCGCGGGCCTGAGTTTCCCGGTCCTCCTTGCCAAGGACGAAAGAGCAAGGGAGAAAGATACTCACTAAGACTGCATCTACTTACGCTGACGTGGAGTCTTGAGAGAAACTGCCCGTTAGGAGACTTCTCGGTCAGACGGATGCACGTAGTAAGATCAAACTGAACAACCAGGCAAGAATATCTTCTACTGAAGACATCCGCATGCAATCATGCAGTTTTGAAGGTGACTGAAATACAACGTAGTTACTGATGAATAACAGAAACACCTTTGATCGGATCAGGTGCATAGAAGCATGTGATAACCAGATTCCTGTTTCTGTTCCTCATCCAGAGGGTAAGTTCAAGTAGTAAGGCTCCTAGGTGACGACTTTCCTCCGAGTGCTACTCCAGACTCCAACAAGGAATATTGAAAGGAACAGTTCCGGTATATTGTCATCAGATTCACTCTCGGATGCAACAATAACCTATATTCAAACTTACCTAGAATATTCACTCATACAATGTAACCTACGCTCCAGATGTTTCGGCAACTGACGTTGAATGAGATTTCAAAATTGGTTTTGTTGGGCAGTCAGAAGGCATGTTCAGAACCATATATAACAAGATAACCTAGAGACTTCGACACATGAGTGTATGTCCCGGTGAGACTGAAGGTCGTCATGAGGTTGATGAAGCAGTGCGCCGAAGTGCGGGAAGCTCTCAAAATACCTGATAGATAGGTGGTCACTTCGAATGGAGCCTCTGGAAGAGAGCTGACGCAAGTATTTCATCGCTACACCATGAAAAGAGCTGAGGCTGGATATTCGGCTTGCGAAAAAAGAGGAAGATTTGGTGCTATGACTCAATCATGGCTCACTTCAAAAGTTAATTAACTGAAGCTGGTAGACATATCCTTCATCAGGTCGAGTGATCAGAGGGATGATCGTGACGGTCGAGGCTTCTTTGTGATGCGCCCAAATCGTCTCCAGATCTGCGTTTGCTTAGGCTTGCTCGCTGCATGAGACGGACCAATGCTTGCACTACTTCTGACATAGGAGGTCGAAATTCGGGCTCCGGCTGCAACATCGGTCACGATTTTAGTTAAATATAAAGCGAAACACAACTCGCGTTCCCGTCTGATTAACTATGCTCGCAGTATGGTCAGCTCTGTTTTCATCACGAAAAATCAGAAAATTCAGAATGCTTACCTGTACACAGAGCGCAACAATATCCGCGAATCGAGACAAAGATTTAGCAGGGTAAATGCCCTTCAACGCAGGATCCACCATTCTGGAAAGTGCGTCGATATCATGAAGTTGTGGAATTGCCCATCTCACCAGAGACTGCTCTTGTCGGGACCTTGAACTGCACCCAGTAAGAGTAGCGGGCCAGATAAGTAAACACGATTCATACCTCTCAGTAATACGCACTTCGTTGAGATACAAGCTTTCAGATTAAAAAACACTTCTTCCGAGATACGAAGCTAGCTCCGACATTCGAGAAACTATGTGCTAGGTTGGTGCGCGCTGATCTACCATATTTTCTGGGCAGTTTAAACAAGTGGCGACGAATCTTGGGACTACAAAAAACCTTCAAAGTACCTGTCTAGAGGCTTGCGGCCTGTCAACAGCTCGAGCATCACCACGCCAAAGCTATAAACATCGCTTTTCACAGTGTATACACCTGACATGGCGTATTCCGGAGCACTGTATCCGAATGATCCCAACATATTTGCTGAAACCTGCATAACCGTTGAGCGCATGATCATTAGCGCCATACAAAGCCAAATATTACTCAACAGAAATCATATTTTTCCAAATTGTTTATACTGAAAGCACTCATACCTGACGGTCTGAACCATAGGGAATCAGCGCGGCGATTCCACAATCAGACAGATGGGGGTTCAAGTCGTCATTGAGAAGAATGTTCCCGGACTTGAAATTCCGATGTACTACCGAGGGCAAGCAGACTTCGTGCAGGTACCTGTAATGAGAAAATAATTAAATCAGTTTAAAATCATACCAGCAAGGAGTTCGGCACAGTTCGGCATATCCCGCACTGCTCAAAAGCAGCAAAGGGAGTTATATTTTCTGAACCCAAATCACCACCGAGCTGAAGACAACAGTTACTTTCTGGTATGACTACTTGCAGTGGACGTCAGAAGATTTCTCAATTCAAAGATTCAAACTCTACAAGTCTGTAAATCTTGTATATCAAAGCAAGTCTCAGAAACTTACTCCAAAGCACGAGCAGCACCCAACGCTACTTTCACCCGCATATTCCACGATAGCTTCTTCGAAGATTCATCCGCTGAGTGGAGCATTTCATGCAAAGTTCCTCTACTAACATACTCGTAAACCAGGAGGCGTTGTCCATGCTCAGAGCAATAACCAACAAGCTCTGTAATATTCACGTGTCGAAGTCGAGCGATGTTTCCAACAATTGCGAGGAAATCCTCTTCATTTTGGACCACCGGTGCTGACGTATCGAGCTTCTTCACGGCGAGTACCTAAATCATGCAAAACACCTCTGCGTGTTAAAAGATGGTTCTGTTGCTTGCCATGTTGATAAATCGCAGAGATATCTGTTTCAATCGGTTTGCAGTTTGACCAAGTCAAGTTCCGGTGCTCAATACATGGTAAAAACCAGTCTTACCTGGCCATCAGGGAAGTCAGCGCGGTAAACTCGGCCAAGGGATCCTTCCCCGATTAAATTTTCCTGGGCAAAGCTGTTAGTGGCGACCTGAAGGTCAGCTACGGAGTACACTGATGCAGATATGGTGCTCCTTAAACTCTTGACCGATGAGGGCCTTCCCGAGCTGATGTCTGCTGGCACTGGCTTGTAACCTGAGGGAGGAAGCTTGAGAACCTTCTCAGGGGGAGAGGCTTTGATTTTCTCTTCCTTGCCCTCCTTCTCACCCATGAATGCTGTGGGTAATATAAGAAAGTTAGATCATACATTTAATGAATCCAACTACCAATTTTATTAAAATTATCGAAGAGTCTAAAAGCATACAAAATTCATCCAAAGTTGCATATCCAATTTTCGTGGGCTTGGACACTACCTTGCGCACTGAAGTACGACTTTGCATCGCTATTGGATTTTTCTGCGACAAATTACAATCATGTCCACACATGAGTCCAGAAGTGAAGTTCAAAGCGGAGTCAAAAACTGCACCAAGAGACATATTCTTCCAACATATGCTTTTACCATGTGCATATGGTAAAAGCATAAAGGTCTTCGTAATTTAAAAAAAGGGATAATCTCAAGTAATAGGTACGGTCATATACTGCCAAGCTAAAATGGTTGGAAGAAGACAGTCTTAATTTGGAGACTCTAGTCTGTACAATCATCCAGGCTTCTGATTGAAAATGACGATGATGAAGATATCATCGATAGGATCTACAACCAAAAGATTCGTAATGGATATCTGCGGAGCGAAATAGCAGCTCCTTAAGGACCCATACACCCGTGGACAGACGGAACGGAAGCAATCGACAAACTACATAAAAGGCCGTAAGAGTAGTATTAATCGACAGACATAACGCCTGATAAAGCCAATTTCAGAGTTGAATTATCAATACTAAATGCTTCCAGCATTATGTGAATTCAAGTTGCTACGAGACCTGAGACATGACCTAGTGTACAGAAGAAGTTTAAAAGATCAAGAACATGGAAGAATTCCGGAATTACCTTTAGCAGGGGGAATAAGAGGTCCTAACCAGGATGAGCTGTTCGCCTGTTTGTCGTCCTCCTTAGTGACACCCTCTTCTCGTTTCCTCCACTTGAAAAATAGAACTATCAGTCCTACGGCAACCACGGCAAGAATGGCTGCGATAGTTATGCCTGCGATTCGCCCACCTGACCAGAAGGATGAGCTATCCTGACTATCAGGAGAAGCAGGAGCCTTCTTCGGAGGGGATTTTTTCGGAGGGGTCCCGGGAGGAGGTGGAGTAAGAGGAGGTGGAGGAGGTGCGGGCGAACTGCTCAATGGGTTTCCGTTGGACCTGCAAGCCAACACCAAAGGAGATATTAGTATGAAGGATACGAAAGGAAAAAGCACCAAAGGCCGAACACTGTACATCGTCTAGTCCATGGACAGATGAAGTTCGCAAATTTATGTCCACACAACAAGAACGCACACCTTGTACTTCTATTTCATTGATAACTTAAGCTACTCGAGTTCTTAGGTTCAAGTGAAGTACTGAAGTGAAGGAATTGATAGTAGCGGTCCTGGAATCCAGCCTGTAAATTGGTTGTTGGAGATGTCTCTGCACAATATTCACAAAGTGCCAAACATTTCCGAAGTTCAAAAAATAGAAGGTAAAGACCAAAATCCTTCTCTCAATAACTGAGCAAAACTGAATCGCCTTGATCCTTCTGCGAAAAATATTGGTCAACAATTATGCTAGAAAGGAAACTTGCACCATGCGACATATCTGTATATACCAAAACATAGACAAAGTGAAGAAATATGAGAGCGACGAAGTGAGTGCAATGGTATATGTCATATCTCGACAATAGGAGAGCGTGACGGGCCAGAATATACGTACAAAGTTTGCAGAGGCAGAGTTTCCAGATTCTCGAGGCCCGAGCTGAGCTGATTATCTTGCATATACCTGAGTAGCAATGACAATCTAATCAAATTTACAGCACAAAAGGATTTCTTTCAAATGGCCAGACTGTGAAGAAAAGGATTGCGTAAAAAGTGAACGGAGAACGTCTTCTTGAAGCGAATGAAACTTGTAAAAGGACCTACAACGCAGTCAGGCTTGTCAAGTTGCTGAAGGACTTCGGAACAGCGCCGTTTAGCTGGTTGAATGAAACATCACTGCAAGCAGAAGGCAAGATAAAAGTTAGTTCAAGTCCAGCAGAATACAAGCTACGGCTTTATACACGGACATACTGATGGAGTTCCGAGAGTATAAAATACATTGATTTGTTATACTAGAGGAAAACGTAGAAAGGCCTCTTCCAGAAAAAAATTCCTCACTTTAAACTCTGAGCTGTCTGCTCAATTCTAGCCTAGAATGAATCATTGTAGGTTGACGTACAGAGCGGCTTACATGGTAGCCAGACTTGCGAGCTTCAGGAAATTATCCGGTATATTGCCTGTGAAATTGTTGTTGGCTAACCTCCTATAACGCACAAGCAAAACCCACAGGACACGATCAACTTGGAGTGCAGTAGAATGTAAGCTTCACAATTTAAGTTGTGGTCCTAAGAGGGCAAATATCTCAACAATCAACTACTACTAAGCAAATATGAATTTGCAACTTAATGTAGAAAGCATCACATTACATCACACATTTACAAGAATGTGAGGAATTTGCCTGATGCCAAGTCAGCATCGAGCTAAGCTTCACGCAATTAAAGGCAGGCGCAACAACTGCTATACATTTCCACATCATACGTTTGATTTCCGAATCTCAGCAACGCCAAGCAAGGAGGATTCGGAAGTGCATTGAAATCCCGTCCTAAATTTTAGCTTCTAAATTTCGTAATACTTACAATTCGGTTAGCTCCACCAGCTGCCCCATCGACCAGGGAAGAGTTTGGCTGAGACGATTTCTCTGCAAATTCCTGCATAGAAAGATTTCAATAAACTACGTGAGAGAGCTACCCGGCTACAATTTTCTTATGGAATATTCTTGGAAATTCCCATTTATCGAATGCATCCATCATCGAGGAAATTCTTCCCCACCATAGTATCTCCAAGATTACTACTTTGTATACATGTTTACAAATTTGTAAAATGTCAATCAAGCCCCCGGTCTATTTCCTAAGCGTTGACTCTTATATTAAAAGAATCTGCATAGTAGAATTCACAGGTACTTACAACTGACGAATATTTGGAGGCATGTTGTATGGTAGTTGTCCCTCGAGCTGATTATTGCTCAAATCCCTGAAACAGACGACAAACGTAACATGAAAAGACATGGAGAGTGATCTCCACATTCCTCACGAGATCGCGTGGAAGAAAACCAATTTTTAAGTTCCGTGTCGATTCGTGATGAAGTCAACCGAAGACGTTGATGATCGGACGTGGACCCGATGGCCGATATATTCAGATTAGCACACCTTACGCTTGGGAACAGCGTATTGAAAAAAGGTAGGCAGCCAGCGAGAAATGGTGTACTTACAAAGATTGAAGGTTCTTCAGCCTGTCCAGTGACCAACCCAGAGCTCCTTGCAATTCCAGACCAGAGAGTTGGCTGCGACACACAATGCACAAATCTGAGATCAAGCTATACACGGAACTGATATACCCACGTTTCTATCTTGAAACTGGGATGACCACTAGAAAACTCGAAGAGAAGGGCGTGAGCGCATGCCCAGCTCGAAAGTTAACACCAAACCACTTCAATTTCAACGCTTCGAACGCTGCGAAAGCCCAAAGAAGGACCGACGGAGTAAAAATCACTGGGAGTAGTTTCTTACATTTGAGTCACACTGGGTCCATTACAGGTGACACCTTGCCAGTTTTCCGCACAAGGATCTCCGCCGTTTAAAATCCATCCAGTGAGTAGCGGTGAGTTCAGGCTCTGATATAGCTGCTGAAGTCCTTGAACTGCAAACCACCAGGGACATCTTTGTTAAGTTTGCAGTGTCGTGAAATAAGTTGGACTTCGTCGGAGACATCAACCATTTCTCACCGGCCGATAAACCACATTGCGCTCAGTAGATGAGCGCGAAACTTCCGAATGTCAAACTTCCTAACCGGAAGACAAATCCCAAGTCCCTCAGCACGCCGATTGCGATGATGCTAACTTGACTGCCTCGATCGCGCTTGATAACACGTTCAAGCTTCATGTTATCGCTTTGGCTTATCGCGGACAAACAAGGGGATCACAGACTAAGTGATATGAGATACCGGTAGCAATCAAGTGGATCTTTATCACTCACACCATTGTCCTCCTGGACAGGATGAGTCGGCGGCAGTCAGATTATATGCATTTCAGTAAATGATGGCAATGCAAGGCCTGATCAGAAAAGTAAGAGGGGGCGAGTCGTAACACGAAATTTCACAAACTGCTTCTTCGGTTATGGCAATACACACGAGACTTGGTCCACAGACATAACAATGCGACGTGAAGGGCGACTAATTACAAAACCAATGGAAGTTGAGCTGCGCGATCGACACGAATTCGAGCTTCGTTGAATGACACGCGTGTAGTAAATGGGAAGAACGCAAAGACTCGATGGTAATGTTACAGGAAGTTCAGCGATCGACTCTGAAACTTGTAGATGTTGAGTTCCTCGATGTGGAGGAACGCAACGATAACAGAGTCCGGAACAACTTTGTGACTCGCAGTGTCAACCGCCTGCACGAATGACATATACTGTTGCAGAGTTGAGAAACGAACCATCGTCCTGATCAGTAACGCCATCAATGGCCGGATACAAGGTCGCCAAAATTCCTAGGACCAGAAAACCGACCCACACACCACGCGACATTCTTCCCGAAAGACTCATGCAATGCCCATCAACTACGAGCGTCGTTCTCCCGAAAACAATCCCCGGTCCGGCCCTATTCTCGTCTCCTCCAACAGCTTCTCTACTTCCTACAGAGCGTCGCTGCTCCTGCTCCTGCTCCGCTGCTCCAAAGTGGTCTCAAATCTCAACGCATCTCCAACCTTCCTGTCCGCGAGTGACACCAGCTCCCCAGCAGCAACAGCAGCAGGAGGGATGAGAAGCCGAGGCCTGCAGGAGGACGTATCGACTCGGCCTCAAGCGTCTCCTCGACTGTCTCTCGCTCGTCTCTACAACTGACTGCCCTTCAAGCTTTTGGCAAAATCAACAACGACAACAGACTCGCTAGGCCAGCCCAGCATTCTCATAAAGGCTATGACCTCTCGCCGAGCAAGGCAGCCCAGTGTCAAGGGTGTGGTATGTGCATACACTCCCAACACCAGCACCAACACCAACACCACCACCACTTCCTCCTCCTCCTCCTCCTCCTCCTCTTGCTCCTCTTCCTCCTGCTCTGACCTGCGCCACCATCGCCCCGCCTCTTCCACCTCGCCTACTCTACGAGCCTCCCAGCTCCTCCCGTCCTCTCCGCTCTAATCGCGTACAGTAGTATCGTCGGCCCCACCTCCGCGCTCTCATGAAATTTCTTGGCGTCGTCACTCACGCCCCGCCCTGCATTGCCAGCTGCAGGCGAGCGAGCAAGCAAGCAAGCGATGGAGCGAGCGAGCGCGCGAGAGAAAAGGAGGCTGCGCGAGGTAGCGAGAGCTCGTCGTCGTCGTCCTAATCCGCCCTGCGCCCTTCGCCCTTCGCCTTCCGCTCCGCCTCCGTCTCCCTCGTCGGCCTCTGTCTCTCTCTCTGTGGTCGATCTCGAGAGTCCTCCCGCGCCCGCGCGCTCGGGCCCGTTGCCAGGCAGCCAGCCAGCCCTCGACTTTCCTCCGACGCCCGCAATCGGCGTGGTTCGCGCCACTTTGGCGCCGTCTCGAGGACCGGGAAGGCGGAGGAGCCCTTCCTGACAGGTCACGCGGTGGGCCCACCCCCATCCCCCGCGCCTATCGGACCCGCGGACAGGGCTCCCCCCGCTCCTCCAGTTGTACGCCGGGGATTCGCCCCGTCCCGGTGCCCGCCGGAACAAACCGGTGCACGAGTTGCGACCCCGCCTCCGGCTCGGAAACTGGTGTTCGCTTTGTGTCATGCGGCGAGGGACCCCTGCGACGCCCGGTGTTCCGGCGCCCGCGCCACGTTTCGGCCCGCCGCCACGTGGCGCCGCGCTGGGTGGCTGCTGCTCGTCGCGACTGCCGGTCCGTCGCGAAGGCCGCGTCGGGTCCGCATTGCTGGAACATTTGGTTTGGATCTCGCGCAATACCGTTACTTACCCGCCGCATTTCATAACGGAGACGAGGCTGGTAAACGAAATTGACCGGCTCGATCCCCTGCCCCGCGCGCACCGCGTCGAACGAACGAACGAACGAGAATGCGAAGGGGGCGGATCCGATCTCTCGCCTTTCGGTTCAGACGACGACGACCTCTTCTCCGATCCAGTCTGTCCTCGCTCGCCTCCTTCTTTTCCCTGTTGACCTCGGTAACCTTTGTTGGCCTTTCCGTTCCATCCCGCCGCTGGAGCAGTTCGCAGATCGCAGAAAAAAGTTTTCGTGAGCGGTGAACTTGTTCGCTGTACTGCCTTTCTAGTGGCTCGAGCAACGCTCTCCGCCCCGTGTGATTCTTGGGAATCCCAAATGTCTCCACTGTCAGAGTGCTGAGCTTACCTTGTCCTTGGAGTTGCATCGTTGCGAGGTAAAATGGCAAGAACGATGGGAAGGCCCCATCAAGTCGTACATTGTCCTTGTTGTGATTAAAAAACGAAGATTTTATGAACGGAATGCGCGTACGATCGATCACTGTGCTGCATTAGAAGATCATGTTTTGTTTCAATCTCTTCGAAATTTGACCCTACAACTTTTGGGCTCATCTCATACCTCCATGCGCTTTATTATTCGCGAAAAAGCCCTTAAGCGTTTAGATACAGTTTGGATGATTAATTTTTCAAGCCCCTTAGAGTACCAACAAAGAGTTTATCATCTTGAAAAGATTTCAAGATACAGACGTTTGGTTTCTAGGTTACAGTGACGCATGAACAAAAAGAGATGGTGAAGGCCCTACATTTTGGACATGGCAAGAGGAGAGGCCCACACAACGAAGCAAAAGGCCCAACGGCTGCCTTTCGAGATGAGATAGGAGGACTCAAAGCAAATGTCAGCGCAATGGTTGTTCACAGTAATGATTATAGCTCATCTCAAAGGGCAACTTGGGAGATGCGACGATGCCGGCTTAGTACGGGTGTACCTTGCATCCTACGGTTGTCAATAACCAAAATTGGGATGCGTCCAGCCCAGAAGATACTGTGAAAAATTCTTCCAAAATACGTTGAAAGAAAGTGCATTTTGGATGCCACCCCATCACTTGTGCTACGCATATTTTGGGATACATCTTTGGGGTCAACATTTCGTATCATCAGCAGCTTTTGCTAGGATAGAGCTGGAAGATAATGCTGCACGTGTGACGTTAGGGCATCTTTGCTGTAGAATGAGGCACTGTCTTTAGGGTAACACTTTCCCTGCCGCACAAGATACAGAAGCTAGCTGGGGGTCTTGTGTTCACAGAAATGACAAATGTTAAGCCCATTGTGAGCTTCTACAAAAATCTGCGATTTTGTTAAGAATATATGTTATGCTCAATTTGGTTCTCACTCCTTTTTGGAGCGTCAAATACTTGCCGACATAAGGCGAAGTTTACTCAGAAAGGCTGGGGGTCTTGTGTTCACATGAATGACAAATGTTAAGCCCATTATGAGCTTCTACAAAAATCTGCTATTTTGTTAAGAGTTTATGTTATGCTCAATTTGGTCCTAAATCCAGTCTGGAGCATCAAATACTCGGCGACATAAGGCGAAGTTTACTTAGTAAGTAAGTAGAACATGGAAGCATCAGCTACAGCTCATCGAAGAGGGCCTAGAAAAAAACAAGGGAGGTCCTGCACGGAAGAATTGACAATACGAATAGACAATCTGTAAGAGCTAGGATTGTAAGACGTCCAAAGAGGAGTACGAGGGAACTTTTGACGTTTACCTTGTCACATGGGTAGATCGATTGAGGCTTTCACCATCCAGTGCACACACCAGGAACGAGTGATCGACCCTGAACAGGCTACGAAACGTGTGAAACGAAAGAACACAACACTCCCTGCTAGAAAGGAGTTTGCTTTTCTCTGAAATCTTCAACTTCACTCCATACTTGGAATGAAAGATTGCTGGAGTTCGAACGCATACAATCTTATCGTCCCGTGAAATCGTGTAAAGAATGCATGCATCCAGATACGATGCCAGCTTTGGCTTTCCACTCAGCCCACCAGTTCCTTCACAACAAATGTCCTACGAGTGATGATGTCACGGTTGCAAGGTCAACCACCGTGTGTGCACGCGTAGGCTTCAAGAGCAGAAGAAATATGGAAATAATGAAGCTCGGAAGAATATTAAAAATTGGACTCATTCACAAGGTTCCCGTCTTCGCATCTCATGCACCTGCTCGAGCTCGTTTATGATTTGGGACTTGATTTTCAAACCGCTGCCTCACCTTCAGAATCCTCATGATTCTCAACGAACCTCTCTCATCCCTTTTCCTCTTACTTCAACACTTTTCTTGTGTAAATGTGCAGCGCATGTTCTCTTTTCCTCCTTCCATCCAACAAGTTTTCAACGCCTCAGGAATCTTGTGACAAATCTTTCCACTTTTACCCCTGCTTCGATAAAGATTTCTAGGCCGGAAGACCCTAGTCATCGAGGACGTCTCGAGGGATTATTGAGATTTTATTCACAACTTTTAGATCTCGAAAAGTTTCCGAGCCTTAATCTAAAGCAGATAATCGGAAAATATCAACCATTTTGAGATCAGACAACGCTCTAAATATCCTACGCTCAAATAAGATCAGTTTTGGAAGTATGTGTGTCTTTGAGGTTTTCATCATACCAACGTCATTTCTACCCACCATTATGCAACACCATCTGTTAAGATATAAAACGAATTGCGTGCTACTGTATATTTTAAGTAGTATGTTTGTTTACTCGAAAATCGAAACACTAATTTTCATATCTGAAGTGTTTTGCAAGTATCTATACACATAGTTGCAATTTTTGTAGCATCCATCAATAGTAGTTTGATTCCATGCAACTTGACTCTTATTTCACTCTAGAGAAGATACATCGTGCCTTTACTCAAGAAGTGAATTTTGAAAATTGGTATAAAATTCAAATGATCAAACAAGGCTTACTCCATGAGCTGCAAGATCTAAGTAATAAATTAAAATTTTTAAATATAAACATATTTAAATCAAATGATCATTTCTGACCATTCTTTTCATGGAATCATACATTTAAATCTTAAATTTTGTTATGGCATAGTAAAGAAGTTTTTAAACATCTTTCTAAGCGTCCCTCTGTTAGCAAATTTTAAAAAATGCTAGTTTTCTTTCAAGAAGAAATAAGTATAGTCAATTTAATGTTGGATATATATGCATGTGGTGAAAAATTATTTAAATATGTATTTTATTATATGCATTTGTTGCCGCAATTTCATGTCGATTGAACAAGCAGAAGATGTTTTCTAAAAATGTTGATGTTCAATTACACTTCATACATAATAAGTTAGAATGTTTGGTAGATTGTGATGTTAATAGAATCTAGCCTTGGTTTTCTTACCGTTCCTGCTATATGACCCGGTACTCCAATTGTGTTTCCTGCAATCATTCTGGCAATCTAGCATCAAACCCTTTTAGATTTTATGAAGTTCGTTCCCTCTCGTACCAGATGATATACCATCCGACTGCTGGCGCGGGAACGGGATTCGCAGATGTCGGACCGATTCGTCCTAGACCTCACGCGTAATCCTCAAAACCTCGAGATGCTTTTCGATCTATGTCTAGGTGCACTTTGATTCTCGACTTTCTCGACGGGAGGTATACTCACTCGTCTACGATACAGGACGAATTGAGGTGACATGAAGTCAGACATGCATGTGAGCTTTCCCGTCTGCGTCGTCTCATTCAGAGGAATCTCACACTCCTGGGAATAAGCACACGAGGTCCCACCTTCTCTCTGCGACCCCCACGTCCATCATCGTCCCATCTCGCAGGCCAGACCAGCACATAGCTTGCAGTCCCTCCCTCCCTCCCTCCCTCCCCTCTGCCTGAACGTAGACGGACAGACAGGCCGGCAAGTGCGTGATTTCTATCTAGCTATGGTAGACCTCTCGGACTATCCTAAGGTCTGTATAGAAAGTTTGGATAACGTCAGCTGAGCGTATCTATCTGTCAGGCCCATACAAATGGTTAATCTATGGGCCTATGCAACCTCGATTGACGCCGTGAACCCAGAGTGTTCCCCAGTACCACCGCGCTGCTGCTTCTTGTGCCCAAACAAGCCTTTGTGGTGGCGCGGTGAACGAAATGCGGTGTCTGTGTTGCGGTTTCACGCCGGGTTCGAGGAGCTGCCTTTTTCAGCGTCGTTTTGATGGTATTGTTGATTAATCGTCCCTTCGAAAACATCAGATTAAATTGGAACGATACAGAAAAGATTAGCATGGCCCATGCAGAAGGATGACACGCACAAATCGAGAAAATAAAAAATTCGAGAAACCCTAGTCGGAAAAAAGGGTCTCGGAGCCCTTCCTAGGAATACAATCAGTGCTCAAACGAAAATGTGACCCGGTAGACGATGTTTAGATTAGAAGAGTCCTAATTCCAAACAACCCGAAACTCCAAAATTTAGAAGAGACAAGCTCTTCACGGAGAAGAATAAACACGGACATTCTTCAATCTCCATTCGATACTGTACCTGGACAATGGAACGGGGGCGAGATGTGACAGTGGAAGGAGTTTCGGAGTTTCAGGTTATCTGGAATTGGGGCGAGCCGCAAGTAACCCGCCCGCTCGGTTTCAGCCCTGGTACGGTCGTCTCGCATCGTTTTCGTTATTTCGCTATGGCTATGGATGTCTGGAATGGCCGCTTTGTGTAAGGAAACAGGTGAGGAGAGGAGTGATTCGGGGAATATCATAAACCCTCTCATAATTGAGCCACACCAACCGACATGTCAAAACGGAAACAAACCCAGGGCCTGCTGGGCGCTCAGAAGGATCATATTATGCATATGACGATCAGAGTCCGGTCGTCAGTCAGTCGCAGTGCTTCCATTCTCCGACGTAAGATCCGGATGAATGACAGCACAGGGTTGTAAGAGTGGGACCCGCGCGTCCAACCCCGTGCTCCTGCACCTTTCGGTGATTACTCCCTCCGTCGCCCGCCCGCCCGCCCAGGCCCACCCGTGATTCGATCATCGGTCCAGTTACCGTAGAAGGGCAGCCAGCAGCTTCGCCATGCCTTCGACCTTTTTCACAGTGTCATTCCCTGCTTTACTGCCATAATTTGTTTCCTGTACCATTTTTGCCGTGTTGAATGAAGATTAGAATCTTCTCGCATTATATTTGCCATGGCCTCGCTTTCGGTACTTAGCAGCACAGCGTGATTGTCCTCTCCAGCAACATCGGATTTCTTGGGCTTCGGTCAGCAGTACGGCGCACTCGAGTCGATGTACCCGCTCACCAGTGGAATATTTTATTCATTGTAGAGTGATACTCCGGACACAGAGAAGTATCAGCCCATATTCATCATCATTCGATTGAAACTACGTCTCTAACTTAAAGAATACAAAGAGTTTTATTTTATCATAACGAACAATAATATTTTTTTTCAGTATCGAGAAATCAATGAAACATATTCTTGTTGACTGGTCAATATTTCATTTTTAATCCTTTTTCTTGCGAATGACTCTCATTGTCTCCGCCGGACTCTGTTCATATACTCATGATCCCTCTGTCATTCCCAATCTCAAAAAAGCTTAGAGGGTGCTCTATGTTACTGCCAGGAAAGGACGACAACAAAAGTATACCTCTTGATTCTTATAAATAGAGCAATTTACATGAATTTCGTCATAAAAGAAAATCGATCTATTTGTCACAGGCTCGACGCACATACAATTCACAATGATCGTAAATTGACCAAAAGAGCATAGAGCACAATTATCGTAAAATGAACACAGAGCACCCTCTAAGCTTTTTTGAAATATTGCCAGGAAAGGACGATAGCAAAAGTATACCTCATGATTCTTATAAACAAAGCAGTTTCCATGAATTTTGTCATGAAAGAAATCGATTTATTTGTCAAAGGCTCGACGCACATACAATTCACAATGATCGCAAAATGACCAAAAGAGCATAGAGCACAATTAGCGTAAAATGAACACAAAGCACCCTCTAAGCTTTTTTGAAATATTGCCAGGAAAGGACGATGACAAAAGTATACCTCATGATTCTTATAAACAAAGCAGTTTCCATGAATTTCGTCATGAAAAAAATCGATTTATTTTCTGCAGACTTTTGTTGGAAGAAACGGATACAGAAGATGTCTACATGTTTAGGTGCTCTTTGACTATACAAATCTTTTATCTTTTATCTTTTATTTGTCAAAGGCTCGACGCACTAACAATTCACAATTCTCGTAAAATGACCAAAAGGAATCGATTCAATACTCAGGAAAAAGCTAAATTCGTTGTATGAGGAGAGTCCAGCCAACGAAGGTAAATGCACAACTTGTTTAAAATCTGGACAAATGTGAATACTATAAGTTATCCGGAAGGAAGGATAGAGAGAGAATCGCATGGACGCTGGAACGATCGCGGAGGAGGATAGCAATGATCATTCGTGGCATTGGTGACTCGTAGGTGTGACTCATAATGCGGCTGTACCTCATGGCCATTCAGGAGTTTCTCCATGCTCTCCAGCCAAGCACGACCGCCGCTGGTCAGCCCAGGCCGCTGCTCCACGTACAAGGACTCTCTCAAGCCCCGACGTCCCGCGGCTTCAGAGCCTGCCCTGCCCTGCCCTGCCCTGCCCCGCACATGGACGGCAATGGCGCACATGCCAACTGGTTCTGCTGCTGGCACGTCCGTCCGTCCGATGCATCCGCGGTCAAGCCCACCGCCTCTGACCTCGCGACGAGAGAGAGAGAGAGAGTAATGTCCGTAATGTCTGTAATGTACATGGAATTCATGAAGATGTCCGGCACTGCAAAAACTTTCCGGTGCAACTCACCGGATCGGTCACGGGGCGATTCGCGGGTGGGCTCAGCTCATCAATGGTCGGCTCTGGTGCTCATGATTCTGTTGTACACGGCTATGGCGGTAGCGGGGTCTCGCGGCCAATCGCGGCCGGCTCCGGATTCGCGATCGGTATCTCTAACTTTACAGTATCTCGCTCCGGCATTGGCGATGGCGTCTGGCTAGCTTTCTGGCAGGCAGGCAGGCAGGCAGGCAGGCTGGCTGGCTGTCGTCGTCGTCGCCAGGGAGGGAGCTGCTGATCCGAGAGCATGATTTACTGAGAGCTGGCTTAGCTGGTGAGAGGGGATTGAGACCCGAGACCAGAGACCTGAGACCTGAGATTTGTGAGGAGGATTCCATGGCGTCGGCCGTATGCGCTAGTAGTGCTCACTGCTGCGCGCGCACATGCTCGTCATCCGACACCGTGTCGCGATCGGCCAGCCGGTCAAGGCCGACGAGCTCGTTGCTCTTTCCACCCGCAGGGAAGTTGAGTGCGGGAAAATGCAGCATCAGCAGCAGGTCGAGGAGGTCGTGTGGCGGTGTTCATGTGGTCCGGATGGGGCTCAGAGCTGTCGAGTCGTATGACGCTTCGTTTCAGCTTCTACCTGAGGCAGGGCTCTGACCAGGACTGGAATTTGGCTTGGATTTCACAGTGCATGCATGTGCTGCTGGATTGTCGCTTCCTTGTAGGATCCTCGGGGGTTGTCTTGAACCGGACGCGATTTACGTCCAGGCAGAATCTTGTCCGGATTGGAAAATCATTTTTTTTTTAAATGTTGAGCTCAGAATCTTCAACTCAAGTCAATTTCCAGCTGGATTCAGGTCTCCATCCAGAGTCGGACGTTTTAGTCGCCTGGTCGATGCTGATGGATTGGATGTTGCCCGCCATGCCAGGCGTGTTTCACGCTTTAGCACACTGTTGACGATCAGGAGCTCAGTCACTTCTCGGGAGCTGAGTGTGAGTGATGCAAGGTTTGGTTGCTGATCGTTGCAACATTTTTTGGCAGTGCGAAGAAAGGTTGCGGGACTTGCTGAAATCCGAGACTTTCTGTGCACAGGTGAGTGTCACTGCATTGCTCCCAGTCGCGCAAATTTTACCGGATGTAGTCTAAATGTCGGCTTTTGCTAGCCACTATAAAAGCATTCTCGCAGTTGATAGAAAAATGAAGTAAACTGTTGTCTCGAAAGAGTTAGCATCTACCAATTTGCATTTCCAATTTGCGATGACATAGATGTTTACGGCAATGTACCGAAGCTCGGCGAGCTTTTACAGCAGCTGCCAGACCTATGATTCATTCGTTCTTTAATGTAAACACGTCGTTAAGTTTCAGGTCCCGATATCAAAGAATCAAGCGAATTGAATGCAGAATACAGAAAGTTGAATTCACGATTTTGCTGGAAATCTTGATCGTTTGAAAGTTTTGTCTGTCGTGTTACTGTCCTCTGTTTTTCTGGTTATTTGAAGAGGACTGCTGGCACTGTGGTTATCACAGGCCGAACATAATCGAATGAAAGTCATGTACATCACAGGGTTTGCTTCCTTTGAAATTGTGTAACAGGTTCTCTCTGTTGGGCCTGGTTTCTGGTTTTTACTTTCAAATTCCAGTGACAAAGCTCGTGGGTGCCTCAATGTTGTCGGTAGGGTTTAGGTCTCACCATTAAATATGGTTCTTTTATGCACAATGATGCTTAGTTTATGCAATATAGGTTGCAGAGCAAGCGCAAAAGGGCCCTGATGTGAAATACGTTTTCAGTGGAGAATTATTTCAACCTGTTCCCTGGAGCCCTACGACTAAGCATGGCATGCCTCAGGTATCAACTCGAACACAACCCTGGATAGTGCTGAACATTCGATTGTCCATCTGCTTCTTTCTTCGAAAACAATTCTGTTCCCACTGTCCTCCAACCTCGGATATGCTGTCAGTAAATTGTATCCTCACCTACCAAAATCAAGGAAGTGACTTGTCCGACATCTGGAGGTTAAGTGGCGGTATTGCAAGCCAGTTTGTGATTAAGAGATGCTGATTGATGCTTTCTGTTGCAGGAATACGAAAAGTACCTCGAGGATAAAGAGCAGTACGCGATCATTAACGTGCCCCCAAACTTCATGTTTCAGGCCAAGGTGGGTTTTGTTTCGAGAGTCCTCCTGTCCTCTTCAGTCACTTGCAATCAATACCAACCCATGACGTTTCGTGCTGAGTGAACTGATAACTTACCTCTGAACCAAGTGTCTGGCTGTTGTGTGATTTGACTCGCATTGCCCTTCCCGAGCTCTACAGTAATCTGACAGACCGTGAATATTGCAATGCTGCAGATCTTCAAACCCTCTCGTCTTTGCGCTGTCTACCAAAGATTGGGTGTTGACCAGTAGCGAACACAACAGTATATACAGGAGTTTACAGTGAATTCTCAACTTTATGCAGGCGGGATTTGGGAGTATCACCGGCGGGCAGTATCATACAAGGCACACAGCATCGGATATACACGAAATCCTCAAAGGTGATGTCACTGATTTTAGTCCATATTTGGACATGTAAGTCAAAATGGAACAGTGATCAATAGACATCACGATGGGATCCGTGACCGGATTGAGAATGAAACGTTAGCACATCCAGATGGATTCTAACTGTTGACTTACAAAAAGGGCTGGTGATGGAACAGTCTGTACGGGGCACTCAATGCCTTGTATTTTATCCTCTTGGCATCGACAGAGTTGCATTCTTCGAAGGATCGTTATATGACGTCTGTATGTGGTGCAAATGGAATCACGGCGTAGATGGTTTACACGAACCACGGCTCGAGATGTATTTTTCTAAGATTATTAGCAGATCATTTACTTTTGTCTCCGCTGTCTTGAATTTCATAATACCATCTGTTGGACTGGGCTGTCCAGTCAATAGAGTGTGGACCTGTCGTTGGCATCCGCACGTCTAGATTGCATGGTGTGACCGGAGTATGGGATGCTATCATCCCCAACCATGCATGCTGCCCAAGAGTCGGGGCTCGCTCTTCGAAGTCGGACAACGTATGCTGAGATTTATTGCGTATATTCTTCACCTCTTGCAAGTGGAGCTGCCAGAGCAGGGCTCGATTACATAGAGAGGCTCCGCGATCTCCATCTGTCTCTGTAAGTAATTAAGAAACATCCATCACCTAGCCACGGGGTTGAATCTCGTGGGCCAAGAGGACAGGTAGTCTGTACCACAAGTCAACGTCTGTCAGGCCAATTTGAATGGGCACTGAACCGTAGCTAAAAGCTGGTGAGCGAGAACGCTGTAGTTGTCACAATCGACCTCCAGCGTACCGGACCCATGGTTTTAGGCAGGCATTCCGGCTTTCTGCACGATCGATTACACATTTGCGGAAGCAACTGAGTCAGCTGCGTACACTATGTTACCAGGAAAACATGAAATATGGAGACATTTTCTGTCAGATTGTGTGTCCTCGGGCTCGACGGAAAGGTTCATTTTTCTGAATGGAAACTGTGCAATCTGAAGATAACCAGTGGTGATGAGTTGAACGTCAGTCCAACTCAATGTGTGTCAGGAACAGGATCACGGATGCGCGTGAATATGCGTGTTTGACGTGAGGCATCGAGTATCAGTCGCCAACTACGTCCCTTTTGGTCGTAGTGTAGATAACTTAAAAAGACGAAGAAAGATGACCATCGTTCTCATTGACAAACCACCATCGCCATGAGTTCTGACCTTTGTTGGAAGGCGTGGATTTGGGATGGTTTTCTTTGATCCTTGCGTGAATCGAAGTCCTCGGGGAAGGTTCCACTGTACCTCGGAATAATCACCAGAAGCTTTGAATTGACGACCACCGATAACGCATATGCAACATAGCTCTTTAAGATTGTGCAGCGCCTGTTCAGGCGCTGGAAGAAACTCCGAAGAGGATATTACTTACAGCACATCTGCGTCACATTCTAGACAAAGTTAAAACTCAACCGGCCGAAGGCAAGTTATCACCGACCTCTGCAGCGGCTGTCATACTTGTCTCTTGATAGCAGTTCCTGACCAGCTCGTTTGTACACCTAATTCGTATGTGCCCGGTTGCACTGAATTGTAACGCAGTCGTTGGCACCAACTAAATTTCTTCGATTATGCATTAAGCGGTTTGTTCGGATTGTCCCTGAACAGCTGGTTTGTACACCTAATCCGTATGTACCTGGTTGCACAGAATTGTACAACACAGTCGTTGGCACCAACTAAATTTCTTCGATTATGCGTTAAGCGGTTTGTTCGGAATATCCGCAAGTGTATACCATGATTGATCTGGATAGGTAGGATATATTGTATGTTGGAAGAAAAGTCTCCCGTTTAAAAGAATGCTACGGGGGCCTAGCCCATCCTACCCCTGTTCGTTTCATCCCGGTAGAACTTGGTGGGATCTTCCCACAGCACAACTCTCTCAAAACCTTACTTTATCAAGATCAACACAACTGATTTTTGGAGATCTAAGACATATAGATAGAAGACGCCGCTCCTGATACGTAATCAGTAGCGGTGAGATTACTCATTTCTACAGCAAACCGAAATTAGTTCTCGGAAGTCCCATCTCAAATGTCAACAATGTTCTCTTCCATTCCGACCCAATCCGTCACTTACTCCGTAGCTTTTTGTAAAGGTCAATATATGAGCTCCATAAAACTGCAGAACATTATCAATGACTCTTTCCTAAAAATCAAGAATCGGGCTGAGAAGTTAAGGCCTCAGTACAGAAATGAGCTGATTCACGTCTTAAAGAATGATAATTTTACATTACCGAACAGGATTCGGTGTAGTTTCGGCAGATTCAAGATATCATCATTAATCCATCCCCTAAGTCTTGGCAGTCGCTATATTCTTCCCTAGCATTATAGTAAGTGGTCGTTTAGCGTCTCGCCGTTTCTCATGTTCGCCTGTACGTCAACTTGTCAGACTGCACGATGCACCGAAGGAAAATCTTCGAGTCAGATGTTTCGGAAGAAACAGTGCTGTAGAAATGTACACTCTTAAATAATTTTGTATCAAATTGAGGCATGTCAGGCGTGTTCAAATTTCAACTTTCACAGCTGATATTTGCTCTAACTTTACTCCAAAAGAAATGAAAAGAAACGGAAGAAACTGACCTTGATAAGCATGGAAGTAGGAAGCCACGCTGGGGAAGTTGAAATGCCAGCCCAAGAAATCTGCCAAAATCACGGCACGATAATTTCAGATCGAGTGTTCATCATGAGCTCCTAAATTATCAGAAGAACGGGCAGCAATTCTTCCGTTTTACTAATGAAGATAGCTGAAATGCTTAAAAAACACTTCGGATTTTAAGGGCATGAAGCAGTGTAGATTACCAACGCATACTCTCCAGCCTCGAACATCCTGATGTCCAATACCTGCAAGCTTCGTAATGGTGCGTCAGACGAGTTCTACAGTGTGATAAACGACTGAGGGCAACCAAACCAGATATTCAGGGCATTCATGCACGATGAGAAACTGAGAATGACAGTAGACAGTAAGGATATTTTGACTTCTCACCTCACCACGATCCTCATAAATGTAGTCAAGCCCTTTGAAAAATTTAGGATGAGCGACTGCATAGTACTGTACACAACGTCCAAGCAGAACATTGCAATATAGTTCAATGCCAGGTTCAAGATGTTATAAAATATCTACTCGATGCACGTTCCAGTTCAATCGAATTCGGTCATTATATTACTGTTAACAATCATTTGTAATTATATATGCCGCTATGGACCCAAATTTAACACATCATGACACAATAGATGGTCGCGAATGCACTTACTTCAACACTGTCCAAATATTTCTCCTTATCTACCCGCACGATTTGCCCTTTCTTCACTGCATGGATTACAAGAACAAAAGGTTTAAGTGGTGGCTGGAAATTTTTATATATTCTCACAAAAAACGACCACTCTGCAAAATTCGTTCACGGGCAACCCTCAGAACGTCACCACGCCTGCAATTCCATCATGTGAAGGCTTGCATTAACGAGTAGAAGAATCAGAATGTGGCCTAGTTAGCAGTGGCATTCGACAACGATAGGCATCATATTCTACAAGAAAGCACTTACTGGTGAAAACTGGTTTCGGAGGAGGGGGAGCTGGTGCATCAGCAGGTGGGGGTGTAGGTGAGCCAGAGGGGGCAGGAGAGGGTGCCGCGTCCGCTGCAGCTGCTGAGATAGAACGGTAAAATCTCTGCATTGACAGTATTCATCGTATCAGCGAAACCTTTGTGCACAAACTGAGAGCACGAGTAATTCGAGCTTCAGTTTCGGCACTCCGAACGACGTCAATCTCGGAAATTTTTTCCAAAGCCACCGAAGAGAAAATTGAACAAGATTCTCGTGTTACGACCAAAGGGTTTCGCAGCCTCGACCCTCATCACATTGTAGAATTTCCAACAAAGATTCAAGAAATCAATCCATCGACGAGAATTGCCCCCGCGGTTGAAAGGCAGATTACATTGGATCGACCAGTGACGGGCATCGACACAGTCCTTGCACTGGAGCGTTGAAATCCATTGGCATGTGACTGAGTCCAGCTGAATTTCACAGCCCACGACGCTCCGAGCTCGATCGCCATAGCCATCTCTCCGGTCCTCTCTTCAGATTCCCAGTCTCTCGCTGCTCTGCCTCTCCTCCTCTGAATTATGTTCTACAGGAGCAGCACCATATCCAACGTTCGTTATAAGAACCTACCGTCCGAGCACAAGCAGATGCCGCTCGTTCAGGTCCTCCTCACAAGAACTTGAATGCCTTAATGTCTGAAAATCAGTCCTCTCAGGGATCATGATTAAAAGTGGCTATTTTATCGCAAAGCACATTTCAAGGTTTTTATTTTCGTGACCAACAAGATATTAGTAAGTTGTATAGCAATAATGCGTTTAGCTTATGACTTTACATTAGTTCATGGCCTCCAGTACTGTACATGCTATCTTGCTTCGGAACTTTTTGACCTCGGTTGCCCTTATGTTGGTAGTATTCGCCAGCCTGTTGTAATTTCGAGCCCATCTCCTCCTCAAGATTATTTATGGATCTAAGAATATTTGATATGCTTAGACCATACATCTGAGCAAGCAAGTGGATGAGATGTAAAGAGAAAAAATGAGAAAGTCTTCACGGAACTCGCGTCGTAGTGTGTCTGACTAACTTCCTTACGCTCCCTCCTCTAATATCAACAAGCACCTATTTTTTGACAAGAAGCTTCGAGTAAAATTAAGATAATTAATATTAAAACATTTTTTAAAAAACTCGTATTTACCAATTTCAAGAAACCATAAAAATTAGGCGAAAGTGTAGCTTAGACTTCAGACCGTCTGACCCGATTGATAACCAAGAACACTTCAGGAACCTGGCCGCAACGGAGTGGTAAAATAAAATTTTTTACTTTACGAGAAACGGGACTTCCTACTGCATAGAGAAAAAAATAATGGATATCCAAGAAAGCATTTATTAAGGACCTGCTTAGAATCATGGTAAATAATTTAAGGACCTGCATTGTGCTGGGAATCAAATGACGAGGCTCATGGCAGCAAAATGTCCTGTAACGCAAGATGAACGAAAGAGAGACACAAGGCCTCGAGTGCGTGCCAAGTGTCACCAGCCAGGCGCTTCTTCGGGACGACCGGACCAAAGGTCAGAAGTTCTGATTGGCTGACACAATTTCCATCCATCCAGCCGGAGACGCTTTAACGGAGAAAAAGCCACCGGCAGGTCAAAGGTCGCTGGCCCGGCGACCGGCGCCAAGAGAAGGCGAAAGAGGAGACCGGTGGAAGGAAAGGGAGAGGAAGCGGAAGGAAGCGGAAGAGGATGCGGCACTGGGCGACGATGGATCATACGAAATGACGAGCAGCTGCAGAAGCGGGGCAAGAAATTCTCGAGGCGCTGGCGCGACGAATTGCTGCTAGGGTTCAAGAAGCGAGCTGCGCAATGCGCGAGCGCGGAGCAATTTCGTTCTGAGCCTGGCGAGGAGGAGGTTCGGAAAACCATTTTCTGCTCAGTACGTGATGGCGATGGCGGAAGATGACGATCTTCTTGAAGCTTGCGTCGGTCGTCTTTGTTTCGTGCAGCCCCATGCGCAGTATGAGCCCCCTGCTTTCCATCGCCGGTTTGCCAGAAGGGTGGGTTCAGCTGCAGCTCCGGATTCGAATGAGCTCTTGAATCTCTTTTCTTTTTCTTTCCGCTTTATGCGAGCATGTAATGCGGCTGTGAATCTTTTTATTTGGATACTTACAAAAATGAAAATTTTTTCCCTTGGATGTAGACGTTCTGACGTCTAATATTGAATTGATTTTTTATGCAGGATTATAGGTGGAAGGTTGGCGCAAGGATGAAAACCACTCCCGGGTTGCACTGCAAGCTCTCGCATTCCATGTTTCTTCCGGACTGTCTGGGGCTAGGTGCGATTTCTTCTCCTTCTCTCTCTTTCCTGATTCTAATGACATGAAGGGACCAACATCTGCGTACAGAAGAGATCAACTATCCTTGATGGATGTGTTTATCATCGTCGTGGCTTTCGAATTTTATAAGGCCTCACTAAGCCAGAATCGCTGGGATTCAGAGGCGGACGACGAACTGAATGAGCATCCAAATTGGAGACTGCAGGACCTGATGCAAGGTGGAGATGGCAGGGAATTCCCGTCGCATTGATGACGAGTGCAACAGTAGATATCTTGCCATCTCATCAAAATTACACGAACGATGTGTTTGACGGACACGCCAGTTTCCGGTACCTTGGAGTTCGTCCGCGTGCTCGTTTGAAGGCCTTGACACCTTTGTTCGGAAAACTTGGTAAGTTACAGCAGATCGGAGAAGTTTCATGATTAGAGTGTGTCGGTATATGAAAGAAAAAAGCAAGGTGTGAAACTCAGTGGCTACTGTTAAACGATTTTAATATTCCTTGAATACAAGTAGTCGGATGTCAGTAGAATTGTGTCAGTCACTTGATATCTAAACCCCTGCAAGGTCTTTGAACAGTAAGTACTTCAGGAATAGCTGGTGCCACAAGAATAGGCGTTTTGCATAAACTATGTTCCGCTAGAGCGACTGCACAATACTCAGATTAGCTGGTACTGGCAGGTACAAGGAGACTTGTTTTTGGGTAACAGCGGGATAGATTGAAGGGAACGTATCTATGGTGGACTGTGCAGCCCTTCGGCTAACGGTGGAGCTTCTCCCAACTCCCAAGCTTGTGATGGCTCGGCAATTTCGCCTTGGCACCACCAAGGTTACTCTTCGGGCAAACATGGAGGTAAATTATTCTCGGTTCAGGTCCACATTCTTTGGTTGCAATCTTGCATCCATAGCAGGTCTGCATAGTCTGTTCGGATCGATTTCGAAGTTTGTAGTATTCAAAATGAGCAGCGAAAGCTGTGTGAGGTGTTCAGAAGAATTTTTCGATTCGATTTTATCCTTGTTTATATTCGCACTTCAACTGTTTTCTGAACATCAATGAATGCTGCAGCCCAGCACTAGTGTTGGCTCTACCAAAAGGTCTTGGTGCTCATTGCAGGTTGATTGGCATCCCGCAGACACAGTAAGTTCAGCCCTGGATGTTACTTCCGGAGATTGTTGTTTTTTGTATCTTTGTGTAGAGTCTTAGAATTGGATTGTCTTACGTTTGGTTATATAATCGTTATGTGCATGTGAGAAAACGAGTTCTTCCTCTAGATGTATTCTGGAACAGCTTCAAGAAAATAAGTAGCACTCAACCAGGATGCTCAAGATATGGTCTTGAGGGTATGATACACGCATCGTATTAAGTACAGCTTATTGCATTCAGGTGAAGGTCATGTTGCAGCCAGTGAAGAACTTTTTTGGGATGCAATACTCAAGGTCTATCCAGCTGACACCTGATAGTAAAGGAGTAAGTGGTCTGACAACGAGTTGGAAATTAGGAAGTTTTAAAACGTTTTCCTTTTAAAGTGTCCAAAGTCCCGGTCTACAGTGCCCGAACTCAACTATGAACTGCAAGAAGGTGGTGTTGCTGAACAACATTGTCTATATGCAGGTAGCCTCCGGGGTGGCAGAGTTACCTGCAAATCTTACTGTTTTTGGTGCCTCCGGTCTTCCTGGCAGTGTTCCCGCCAAGCTGAGAATAGACTCTCTGAAGCTGTCGCACGTCATCACAGACAAGGTTCTTTCAGCATCTCATACAGTAGTGTGGTCATTCTTCTTCACGACTTCAGGTCTTGTCTTCGGTTCAATGGATTTCCTGCTTATTGGTAGTCCTCCCGAAGCTCTTTCAGTATCATCAAACAGCTTCGTGAAAATTCCATATCGTAATGGGGATTTCTTCTACATGCAACCAGGCCCCGAAGAGTTCACCACTTCCAACTTCTGAATATTTACGAGCCTCCAGGAAAATCGGAACAAGTGATTTGATCAGCGTTATTCCAGGCCATTGGATTGATCCCGGTTACGAGGTTGGTGCGCCAGGAGAAAGGGACTTCAATATGGAAGTATGTTTACTAAAACGTGGACAATATGTACATTTTCTTTCGAGTGGTTTTTTCTATGCTGCGAATGTAGGCTTATGTTACGACTCTATATCCTGAAGTGCGATTGACGTTGGCAGATAGTGAACATTTTGGAGAAGCAGCTGAGAGGAAATGGATGGAATGTACTCAGGCCTGATCGAGAGTGCCCTGATCTGAGCTGGGAGGAATACCTCAACTGGGTTTCGAAGCAGGTGATTTCTTTTCATATATTAAGCATTGATGGAAAACTGGACGTATCCTATGCGTTAATGCAGATTGAATTTGTTATAGTTCACCGCTCACATTAACGCTTTAGCAGACTTGAACCCAACCCTCACTATGTTTTGTTCATACCGTTTTATGCAGACAAGCAAAGGCATACCTGTCCTCGAAATCCATGGACAGGTTTGTTTACAGACGGAGTTTAAGACATCGCCGTTCTTACTTTTTACTTATGTCTTTTATGCCTCAAAGAAACTATAATACCTCTCTCAACAAGCCGTTTTCCTATTACTGGTTGATATCTCCATTTCCGCTGCCACATGCAGTACTTTGAAACAGATTACGTGAATCATTCTTACAGAATTTTATTATCTTTTTTGGCAGGGTTCGAAAGCAGACTACAGAGGATTTGTTCTTGGAGTTATTGGGGATGCGAATGCACCTCTCAACAAGGTAACCCGTTATTAGAGAAAGCTTTAGTACTGTTTCAGGTGATGGTCAGTCGTTTAGGTATCTAGAAATGGCTTCATGGCATCGGTTTGCAGTTGGGTAAAGTATATTGGACAGTACGTGACTATCGCAGCCTGAAGACCATAGACCATCGGGGTGAACGTTGCTGGCACTGGAACAGAAAGGAATGCTTTCACCAGCTCATTTCATGTCAACACTTGTGACAGAGCAGAATTCCGTGGATAGTTGACAAGTTTTAGCAGAATTCGTTTTACTTTTGTGACGTATCAAACTTGGTTACTGAAGAGGAAGGTGGCTGGGCTGTTCGCAATGCAGGAGCTTGCAAAAGACTTCGGCTATTTCCAGATGGACTGGAGAGATTTGGCAGTTCCAAAGCGAGGAGGTGTTGTTCTAGAGTCGTTCAACTCAGATGAGGTAGTTGATCATGCTCTTTTTCATACTTCAAGTTTGAGGACTTTCCCCTAAATTATGCACAGATTATTTAGGATGTGCTTGTAGTATAAGAACTGCATGGCCTTCTTGTATTCTGCCTGTACTACACAGTTCGTTGTTCTGTTTGCGGGGAGCGACAGTTAACTTGACCGCTTGTCCTTCCTGGTTTGTTGATACAGGTGCTCCAGATGGCGCCTTGGCATCGCAAATGGTCGGTCAGGAGACTCGCTAATAGGATTACCGCCTGTATTGAGCGCGCCAGCTCGGAAAACCGGCTCTCTCGAGGCATTATTTTGGAGGATGATACGGGAGATGATATTTTAGATTTTGATGAGAAAACCAAAGGAAGAGTATGATACCTAGTTCCAAAGGAAGTAAATATCGGATATACGGAAGCATCAACAACAGAAGAGTCAATTGTCCGCCTACTTACCCATGTACATTAGAAACACAATTTTTTATGTACAATTTAGATTTTTATGTACATTTTAGTTCTTTTTCCAACACATAATTTGATCAGTGTTAACTCTATCGTGTAACTTAACATGATTGGATGTTATGATTGTCTTCTGTTCTACAAGCATGTCTTGTAATTTTGTACTTATCCCACCGATAATTTTCGCCGACGAATGCGATTGGGTTTTGTTCTAACTGAAACCACCACTTAAAAGATTCGATCTGAAACTAGATTCTGCTTCTGTAACAGCTACATCGTCATCTTCTTCAGATGAATCTTCAGCTGCATCTGCAGCAGCTTCAGCCGCAACCGCCAAAATTACAGCCTCGTGCTTCTTCTCACCAGATGTTGCTTTTTCCAGTAATTCCACATAGTCCTCTTGGATGGGGACCATGGCAAGTTGCAACTCAACCAAGCGGTCTTCATGAGGCATCTGTTCTGTACCGGGAATCACATCCTGTGAAAATTGTCTTGAAGTCAGAGTTCAGCCTGGAGATTCGTTCGACAGGCATGAGCTGGTGTGATCCTGCTAGACCCTCACTACCACTCTGCTACAAGAAGCAACGAGAGACACAGTTTCACAGAGAATGTAGACCCGGGATGGTAAGGGAATTATTAGCGCTAGGTGTTGTTTCGCTGGGTCGAGGGACAAGATGTGTACACAAAAGATGGGAAGTAGACAACACGGTACCTCTAACTTATCAAGCTCTTCGATCGTCGTGAATAACATGCTCTCCACTTCCGACATTGACGGAAATCCAGGACCTCCCACAACATCACCTTGGAAAACCTCCAGCTACATTTCAACGAAGTCCTATGACTCAAATTCCCCGTCTACACAGCAAAGCACGTTCTTCTGTTCGGAAAACCAAATAAAATTTGGCGCACATTCCTACGACTCAGAGTACCCGAGTCCCAAGAACAGATCACTATCTTCTGTTTGGCAAAACTAAAGATTTTGATGACTCATATTCCTACGACACGTTCAGAAGCTTTTGTCACACCCTTCTTGAAATTTGCTGACCTTGTCTGAAGTTTTCTGTAATTCTTGTCTCATTCTGATCAGAGCTCTTAGTTGACCCTGACATTTCTTATATTCTGCACTTGCAGACAATCTCTCTCAGTTGGGTGGCTCCAGGATACGCAATGTCCAATGTGGGCATCAAGGAAATGGAAATCATCTTTGCTTACGTTGTGAAGGAGAATCTGCAACTGTTATCAAACATTCAACAAGACCTCGTGAAGCTTTGCCAAATACTTCTGCATGGACGTAAATGGAGGATTACATACCTTCTTCAGCTTTGACACGCTTTCCCTGTGAGGATAACTCCATCAACTGCCTGCCTTCAAACAATGAACTCAATCAGATCCATCGTAATCTGAAGAAGGAGGCTCCATGAAACTATGGAAGTAAAGTAGCCAGTTTTTTTCTTACAGATCATTCAGGTGGTGTATCATTGTAATTTGATGTTCAGCTTTCTCCCTTTTTAACCGCTCATCGGCCAAGCCCTACGGTCCCAGCACAGAAGAGCATGTGTTGGTCGGGCTCCAGACTCAACACCCACAGGCCTACGGTTGGGCGGATTTTACCTTGACGGCGATCTCTACGAGACGATAGAGAATCATCAAATCATCTGACAAAGCCTGCAGTACTAATGGGTCTTCAACCGTAGTCTTATCAAACATCGCTTCCATCGGAGGCAGCTGTGATACAACAAGACGTATAGTCAAAAGTCTGTGCTCGTGTGAATACTCTCTTTCAGTTTTGATTACGTTTGATACACTTTGCATGCAGCTCACGTCCAAAATTGAAGTACTACAGCTATTTATGGCCAGCAGTGGCTCCTCTCAGAGAGCAAAGCATCTCACGAGTGGATAATCACCTTGCCTGTATCAATGGCCTTGCACACATTCCATCGTGCCTCCAGTTCCATCAACTTCCGAAGTCCATCGTTGACATGTGACAGCCAAAAAGCTTGTGAGGCTCCAGTTCAACTGGAATTTGTTGTAGCTGCTCCTAACCACCCCAGCCCTCTGAGTACCCAATAAGTTCATCAAGTTTATAAATGCAGGACCTTCTATTCTGGGTACTTGGTGTCCTCATGCAGTTCCGAGAATGTACTGAAGTTCTGAGGATCGATAGTGTCATTGTAATATTTCAACAGCTACATAAACTTTACCGGAAAGAAGAGTACGATACCTCCAATCTGGCATGATTCAGTTGTCCCTTCACGATCCTTCGGGAAACAGAAGCGTGCCGTATGGCTCCTGAAATTTAACATCACTCGATTTCAATTCTTAGAAACAGAACCTGAAGCATGGAAGTCCAGGTTAACCTAAAGCATGAAAGTTGAGAACATTGGTTGAATGGTTAATGAAGAATACTTATCCAGAGGTAGCAATCGGTGAGATTTTCACCACCCAGGAAGTAGGTGTTGCGCTTGACGATACCCTCGGTGAGGAGCTTGTCGGGTAAGAATATAACAAATACAAATGTGGGAGCCACCTCGGATCCCTCAGTTTCATGCTCTTCTTGAGGTGACAAGTCCACCTTTGATCCTTGCAAAGGGACAACCCCCGAAGGCAACCGCTCCTGCATTGAATCCTAAGATCTCAGTCTCGATCTGAATGAGATCGATCCATGGTGAATTTTTATGTTCAACACATCTGACTGTCATGAATGCGATATTGATTACATCTCAATGCAATCCATCGTCTAAAGAGTCATTGGGAGAAGAAAAAGAGGACTGTCTGTGGTCTGAGAAATTACTCCTCCAGACGCCACTTTGAAGTAGAATAGAAAGGTGTCTTTGACCAAAAACTGGCGGATCTTCCAATTCTTCTTCTTTCCTCCCCGTTTCTTTAAAACCCCTTCTTTCTCAGGATTCATCCAAAGCAATCCCTGCTTCCAGAATCTCGGAGTCAAACATCAGCTCTCCATATTGAACACAAAGCAACTTTGTGTAATCACAATGTAAGACAAGTGTAATATCGTTTCCTAGAAATCCTGATTCTTGTGTTGATGGACACGGTCGCATGTTCCTGGCCGCCTATTTTCCCGCCGTGATTATTAAGCGTAAGTAACCTTTCAATCTAGAACGACGAAATTAAATCGATTCACATAGATGGCCTCAGAACAACAGATCGCTCGACTGACCGTGATTGATTGCAACGTACCTGATTATTCATCGTGAGAATCGACTCTTTCTCGATTCGTAAGTTCGGGCACCCAAAGTATCACACGTCTGAAACTTGAATCGGATCGATCGATGTAACAGACAAACTTGTGTCAGGAGATCGTACTCTGTTGGCCACCTAAATTTGGTCAGTGTGGAAAACAACGGTATGCTCGCATCTTCACCGCCTTTACGAACTAAGCGAAGCTTAATTAATTCTACTAAAAGAATGGCTTGACATAACAGCGTTAGCCTGGAATCTCGTTCACCTGCCAGTAATCGCTGTCAGTCCGTGACCTTCTTCCGACCTCCCCGCTCCCCCCGCAAGCAGCAATCAAGCGCAAGCCTGGATTAAGAGAGCCTAAAATAAACATCCAATCCCAGGCTACTCGTCTACGAGCCCATATGGCTCGTCGATATATAGCGCACTCGACTCCCTGAACATCATCGCAAGCTTCCACACTCCGGCGAGAGGAACCGTACCAACGGTGACTTCCCGAGCCCAATGTGAATGTTCATGTCGAGCACAAACTCCCGAGTCACAGTATTATATTCTTCCAACGCATGTGGAGTGCTTGTATCTCCCGATGAGGTCGGACCGTCCCACGGCAACAACTGAAGAAATGTGAACTGTGGTGCAAGCTTCGTTCATCAATATCCGCTTCGATGAGGGTTTTACTTGCTCGGGATATCAGGAATCTGCCACGTTTAGGTTCTTTCACTGAAGACTGTATTCAGATGGCATGTTGGTCAGGTATGGTGTGACAGGTCTCGATCTGATGAGTAGCGGACAGGAACACCAGGTCAATAGTACGTGTGTTACTTGCGAGATTGTCGATTTCCATGCTTTTAAGACCTACTGCAATTGGAGATCCGGGTCCAATGGTGATGATGGCGTCGAGCAATAACTTGTCAATCGGCCTGTCATGCTAGTCGGACAGTGTGCTTTTGTGCTGCTGATGTGCATGCAGATCTGTGAGTTTGTCTTCTTCTCTTCGAATGTAATCTGCATTCTTGTCAAGACTTTGTGTTTGTAGTAGTTCTCGAGTGACTTCAGACATCAGAATCAGACTGCAGATGAGGTAAATGTGGTGGGCCGATTCAATTAGATGTTGCTTTGAAAGAGATCAAATGCACTTTTATTCATCCTCATGGGTAAATCCTCGTTCAATGTGATGGTATTTTCATCACCTGAACTGTATTCTACTTGCTATTGTAATGGTGATTTCAGGCTACTGTGAATTTCTTTTGAATGGTGAGAGGCATGACATTTCGCAGGTGGCGAAGCTCTCCCTTGAATCTCGAACTACTGTACTTGCTACTTGAATGTGATTCCCAGCCACTGCAAAGTCGCGATACCTATCTCGCATAATAAGAGCTTCAACGTTCGTAGGTGGGGAAAAGAGCTTTGCATTCAAGCTTGGACTCAATTTCTCAAAACTTGTCCCAGGAAATCATGAGAGCAGTCGTCGAATTGTTGGGTTGCTGAAGATTAGTCTCAATTCCAGAGTCGGTCTATCGTGGGCTTCAACAGATTTCTTGACTTAGTGCTTGAAAAGTTGCCGTTGCTTAGCGGGTTACGGGCTAGCGGGGTTTTTTAACAGCCAGAGGATTCTTAAACTTGGCACGAATTGATGTACGTGTCGTATCTGACATGGTAGACTTTCCTCTCCTGCATTCAAAAGAACAGAAAGTTTAATCAACTCGTGTACATTCATTCATAATGATGGAGTTTCAATGCGGGAACAGTAGCTCAAATTACAGTCAACCTAAGAGAACACGGAGGCACTCACTTGTTTGTCTGGAGAAGACAAAATGAATCCAAAGAAGCTGCTCCTTCGGCATCCTCCTCTTCTGAACTATCATCTCCATAGGTAGATTTCTCTCTAGCCAGTGCTAGGATACTGAGTTTATCAGCCAACTTTCTTTTGTTGAGAATCGAATTGTGTGAAATCTGCTGTACTTGAGTCCAAGCATCAGCACTGAATGATGATGAAGGAGAAGAACAAGGAGCAGGAATCTCCTCCACCACAACTTTCTTGGCAGACTTTATATTGATGGCAAGGGCAGATCTCAAGTTCTCCAGAGAGTGTAGACTGGTCTCATGAGACATTGTCGAGACCTCGTCATCAACAGATTCTGAAAAAGCTGGCTGAGAATCTGATTTATCGTCCATAGGCTTGGACTCATCTACCTCCCCTCCACCTCGAAATCTGGGCATAGATCTGCCTGCAAATTTCCGGAGGTCTCAGGGAAATCAGAACACCTTGGCAGGAGGGGAGGGAGGGAGGAGCAAAGATAGGTGAGCCTCGAGTCCTCCCTCGCATAGACTCCTAATTCATATGCTTGCTTGTGTGATTAGTGATTCCCAACTACCTTTTGCCAAGAGCCCCTTATAGAGTGATTCATGTCTAGTGAATAGCTCATGATCACCAACTTGATACACAGAACACAATCAAGTTGCTCTCCACCACTTCATGCATGCCATGCGACGTTTTTTATTTTTCTACATGATGGATGTCTCTGCATCTATTTGTGGCGGCCATGAGCTGCTGACTCATTCTCACATTTGCTTTCCATAATAGTGCTTTTCGTTTCATTTGATGTAAAATTACCTCATGTGAAGATCTAGGGGGAGAGGTGCGTTCAAATCGTGTTGTGTTTTCTCGATTGTAAGGCAGAAATTTGTTACAGATGTCTCTGCCATGATCCAGCCCTTCGTTTGCAAGGTCTGTATCAGATAATTTTTTCAACATGTTACAAGCTCATCTAGTATAATGCAAACGTATTCATTCATGCGTCTGAATAATAAAATAGAATGAGTCCGGATTTTTAAAAAAATAATAATTTAGAAGTCGATGCTGGAAATCTTTCGATTGGACTTGATTATCTAGTTACGTGAAGGCAAACAATTTGACATGTGAGACTGAAAGGATCTCGTGAAAAGCTGATCTCATCACCTGTTTATCGTTCTACCACATCATTCTTCTGCTTTATTATTAATTCTATCCATATTCTCTATTCATAGTTTATCTCAATTCACTAACATTCACTAACGATGCTCATCACAGTACATAACATCTCCATTGAGGATGCTGAGAATGATTTATGGAAAAGAAATGTTCAAAAGTTCACGATCAATACGTCGTAAAAGACTATAATATCTTGCGTCCATGTACCAATCCTTGATACAAGTTTTCTTTTATCTGCGTCAATAACTACCTGACTTCATTGTTGGATTGTATAGTATAGAGAAAATCTAGCAAGACGAGTGGCCACTGTAAGTAGCAGAGTCCAGAAAGGCATCACAGTGGTTACACTAAACAATATAATATACTCGAACTTTAGATCATGCATGCTTTTGTATAACTATACTCTGATATTTTGGTGCTCCCGTTGTAACAATTCTGATAAACGTGCGAATCTTCTATAATGCGAAGTCTACTCTGATCTACTGTGGGATACAGAAGTTGTAGAAATCCCATTCAAATTTCAGTGAATGTAGTAACTAAGTCATATCTATTAATTTTCTCGACATTTCATGATGTTAACTACATCACATCACTTGAAATAATGACTATACATCAGTGCACTCAAAGTATATGTACTTTTCAAGCTACTAAATTATAGGATCTAACATGGATGCTGAAAACCCTCAGCTCTTCTTCGACGATAAACGAAAACACATTTGAATGAATTCCTACTTTTTCAGTAAATAACAGAAGAATGAATCTGTGGCTCCTGTAGTGAGGGAATGTAATCTACTGAATTCTTCATATTCAACGTTATTTCAAACGCCACGGATGGATGTCATCTTTCATCTTCATAAAGGATTGTTTGACATCTTTCTACTTATAGAACAAAACCTGAACACTGTTACCTGCTGATGAATAATATGGTTGGCTATTCCCTTTCAAAGAGTCATTCTTACGTGGAAGAGGCCAAGAAACAAGGCATGTCGGAACAACAGTTCTTTTGCACCTTATGATATGAATTGCAGGCTCACATTTTAACATTATGGACTTATGTAGCTTTTGTATGCATGTCATACATATATGATTTGTTTAAAACGAACGTCATAGTTTCTGTTTATCCTCTGTATGCTCTATATGTACATGAAGAATTCAGATATTTTGAATTGAACCGAAATACATGAAATATAAAAAATAAATTAATCGTAAATACCAAAAGAGACATATTTTTTATTTATATATATATATATATATATATATATTGTAATAATGATAAAGAATTGTGCTTTTTATTGAGAAGAAGATTTACATTTACATGTGAATAAACATGTCGTATCATGTTGGCCTCTGCCTTTTCCTACATACAATATCACGACTTGGTTCTAAAAGATAACCCGTAGAATCTGAGAGAAAATAACCAGAAGGTGTACGCACAATCATGACATTTCTATCATGATTGTATGGTCCGATACTAAGTAAAAAAATCGGCTTTAGATATACCCGAACGGAATCAAGAGTATGAAATGATCTGAAAATATAAGAATATATTACAAAAGAAAATAAGACAATAGGTCCACCATATGTTTAGACATTTGTTGAGAATTAGACAGCAGCTTAAGTATACCGTAAAGACTAGATTGCAAAAGAAAATTAGACAAGAGGTCCACATTGGTTCGCTCCAGTACAGATTATTCACCTGCTAGAAATGTGAAACCTTTTGACGTCCATCAAAAACACTAAAAATAGCGAATTTTTTCCCTATAACCCGAGTTAAGCAATGAATGACGTATGTATAATAAAGTGAGTGATAACGAGCCAATCCCATAATTAAATATATTTAGAAATTAAAAATCGCGAAATTTTTATCCCTACAGCCCGAGTTAACCGCCCGAGTGATAACTACCCACCCCATAATCATACTATTAGTTTAAATATACCGGAAAAGATTTGTTCTGAAGATTTACATATCGCAACCAGAGGAGAGGAGCCCAATAGCGCCGTAGACCGGGGTATGCAGATGGCTGACCGGTATGCTTGACCGGTGGAGAATGTAGACGGGAAGACGGGGAGGCATGAAACCGGCGGCCTCGGTGAAGATCCCTGGATAAGGCGACGAAGAGGAGGAGGGTGCGACGGGGCTGTGTTGGGAGAGGGACGAACTCTCGCACTCGTTCATCCATTCATCGCCAGGTACACGACGCTGGCAAAAGACGAAGTGCACAGAGAACGGAATCCAGGCAAGCGAAATTGAGCATTGTGTCGCGGCAGATTTCATAGCGGCGAGGGAGGAATCGAGGTTTGGGACTTGAGGATTGAGTGAGGACGTTGAAGTCGGTGGGTTATGCTCGTGAAATCGAGCTGCTGTTGAAAGGAAGAGGAAGAAATGGCGCTCGTGGAGGCCATTTCCTGTGCGGCTTTTCCAGTGAGTTCCGCGAGGATGGCGGCTGTGGCGATGGCCGCGCCTCAGTGCCATGCGTGCGTGGGAGTAGAATGTAGGGAAATCAGGAGTAGAAGTCAGTTGATGGGTGTGGCTCTTGAAACGGGAAAGTCGAGTGTGGCCTTCGGCAGAGCGAGGGATGACTCCACCCGCAGAGGGATGTCTGTGATTTCCAGGGTGGGTGGTCCGGGTGGAGCTGGACCTCCCAGACCCCGTATTACGATGCCTGGTCGTCGAGGTCCCGCACAGCAACAGGAGCCTTCCAACAATGATGGACCACTTATGAATCAAGACATTCGGTTCTCTTTCTTTCCTCCTTCACTGATGGCTTCACCATCTTGGCTAAAATTCTGTTGTTGTAACCTTTTTTTCCAAGAATTTCCTCGGAAAAAAATATAATCCAGACCTTTTGCACATCACAATATCACCTTGCAGTTTGTTCGCTGGATGCAAGTGTTACCGAGTTTTTTCATTTCTCTTTTCACGAAGATTAGAAACACTAGCATAAAAATGAGATCATTCTTACTGGTATGGAGAAACACCCATTCTTAGAAAAGGATTGTGGATGATTCATTTAGGAATTTCTGCAGGGGTTAGTGTCATATTTCTATCAGTCTTCTTCCTAGCCCAATCAGCGTACTTACGATCACCTTTACGGTGCAGAGTGCCACAAGTCAGGCTTTTGGACGAGGAGTCAAACATGGTTAGTGTGCCTTTACAGTTCCGCGTGGTTGTCAAGATTTCTGCAAATTATTTCTGGCGATATTTTGCTGATTTTTTTTTCAAGTGGGATGATGCAACCAGAGAGAAAGACATGTTCATGAAATGGTGTCCCTTGACTATCGTTGGTTTTAATTCCGGGTGTTGGCTTTTTTCATTGCTTTGCAGTTGGGAGTTGTGGCGACGGGAGAAGCTCTGCAACGAGCCCGAGACGCCGACCTTGACCTTGTGTGTGAATCTTTTACTTCTTCTATAATTAATGGGTCAAAATGTTTTAGAATGTCTACTTTACACATATATGCACTGGGGGAACCTCCTCATTTGGTTTTTACATTCATGGAAAGACTCAAGAAGCTGAGCAAGCACCCAAAACAGGCCAGGCTAACATTTCTAGAATGTATTTTACTCGGAGCTAACTGCAATATCGTTTCAATTATGTACAGGTTATGATTTCTCCTGATGCCGATCCCCCAGTGGTGAGAATTATGGATTACAGGTACTTGGGTACATTACTTCCTGCCCTGTGAGTGGTTCCCTCAATTTCATAGAAAACGCACTACAATAGTGACATGTTTCGACATGTATCATTTGTTGTATATGTTTTGACACTTGTCAATCGTTGGATATGCCTCGACAGTAAGTATAGGTATGAACAACAAAAGAAGAAGAGAGAAGCTCAGAAGAAGGCTGCCGGTATGTATGTGTGCCCATCACTATCATACTGTAGCTGCTAGCGCAATATAACATAAGCTTCTCCCCTTGGTATAATGTGTATAGTGTCTAGTTCTTTTACTTGTTTTCTGATCAATAAGTGGCTTGTTCCTGATCGATTTTCTGCTTTGTTTCTTGTTTCAGCTAGTCGACAGGAGCTTAAAGAGCTGAAAATGAGGTAAGCTTAATCTGATTATTGTACCGTCCATTATTATTTGTGAAGTACATATATAGCACCTTCTAGAATTGCGAGGTATCTTCTTTACATGTTTCCTGTGTGTAGGTACAATATTGATACTCATGACTACCTTGTCCGCTTAAGGGCAGCTCAACGATTTTTAAAAGATGGAGACAAGGTTAGTTGTGACATGAATATATATCGAAAGTTCTTTCCTGTTTTGTTTAGGATCATGGAAAAACTAAGTATTTAGGAGGCAGGTCATGGATGTATCTTCTATAGAGGTCGTCTAGTCCAAGAGTGTGCTTCCCTCTGGTCACAATGTTCTGTCTGTGGGTAAGACTTCTCATGGGATTTTTCTCTTTGAAGTCTCATAATCGAGAGAAATCTCTTGACCTCGCACGTCACTGAAACATTACACTTGAGTAGAACGAACATTCTTGTGTTAATGAAGTGAAGCATCACTGTGGATTCTATATCACGCCCTATACTTTTCTCCACCCTTCGAAAATTGATTGCATGATTCTTATATCCAGCTCTGATCCGCAAAGATGAGTTTTTCTCTGTCACAATTTAATCATTAGTCGAAGATAGAATCACACTATGCAAACTTAGCTTCAAGATACCAATTTCTTACATTTTTTTTCTGTCTGATCTGCAGGTTAAGGTTGTTTGTCAGTTTAAGGGACGAGAATTGGACTTCAAGGATCTTGCTGTAAAGTTATTCGAAAAGTTTCAGGAAGACGTAGGCGAGGTAAGTCTTCTCTCTGTAAAGGTTGTCTTTATTAATGGTAGATTGATCATTAATAGTTTATTCAGTAGTTATTTACGTCCTTGTCTTATTATTGCCTATGCCCAAGTCTAAAAACAATACAACCCCAAGGTGGCTCCTGGACCCAGGTTTGTATTTTCAAAAAATGGCTCAATGTCAAGTTGTTCAAGTTTAAATTCGGTTTGCGCAGGCTGCCATCGTGGAGCAGAAGATAACATTTGAAGGCAAAACCATGATCATGGTGTTGACTCCAAACAAGGCTATGGTACAGAAAGAGAAAGCTGCTGCCCAAGCCCAGTCTGCTGCTGCTGCATCAAAGGCCAAGACACCACCACAAGGAGGGGATAAAGCTGAAGCTCTGACATCGGTAGAAATAGAAGCTTAAATTATTCTTATACCCTGCAGGATACGTAGACCATTGTTGTAGAGTACAGAAATTTACGTCTCAGCGGGTTCGTTCAGAATCTGTCTAATTGTTCATTACCTACCTTGTAAATGTAGTACGAGAGTAGTTTTGGTGCGGAGGTCCTAATCCCTCCGACAAATTGTTGAGTCCAATACTACTTGTCAAGCCTGTGGAAAGGGCTTTGATGGTCAGCCCTACTTTTGCGTGGTTTCCCATACACAGTTACCAATGTTCCATTGCATTTACCACATCTCCTCCCAATATTTGTTCGAGCAGTTGCATGAAACAGTATATGTGTAAACTTTTGGCGGCCTGGTGGGTTCTCCTATTTTGTGTTAGGAAGACAACGCATTGATGTACCTTTCAACGCCTTTATGTACGTTCATCCAATGTCTTATGCCCACAACCATCAAACATGCCTGGTTCACAAGGGGAGAAGTGGGGTTCGATTTTCCGAATGAGCCTCACGAAGTTTGCAAAACTTAGCTCGCCAGTCTCTCGAGCTACTCTCTCAGCCCATGAGTCTGAAGCTTTTGAGCAAATGGCAGTGCGAAGACAGACCGTTTTCTTATTTAATGGTTCGTACTGTACTTCAATATTAACCAATATCGTGCATCAGAGCAAGCTAGTCCGAATCCACAGGTCCTGAGCCCTAAGAGTCCTGTTTGCCACCTTCAGAAGCCAAACGTAGAACCCTCTTAAGCAATTGGCTACAAATCATGTGGCTAAATCCAAGACAGAAGCCCAAGTTCGATACCAGAAGATAAGTGGAGACGCTTTCAATCTTTCGTTAGTTTTCCACCCATGTATTGTACATCATCATTGTCACAATGAAGGTATACGTTCGATTGTGTATCTTGACGTGAATGTTGTTCATTTTGAAATTAATCAATCTTCTTTTGTTAAGATGTTCTGAAAACAAGAACATATTAACTTTTTGTTATATATGTTAGATTCTTACTCTTGGAAAAGCTGAGAATACTGAGTAGTACTGAAAATTCAAAGCAAAAACGAATAGATAAAACTTGAGTGACCTAAAATCTTTTAGTCAAAAAATAAATGAGAAGAGAATATTAGCATAACAGAAATTCATTGAAGTGAAAGCTACCAGATCCATATATAGCTCTAAATATATCTTGAATTTAAAAAAAATAATTTATATTATTTATAAAAAAGTTGAAAGTTTTTGAAGAAAAATATCAATGAAAGGTATCGAAATTTTTTTGGAGATATTAAAAGTGAGATTATTCAATACACTTGATAGATTCAAACAGTTTCATAACTTACTAATTTTGTAAAAAATTAATCTGAATCAATGTATTATAGATCGGACATTGTTTTATCAAATACATGTATATATTTATTTATGGTAATATTATTTACTGATATCAAATAAACCAAAATATGCAATACATAGTGACAAACATATTAAGAGAAAAACTCATCTGCCGTTGTAGGTTACTTAACAAGCATTACATGTTAGTAGTTTTAGTAGCACTTTACAACTATACACTCTGCGTATGCATTTAAATGTTTATACTCAACTTATATAAAACAACTAAGTTGAATATTTAATGATTTATAAAGTTCATCAATTTTGATCAATTTTTCAAGTTAATAAAGTTCATCTTTAAATTAAGACTTAAAAAATGTGAAAAAAATACGTTTGCTTAAACTATCGTAGCTAAATATAAGCATTTAAAAAATAATTTTCTTTCATCATAAGAACTTGTGGTTCAACCGATTCACTTAAAGTATGTATGAGCCTTTAAAAAAATATTCAAAATGTATTTGTAAAGAATATAAAAAAGTAGAAATAATAAATCAAGAATACATACATAGTGTTGTTCAATGGTAAAATTGAATTCTAAGTAAATCAAATATAACACCATGACCATTTAAATGAAATGGGCTTCTGTATAACCTGCTAAAACATGGCAGTTTATACATAACTATCCATATCATTATTAATAGAATGAAATTTACTCAAATGAGGATTTGAAGGACTATCAAACATCAAGTACACAACCCGCTGAGTTTAGATGAACTACGAAAAAAAGTTATGTGACAGCTTTGGCGTCTATCATTCAACATATGACTATCTCTCTCAACAAGTTCGTTTATAACATTGAGATACATTTGACAATCTGAATAAAATAATTTAGAACTTTTTATTACACATATAACTTCTTGTTATGTTATGACAGAAAGAAATGACACTAAATAAATGCTCAGATTGTTGAGATTGGAGTCATTTATAACAACGAGAAAATGAAACTTTAGAAGTTTCATAGAAGGAAAAAACTGGAAAGAGATGAAGAGATATATTGTCACATTTAGATTTTTATCATTATTTCTTAAAAATATTAGAATTACGAAAACATCCCATCAAATAAAGTCAACCTCTTGCTTCCTTCTTTGCAAGAGGGTAACTTTATTTGACTTCCTTCTCTTTCCTTCTTTCAGGTTTTAAAATATCGGTTTTGTCTGTCAAATGTGAAACTAGGAAACCACGCAGTTAACCACAACCATGTAGGAGTTTCTCACAGTCGCAGTGAGGCGATGGGAAGGGAAGGTTTTAGGGTGGCTTTTCATTAGGGTGCACTGTCCGCGTTCAGAAGAACAGAGTGATGCGTGCAAGTGCGAAATTCACAGCAGCAGATTGAAATTCTGCAGCAGCAGAGGGATTGCAATTGGAGGTGTGCGAAGTTCTGAGCTGCGGAGTACGTTTTGCTGCGATGGCGCGCAATCCCAAGAAGAAGAGAGTGAAGAAGAGCTCCAAGGGCCACCAGAATGTGCCCATCCTCGATGGAGAATCATCTGAGCAGCAACCTGTCGCTGCAGAGCAGCAGCAGCAGCCCACGAGGGTACTACGGCCTGCCCGTCTGCTTCTTTTTTCATAGTTTCGCTTCTGAGAATCTTGTCGATGGCGTGAATTCTGTCGCTGGTGTGTCAGGCCTTTTGTATTTCGTATACGGACTGTGAGAAATTTGGTAGAATTCCGGGGCACCTCCCGAATTAAACAGGGAGATGCGGCACTGTAATCACCCCACATTTTGCTACGATGACTCCAGTCTCGCTCCAATCAGCCGCTCATCCAGTAGGCTATCTGTCGCCCATTCGACCAATAATCAATCTGATTTCACTTCGATATCTGCAATTTATTTCGACGTGATCTTCTGGCTGTTAAGAGGTTCGCACGTGTTCTACATTATCCGAGTACTCGAAATAGCGTGAACTTTACCGAGTTTTCAGAGTGCTGATTGCACTCTATCAGGACACTTGACAGTCAGGAACTATTTTCCCGTGACAAAGCTGCATTTCCAAAGAGAGGCATTACTGATATAGGAAGTCCTGCAGGTATAATATCTACATTAGAAGGACTCAAATTCTTCCCTGGTGGTTGCTTTGGTTGTTGGTTTCTCTGTATACATCGTGAGAAACATTGCCAGGCACAATTTTTATAAGATAGGCACCACGCGGAGCTGTGAGCATTTTGCTCTTGGAATTAGGAATTTTTTTTTCGAATCATATTGGATAGCTTTCATTCACCACGGGCACTGTATGTAATCAAGAATATAGTACTTGCGAATACGAGGTTTTGTGCTCACTCAGCTGTTTCTCCAATATTCTGCCAACTTACTCCGGACCTGTTCATCACTCTACTTCATCGACGCAAAGAGTTTGACGAGGGTCACTCGGTTTAGCTTTGTAAATTGTGATAGAGATTTAACTAAGAATTCTTGCCCCAAGGATTATACACTACATGATCCTGTTCATCAGTATAAGGAGTTGAGATTCTGCAACTGACATTACAGGAGGAAAACAGGTTTGGGTGCCCGGTGTGGACAATCTGGAGGACGGGGAGGAGCTCCAGTTTGATCCAACAGCGTATGACTGCCTCCACGCGTTTCGTCTCCAGTGGCCCTGTTTAAGGTTTGTGGCTTCTTGTTTGTCATATGTTGTCTGACATTTCTCTCATTCTGTATCTTGATGTTATTGTTGCCGGAGATGGCCTACGTTGGGTTTGTATCCAACCCGGTTTAATATCATGGTTATGTAAAAAATGTGAGGTGCTCACTTTCAGCGGTTGCAAATAGGAAGGCTGTTTCTGAGGTTCAACTCTTCGTTGCAGTTTTGACATCGCCCGAGATGCCCTAGGAGTGCTGCGAAATGACTTCCCACACACTATGTTCTGTGTCGCAGGAACACAGGTTGGTATCTTGCACTGAACTAAGATGGTTCCAAGCTTGTGGCCCATTTTAATATTCCATTGTGGTACGTGTAGGAAGCTATTGTAGTTATGAGCACTCACATCTCTAGGTTGTAAAGTAGACGGGTCAAGTTATCCACCATTCATGATACTAAACGCTGAGTAATTTGGCAGGCGGATTTGGGCCCAAACAATTCTATAGTAGTGGCGAAATTGTCTAATGTCACGGGGGTTAGACGAGGTCTCAAACTCGCAAATCCAATGGACGCTGACGAACATGATGGAAGTGACGACGATAGCAGCAGCGATGAAGAAGACGATGGCAAGGAGGGTCGAACCACTTCGTCAAAAGTTCCTGTACTCCAGGTAACAGATGGTTTGGCCCATTTTTTTCCTGAATTTTGTGGGATTACAAAGTCTGAAGCCATCAGGGTTTATCGGAACCAGGTTGGGGAGGCAATGGTGTTGAATTAAGAACTGCTGACTGGGTGTACGCAGGCAAGGATGATAGCTCATCAGGGAGGCGTCAATCGAATTCGAGCTATGCCTCAGCAGCCTCACATTGTGGCTACGTGGGCGGACACTGGTTATGTTCAGGTCTATTTCCTCATTTGTCTCTCGCAAATTTTAGTTTTAGTTCTAGTTGCCGTTTGCGGATCCTAAAGCGCTTTGTGCCTTGCTCCTACACCTGTGGATCCTCTCCACTCCATCCCCTCTCTTGAACTGAAATATTTCAAACTGGGTGCAACTTTACGCAAGCTAACAGTAGTCAGTAACTACAGTCACTGGATTATATCTTGAGTTTTAAAACTTCGATTGTATTCTGACTGGACGATATGGAATGTCATACCGCAGGTGTGGGATATGCTATCACATGTTCGTGCTCTTTCAACAGAGAACCCTTCGGAAGCCACAGCTGCGGCGACGCCCAGTTTGTTGCGGCAGGCTCCTCTTCACATATTTACTGGTCACAAGGATGAAGGATTCGCTCTTGATTGGAGTCCTGTTAATCCTGGGCGCCTTGTCACCGGTATTACGACCATCAAATGCTACTTCTCTTATCTTGGTCTTCCATGCTTAGAAAACCCTTAATCGATCAGATGACTCTATACGAGCTTACCTAAGATGTGTTAGTTACAGGCATGTGATCGCCAAGTCAAGCACTGATTATCAGAGCCATCGCATGACTGGTATGTCGTATGCTGCATCCATTGGCACTCACTACAATGATGGACGTATGCAGGGGATTGCAAGAGCGGCATTCACCTCTGGGAGCCGACAACATCAGGGAAGTGGAATGTTGATAGAGCTCCCTTCAAAGGTCATACCGCCAGCGTGGAAGATTTGCAGGTAGGTCATCTTTGAGGGCCAAGTATGTGACTATGTGACTGCTGATATTCATCCTTGTCTGGATCTTCCACTGTATGACTGCGCTTTAGGGGCCAGAAACATACTGATTCTTTGATTTTGCTGGAACCAGTGGAGTCCTACTGAAGGAGAAGTTTTTGCATCCTGTTCTGTTGATGGAACGTTAAGAATATGGGATGCCCGCACCCGCAGCCAACCAGCTATTTCTGTCAAAGCTCATGATGCTGATGTCAACGTCATCTCCTGGAACCGGTAGAGTATTTTTATCCTGAAATAAAAATTCTGTATTTGATTTAGAGAGAGAGAGAAAGAAGGTGGTGTTGACTTATTCTCTTCGTCAAAAAACACGTGCAGGGTCGCGAGTTGTATGGTCGCCTCTGGATGCGACGATGGAACGTTCCGCATATGGGATCTTAGATCTTTTAAGGTCTCGCTAAAACTCTGTCCACCTTCTTTTATGTGTTAATGACAACTATTCTCAATTTTTAGTTAATATCTCCGAAGTGTGCTGCGATTTTAAGGTTGTGAGAACATGAGGCATTTTAGGACTGTAGGGTGTTTTGAACGCAACATTGTTTCCTTATTTCTCGCTTTATCTGTGAGCAGGAAGATTCTTTTGTTGCACACTTCAACTACCACAAGGCTCCTATCACGTCGATAGAATGGAGTCCGCACGAAGCATCAACCGTGGCGGTAACCTGTGCAGATAATCAACTAACGTAAGGAAGATTTATATTTCGAGAATAGTTTTCAAAACTTGATCTTTGTGGATTTTTTAGGACATATGTTCAGCCTGCTCATAGCCTTGCAGTTTACATTTTTACCTGTTTTGTATTTCTTGTCCTGAGCAGTATATGGGACTTATCTTTGGAGCGGGATGAGGAGGAGGAAGCAGAGTATCAAGCTAGGCTCAAGCAGCAACAGGCCGAGGCTCCTACTGACCTACCTCCACAGCTTCTCTTTGTGCACTTGGTAATATTTTGACTCTACCTCAGCGGAAGTTGGTGTTGTCCAGTTCTTCTTTGCTCTGTGTAAAATGTGTCTTTATGAGATAGTCTACTATTCTCTCTTCTAAACATCTACTGTGCAAATGTATGTGTACGATGACTTCTTAGCCAGCGACGCTTAATTACAGGTACCTCGATCAATAGAGCTCACTGTGTTTTACTTGACACTCTTCTGTTTACACTTCATTGGATTTCCATCAACAGGGACAAAAGGATATCAAGGAGGCTCACTGGCACCCTCAAATTCAAGGCCTGCTTGTATCCACTGCCGCGGATGGTTTCAATATAATAAGACCGTCAAACTTGGAGAATTTGCCAGCTGCAGTCTGAGCCGGAAATTTAGAAATAGCGATATGATGAGGAATTGGGAGGTACGGTTGCCCGTTGATCTGGTTATGAGATCGTGGACGATTTTGAGCTAGCTTGACTGAAAGCTCTGTATTGAGGCATAATCGGAAAATTGCTGGTACCAATGCAGTGCCTTTGCCACTATACGAAACCGTCTGATAGGACCTTGTTCTGTGCACGAGAGAAGTTAGCAGACTTCCCGAGAAGCTGCACAGTTGTAGGTCAGGACAGGTTGAAACCTGTGCTGCTGGAATGCCAGGTGGCATCGTAATATTATTGACGTTTGTCTCACCATTCAACTTGTGTCAGAGTAAGAGATTCGGTAAGATGGTCTTGTTTATGAATCTGTCATACCTTACTGGTTGACATGTAAAATGTTCATTTTTAAAAAACATTTACTTCAAGAGTTCCAAATATCCTTGATGATGTCTTTGCAGCCAGATTTGATACTGTGTAATAGTCAAATGTATCAACCCTTTTGCTTTGTCTCTGTACATGGAGGTCGAGGGCACTCATACTGGAACTCGCCTGTTGTTGGGATTTGGAGTTTTGAACTTTGAACATTGAATGGACGTTCGTTCTACTCCACGCACACACGTTTCGATGGAAGAGTAATGTCGAAAGCCCGAGCTTATATTTACTCTAAGACGAAGTCCTGCATAAGCGAGATGTACTGTGAAATCATACTCAACAGCGGAAGACTATCAGAAGATTATTAGGAGTGTATGTAAGAGGACAGTCATTCCCTACTTACAACCAGTTTCTCAACTTCACGTTCTGTGATCTCTGCTGCTCCAGCTCACTCTGGTTGTGCTGTTAATACTAAACTTCTCCATGTATAAAATCTGCCTGCCTCATCCACGCCACTTTCTCTGCTGATTTCTTCTTAAATCGACGGAATATCAAGCTTTCTCCTCGTAGGCGTGAATTTGGGTGGCTTTTGGTTCACCACTCGATTGCTGTCGGGCATCTCGTTGTCTTGGAAGTCCTTTTTCGCGGTTCGATGGTGGTTTCAAGCCGTAAGACACAGTGTCTTCTCGATGACGATCCTTGGACGTGGAGTCCTGTGAGAAGCCAAATTGGCCAGGGTTTCAATTGACTCATAAGCTTTCTGCTTCGTTAGCCGCAACCGCAGTCGATCTGATGACACTTTCATCGTAGGAATCATCACTTGAATTGGCTCTTGCCAGACGATCTGATGACAGTCTATGTCTGGAGAATTCGAGTCCCTTCGAAAGGAATGGAAACGGGGCGACCAAATTTCGGCACCTTCCGAGCAAACAATGTAATTCTGTGCCTCGAAGAAGCTCTTCTTCACCAGAAGGACTCGTCGTCCGAGAGATGCCTCTTGAGAAATGCGAGACCATCGATGTCGGCTGCTCTCATGGCGCAATCGTCTCCGGTCGGGAATTGGCACTTGTCCGAGGGCCATGCCTGCTGCTGGGCATCGAAGGTGTGGTGCGCGTCGGGGAAGGCCGGGAAGTCGATCGAGCTTCCGAAGTCGCGTCTCGCAATGTCAGTGCGCTTCTTGCAATTGGCGTGAAATGCATCCTGCTCGCCCACATTCAGCTGAAACTCCCGATACGGCCTCCAGAACGAGGATCCACAGCTCCAGATTTCATCGACGAATCCGAGATGAGATCCGCAGCCAGGATAGAAGCTGAGCAGCACGGCGAATCGGTGGTCGGACGCCGGCCTCTCGATGTCGATGTGCCGAGGTGTTGCTGCAGCCTCGACCATGGTCGCCTCGCCTCCATGGCTCCAACCCAGCAGCCCGATCTTCTTCGGATCGATCGAGCCCAGCGACACGAGATAATCCCAGCCTGCGCGAGCGTCCTGCACGCGAGTCGTGTAGGGATCGACTGTGCCGGCGTACCGAGCTCCACTGCAGTGATTCTGCCATTCTGGATCGCCCTGCGAGAGCGAGGGAGGAGCTCGAGGAGTGAAGCTCTCCACCACCAAGGCGACGATGCTCTCCGAGGCGAGTTTCAGCGCCCACTTCTCGATGTGGTTCTGCAGATTGGGCGTGCCGTCGGCGTTCGTGGCATTCACTCGTCGATTGGACCAAATTCCCGTGCATCCATGCATCAGGATTACGGCCGAGTGGTAGGCCGCACGACGGCAGTCATGGAATCCTGTCGGCGTATACAAAATCCCCGTGAGCGTCACGCCATGCGGACCCGCGAAATGAACTTGGCTCGGCGGCGGCAGCACTGCATCGCTGCTGCCAATGGAAGCTGCTAAGAACGCCACAAGGATGCAAGGAATCAATTCAGTCGCAACAATCCTGCTCGTCATCATCAATCAATCAATCACACTCAATTCTCACGAGGACGACGACGAATTCGAGCTCGTCGGTCGTCCATCGATCGATCGAGCCGAACAGCGCACCGCATCGCTGCAATCTTCTGTCACCAGGTCGCGACGAGTTCACATCCGGGACGTCGATTGACATGTTGAAACGTCAGATTGCAGTTGCGGCGTTCAACCTCGAGTCGACTCGCTCGCTCTCTCGCTCTCTCGATCTCTCGATCTCTCGATCTCTCGATCGGCCGACCTTTCTTGAGGACGAACGGTTTTTCCAACTGCCTGACACACCTCGGGACTCCATTGAAGCTCGAGAGCCAGCACGCCAGAAGCTCTCTCTCGCGTCGTTATCGTGGCAAGATTATCGGAGCACTGTCTTGGCACGCATGCTCCTCGAGCTTTCCGTTTCACAAACGACGTGATCGAATCCCTAAACCCGAGAATGTACGTTCGGAGGTGGTTGTCAGAAGGAATGCGGGCGAATTCGCAGCCTTGCAGCAGCAGCAGCACTCCTTGCGGCCTTCGAGGTCGGTCTCGTTGCAGTCGATAGAATCTATCGTCTGTGCAACTCCAGAAGCACTTGTCGTGAGTGACAGACTCTGATCTCTTGGCGGGTCCCCTTGCGTCGAGTTTCGTGCTCGAGACTCGTGCGCTTCACGTTACAGCCTCTGAACGAGGTTCCGTGCTTGAGTCTGCTGCTGCTGCAGGCGTGGCCTGGCCTGGCCCCGCTCACTCCGTCGAGGAAGCATCCGAATTTCGAGAAATTTGTGAAATTGGTGAAATTGGTGAAATTTGTCGTTCCCTCCGTCTCGGTACATGCTCAGGATCGGGCTGCCGTCTCGAGTGAATGTTAGGGATTGATTGATTGATTGACCGGGGCGAATTTCGAAATTGCAAGTCGGAAGCTGCTCGTGGCGGAGAGGAGTGAGTTGGTCGAGTTCCGTGATGCCGGCAGGGACGGGATTGTGAACTCGACGGGACATCGGCGATGGAGGAATTGATTGTGAAGATTGCCGAGGATGAGGAGAACGGGCGGGATTCTCACGCCCTCCTCTCGCGGTTCAAGTTCGATGTGATGGGGAAAGCACGAGGCGAGGTCGACGAGGAGGCAGGAGCGTCGAGTTCGCAGAACCCATTCGCGGCCAGTGATTCGTCCGAAGACATGGCGGCCTCCGATTCGGACGACGTGATGGAGAATCGCAGGAAGCTGCTGGCGGAAATTCGCTCGTGCTTTCGCATCCTCTCGATCCACTCGCGCCTGCTTGGAACCGAGAGCCCTCGCACTCGGCGCATCACCAATCTGACCAACAGCCGCCAATCGCTGCATTCGCTGGCGATGGAGAAGTCCAATGACGCCGCCACCTCCTGCGGCACCTCGAAGGAAATCATGATGCGCCCCGACGATGTCCAGAGCTGTCTGCTCTACGATCAGTGGATCACGGGCTCCTCCCCCGCCACCATAGCCGATGCCGATGTCGATGTCGGCCATGGGGCTCCAGACACTCGCGAGTGTTCGGATTGCACGACGGTGAACCTCGCCGCCAGCCTCGCCGCGAACGAGCCTTGCAGCGAGAACATCCACCAGCTCGCCGCGCTCAATCCGACATTGCAGCTCAAGCCGAAGGCGGATCTGAGCAAATCCGACGTCGTGAAAGTCGTCGAGTGGTTGTATCGAGATCACCCGGGGGCAGTGTGGCGAGTATCTCTCTTATTCTCTCGCTTTGTGCACCTCACAATTGCACAATCTCAGATTCTGTTCGCCACTGCGCGAGTCTGTCCTCCTCTTGTCGAATCGAATCGAATTGAAGCAAGCATAGGACTTCAGTCGATTCTGTCTCGTTGCCACCATCGTTCCTTCCTCTTGATTCTCTAGAACCCAACACTGCCAATCGAATCTACTCGCTTGATGGTCCTTGGCGGCCTGCTTAATCTAAACGAGGAGGATGTAAGCACGACAAATGTTTCGATGGAAAATTTCGGTCCATCTTCCATCATGACAAATTCTCCATAGCCCCTTGAAAAGAGCAGGAGAGGATAACAAATTCTCCGTTGAAATTTAAGACCCAATTAATCTAAAAAGGTCGAGAATTGAATTGCCGTCGATTTCTCAGTTGTCTACGGTGTGATGATCACCATGTGCTCGTAAATCTCATAGACGGCACGGGAATTGAGGAATCAGGCAATCAGGAATCGGCTCTGTTGCACAGAAAAATCGATGAATTGAATTAAGCGGAATGGGGAACTTGCAGGCTGCGAGCCGGGAAGCCATGGCCGATGATGAGAACAGAAGCTCTCTCATATACGGGGAGGTAAGTGGAACACCATGAGAGATCATGATCGTGTGTAAAGTTGCACGTAACGAATTGCATTGTTTCTCTTGGCAACGTGGTTGACAACAGCAGTAGCTGGCTATACCATCTGAGCTTCAAATTGCATTAGCTGCAACTAAAATTCTCAGAGAATATGAGTCCACTCCACTGCAGGTGAGCTTCGTGGCATTCGCAAAGCTGATGGAAAATTACTGCCCCAAAAGGCGCACCAGCGTTGTGGTGGACTCGAACCAGCTGAATACAGCAGCAGCATCCAGCAGCTCGTGTGACGATACCGGCGGCTTCAACTTCTACGATTTGGGCTGCGGTGGTGGTCGATGCGCTTTCATGGCTTCGCTGCTGAACACGAATTGCGCCAAAGCTTGCGGCATCGAGATCGTTCCCGGTACCCGTCTTGCCCGCATCCCACCATTCCACTTGTGTCTCTAGTGCGTACCATAGCATGCTTTTCACGTCAGTGTGCAACTGAACTTTTTAAATAATTCTGCCATCTGTCGAGTCTCTCGAAATCTTCATTCCTGCCATAATCATAGTGAGAAGATTTAGTTCAGGAGGCTGTAACTAAGGCGTTCTGTCATAGTATTAATAAGCTTAAAGATTTTAGTAGTTAATTTAAGTATTAATAAGCTTATGATAGGCTAAAGTAATCTCGAAGGATAACGAAGCTGATTGAATTTCCCATGATACTGTCAACAGCGCCTTGTTCTGCAAAGAAGGCAAGACTTTCAGGCTAATAGTCTGTTCACCGAAAGATATGTATGGCATGAAATTATCTAGTGGCTGGTTTGGCACATTAAGTGTATGGTTATGGAGTCTTTATGGTACTGGTACGTACCATGGACTCTTAGGTACGTGTTGAGTGCGAAGTCGAAAGCAGAAGCTGACGCAGTTTGCTCGCGTGTTGTGATACAGGCATGCATCAGATGAACCAAATTCTGCTGAGACTTTACAATAAGGAGGCAAAGGATTTGCTTCCCCTCTCTCGTAGGAGTATGTGCACGTAGGGTATGCTGCATGTTTGTTTCACCTCACGTGAACGATTGTCGATTGATGGCACGAATCTAATCATGACGAAAATTAAGTTTTTCCGAATGGGATCACTATCACCGATCAAATAAAAGCTTGTGCACACCACAGTTCATTCTGGATGGGTGGCATGACTTCTGGAGTCACCCGATTTGATGCAGTTGTCCAGGATTCGCAATTACTCCGTCAGTGCACATTTCAAAGAAATGTTGCTGTGCAGGAACTTCCAGATAAGGGGTTTAATCAGTTATTGATCTGTTGTTTTTCACGACAAATCAACTCAAACTCGGTCTTGTAGAGTTGGCAATGCCTGAGGATATCTGAAAATGCATCGAAGTCGCCATGTCATGATGGATTTCAGCTGCCCTGTCTGACCCTGATTGCAATCTTGCAAGCATAGAGAACCTGCACTTAGAAATGTCCTTGAGGTGGGGAATGCTCTATTTTGCTCTAAGTGTAATTTTCTTGGGAGTTAGTTTGCAATTATAGAGCTTTTACTCGAACAGCGACAGCTGAATCTGAACCTTACCCATAGACAAGAACATTGTACGTGTTCAGATCCAGAACTGACCCGGGACGATGTCTTATATATGGATACTCTGGTATTAAGCCCGACCTTTCCTATGAACTAGAGAACGAATAGCACTAGATTTCCGCCACATACATGTTTGAAAATCTGTGCTGCTGATTTTAGAGTCATGAGTTACATTACATCTAAACTTCCTCAAGTACGAAATGAAAAATTGTCAGAAAATTTCTTCCGACGTAACAATTCTAACAATAGCAATTTGCACCATGTCATGCAGGTTCGTCCAAACCTTCATCCTCTCAAGCAGAAGCAGCAGTTGGTGTTTCTCTTGGGTGATTTCCTTCAAGTAAGGCTTTGTAATTTACCTCTAACTAGACAAATTAGCTAAGTGGAATACCTTTGTTGGAGACTTCTGGTGAATTCAGACCTCATTTATTCTTCGGCTGAATATCAGCATTGGCTCCAAGGTCGCATTCTGATGGTTCGTGCTGGCATTTCGTTTGTCATGTGATTGCGCTCAGATGGACTGGTCGGATGCGGACGTAATATTCACCAATGCCACGTGTTTCGAAGATCCTTTGTTTGACAAGTTCGAGGTACTGCGAACTACGAAACACGTTTTGCATTTTTTTCGTTTTCTAGCCAATTTTCCTTCTTGTCGTCCCGTGAATGTGTCAGGCATTTTGGACAAATTTTGGCTTCGTTGCCTTTTACTTGCTGCATAGGTGCAAATCAGTCTTAAACCTTCACAGAGGGTCTCAATTCGATGTCTTTAACTGGGGCAACAAATACATAGAGCTCTCAAGTTTGTGATTGAAACAAGCACTGTTTTGTTCAAGTCCAGTTGCTGCCGTCAGCTGACGATAGCGGAAAAATCTTTCGCAGGACATGGCTGCCAAGATTCTCAAGCCAGGATCAATCATAATATCAGTGGCAAGATTTTTCTCTAAACGAGAGCTGTGGGATCTGATAGACGAACAGGAAAGGAGAATGAGCTGGGCTCCAGCAATGGTGTATGTATATAGAAAGAAATAGATTCCAGCCTAAACACTTGTTAGTCCGGACTTGACACATTGGATACTCTGAGTTACCGATGGTGATGGTAGCGAAAATCACCTCCTTTGATACCAGTTTGGCTATAGAAGGGGCTTGACAATTGGCCAAGTCCAGCAAGGCTTTAAAGTGTGGGCTCGATCGATCATGTGGGCATATGCTTCACAGAGAGGCCTGTCAACGACCATCGTGATGGAAAAGTCCATCGTACCCATAAGAGAAGAATCAGTTGCCCTGTTTTTTGACAAAATCAAACTCCTCCAGCCTCACAGATCTTCTATTTGCACTTGTAGCAGCATCAGTTGTCGAAGGTGAAGCACATGAAAGCCTTCATTGTTTACCTTTACACCCACTGCGCACGGAATATGTTCCTCTACCTGCTCCATGGCTTGCTTTGTGCTACTGGGTAGTGAGTCACTGTATGAGGACTGATCTTCAAGCTTCAGTAATCTCGTACCCTTCTTACTGTCATAAAAAAGGTACGAGCCTTTCCATGTGTGGACTGTTCTGGTACGACGAAGGAGGTCTGAAACGTCATGTTTTCTGTGAGATTGTGGGCTAAGAACGTCCCCAGACTGTTAGCTCTCAGGGAAAGTACTGCACATGCCATAATGGCGACCAAGTTGTTGTGATTAGAAGGCTTTTGTAATGAAGATGGCAGATGTTAAATTGCAACATCATTAATTTTTATATCATGTTACATCAAATCAAATGTCATGCTAATTGTATTGAAGATATCTTAAATGATCATGATGCTAGACACTATCGAATCTGACACAAGTAATACTTTCATATAAGATCGTGAAATTTTAACGTATCAATAGCAGTCGTTATTGACCATATTGTAGATATATTTACTTCATAACCATATAGTAGATAAAGAGGGCATGACAGAGTACATTTTAAGTTCTAAACATCATCAATCGTAAGTAGATTCAATCACTAGTGAAATTTACAGGATGTTATATTAAAATAATTTTTTTAAATAAGTAATAAAAAAACATTTAAAATTTAGCCACAACAGAAACTATATTTTGCATCTTGAATAAATCGATGCTTTATGATTGAATGAATATATTTTTTACGTTCATAAATTTTCAGAGTTTAAGATAAATGTTGACTTCAGAGGAAGAAAAATAAATATGCATGTAATACAAATAGATTGATTTTTTGAATCATTTCTTGCTCTATGAATGCTACAAAGTGACATGTACATCAGAGCTTCCGTGTCTCCATGTCTTCTACATTTATTTCTGGAATTTGTACCGAGTGAGTATTGTCAAACACTGTAAGGAGTCTCAATAGATGTACTCTTGACATCAACTTAGCGAGTAAGACTTGCAGCGATGATTCTTTCATTTGCGTTTGCTTTTCCCTCATGATGTCTATCCTTCAGTATTGGGATCTTTCTTTATCTTCATTATCAATTAATAAGAAAGTGCCTTTCATTTGCATTTGCTTTTCCCTCATGATGTGTATCCTTCAGTATTGGGATCTATCTTTATCTTCATTATCGATTAATAAGAAAATGCCTTAGACGCGACAAGACGTGCAAAATGCTATCTATATTCATTGTACTTTTTATTGATATGGAGTATTGACAACATCATTATTATCTGATAATCCTTCGGAAGGCTTACTCGTGATCTACCACAAGGCCGCTGAGAATCACCTTGTCAAAGTTTTCAAATGCCATCTCTATATCCAGGTCAATAACTTATTGTTATTAGCAATCGCTTGCTTTGTTTCCAAGTTGTTAATACTTGGCGATTCTTCCAAAGCTTAAGAGCACACTCTACGAGACTCTTTTTATCCACACCAACACCGAGATTAAATGTCATGTTTCAAAACCAGGGAAGGACAGATGCGCCTGAAATGAAGGTGTAACTACAGGGTGATCATTTCAGAAACTTTTAGGTTATGTTTCCACCACTCTAACCTGAGGACATCGATTGTGATTTCCTCTGCTTTGTTCAAATTGGAAATCCTGTGAATTCCCAGATAAGAGACATCGAAGGAGATCATTTACCTCCACGTTGACCTCAGATTTCCTCTCCAGTACACGGCAGTCACCATGTGTAATATTTTCATGCGATGTGTGATCTACTCCACCGCGCGGTAGGACGAAAGCATGAGATAATGATAAACAGTTGCCAGCAACAGGAAGATATTCAGAATTCAAGTTAAGAGGTTGATATACAATCTGAATCGAGATGCGCAGGTTATTCATGTTTGATAATTATGTTTCCACAAATTCATGCCTTTTGTTTCCAAACAATGTTCAATTGTATGCTCTTGAAGTTTCTCTAAAGGAAAGATTAGCAAAAGTTCGTAAAACGTTTGGCGTTTATTGGCCTTGTGGGACTCCCTAGGTAAGTGAAATAAAACTTTTTCCTGAATGAGCTTGACTAATGGTATAACGGCCTCAGGAGGCTCTCCTGAACAAGGGGGCAACTCCAACTAAAGTTCTCTAAACGGATCCACTACAGAGTTTCAAAACTTGTTGTATCCTATTCTCTTGCTAAAAAGCCGTTGGATAAGGTACACTTGAGCTATACTAACTGCGATCAAAGCCACATATTCCATCACTGTGTACCATAGCAACCTTCTTTGTGTACTTTCGTTCGCTGCACATTTCCGTAAGACAAGACGTACATCAGAACAAGCCAATTTGGACACAAACTTGAGAAAAATGACTCCCAGACTGTAGGGTCTAAGGCATTTGCACAGCAGAAGCTACAGCGATTTTCAATATACCTCACTACATCTAAAGAAGGCATGAACTCAAAGCGAACATATGCGGAAGTGATCAATTATAAGACAACACTTACTCTTTTTGTGTCGGACATCTCTTCGTCTCAAGTAATTTTGTTCGAGCGATATGCTCTCCAATGCTTCCTTCAGCTGTGCAATTTTTGTCTCTACAGGGTTGAAATGCTCTGTTCACACACCAAAAACCATCAAAAATTCGAAGTCAGTATAGACGAAGGCTAATCATAAAACAGAAGGACAGTAAAGTGTTGGCTTTCTACAAGTGCAGCCTATCTTTCAGTAAGAATCCGAAAGTGAAGTGTTCAACGTATCGTCACCCTCGAGGATCATTCCCTAGACGGCACAGCAATTAAAGAAGTTAGTGAAATCCACATCCCAAGTTAGAGAACGTACCGTCTTTGGCAACATCTGAGGCTACAGGAATGTGACCGACGTGAATCGAGAATGAAATGTCTTCTGGTGCTGATGTAGGATTGTGAAAACAGAATTTGTAGTGACCCCGTCTTCCTGCTCGAAACGAAAACTTTTGCCCTCCACTAGCTTTCGCAGTCATCATTGTTCCACCCGTCGGCCCTGTAACCTGTAAATATATTAAAAAAAGAAAAACAAACCCTTCTCCAATCAGCGACATATGCACATAAACCTGTGGTGGAGAAAATGACGTTAAACGCCCTGCTGCAGTAATCAGCGTCATTTATGTTATTGACACTTCCTTTGTCAGCAAAACATGGAGCTATTTCTTGCTCGGAAGAAATAAGCAAAGAACCTGGAATTTGGAACGGACCAATTGGCAGAAACTGTTCTCATGAATAACATCGACAAAATCAGATGAATTTTGATTTTGAAGGAATCGTCATGATTGATAGTATTCAGGCAATGATCAGCGAACACTAAAGGAGATAGCTTACTAAAGAGTATTAGATAGGAAAGGAAGATAGCCGAGGACCCTAAGTCACCATTTCCACGTTCTTCTGCATTCTACTCGTCTTTAACAATTTGTTCTTGTTCTAAGTCCCAATTCAACTGCAGCAATTTAAAATGTAATAGAGTGTTGTCTCTTTATCTTAGAGGAAGGGGAATAATGAACCAGTTCCCGTGACACAGATCCTGAGTTTTTGCACTGCTTCTAAGGTCAGACTTAGCTAGATAACATTATGGACTCTCAAAAGCGCTCTTCATTCCACACCGGGGGTCGACACGCCTCCTGATGTCGGCTTCTAGACAGAAAGAAGACTTTCGATGTTTCACATGAATGCTGTAATCCATGCTAAAATGGTCTCCGCTTGGACTGGTATTTCATTCAAACTTCTACTTCCGATTTTTCTTCTATTGAGAATTGGGGACTCCTCCTCTAACATCCAGTCCCTGGAGTAAGCGCAAGCAGGAATGCAAAAACTTGAACACTACCAAACGATTGCTGAACTCCTTAAAACATGAAGAAGAATGGGGCGATCAGTCCATTAGCAACTAGAGGGGCTATATGAATAAAGAGCCAATCCTCACTGAATACAAATTGACTGCCAATCCAGACAGTAAAGGAACATATGTAGCTCTTTCAAAATAAAAAACCCGATGCAATTTTCTGTCAGTGTAAACAATACCAAGGATCTATTTCAAAAATGCTGGTAAAACCATCTGAATCTCTGATGGTGAATTCGAGTGACCATATAGTTTACTAGGACAACTCAGAAAAAAAAACGATTCGGTTCAATTCTCCTGAATGATTAACTGCACATCGATAACATTGACCTCAGAAACACATCAAACCCCGGAGATAAGTAACAAAACTGCCAAATATAAATCTGCATCGGTAAAATCTGCAGGAGACTCCAAAACCTTGAAGCATAAAACTGGACACAGAGAGAGAGCTGAGAGACGCAAGAGATCGAGGTTGAAGTTCGCAGAAACAGAGATGGATCTATTTGATCGTGAAAAGAGGTGAGTAAGTTCACGTACCACCATCTCCACATCGTCGGCTTCCGAATACCAATCACTGTTCTTCTCCACAACCACAAAGTTCCCGGACACAAGGTCATGATCGTGCTCCACGTATTGATAAACGCACTCGACATCGATCACCGTCATGGTCAATCCCTCGGCCCATTGCAGCCCCAACGCCACGAACAAAAAAATGGCCAATCCCCTCCAGATTCGCAGCGTCTGCCCTGCAGCTGCTGCAGCCGACCCCATCACAGATCCTCCACTCCAAATCGCCTCGTCGGCCGGCCGCTCGGTCGGTCACTGGCTCACTCGCTCCTTCTTCCGCCTACCTCGTCTCTTCCCGTCCTCTGCTCGTGTCTCGAGTCTCTACCGCAGTAGTTCCCCCCAATCCACAAGATTCTCATTTCTCCTGTCAACCGGCGCATTCCACAGCAATTCTGCATCTTGCTGTCGTTCGTTCCCCTCTGGCGAGTACTGCCGCCTCGCCTAGTCAACGGCAGCGGATGGACTGCTCTTACATCCGTCCATCCCTCTGGATGAAACTACTGTAGTATGTACTTCCGTTGTTGTCCGTCCTTGCCCCGACCACTTGGCCCTGGCACTCACGTCCAGTGTACCGCTGTTGCACTTTCCTCATTTGAAGCGAAGTTAGTGCGGCAACATTTCTTTCCCGTTTGAGTGGCAAATCCGTTTTTCTTCTTGGAAATACCAGCCGCAAATGCATACATGGCACTGACGGAAAGTACAGTACAAAGTTTGCTGATGACGGATTTTGGATTTTGGACGAAGTAAATTATATGAAGACTTTTTCACATTCCTTTCATTCTCTTCGAGAAACTTATCTACTTTTGACTAAATTAGTTTATTTTAAATTTTATTAAGTAGTAAATTACTTTTGCATAAGTACCGTTAGATGTTGTTCCAAGATTGATTTAACCATACCCACCTGATGCTCTTGCAAATTATGATCTTTGTTGGTAATGTAAGCCATTGTTTCATCTAGATTGTTTAAAAGTGGAACCAACTTACAATGGCATTTCTCCATATGTTTCGAGAAGTAGGTGGAGAAACCTGAACGCTGGAAAAACTGAGCAAAATGAGTATGGAGCCGGGAGAATATGTCCGGAGGTATGGGTAGAGTGAGTTTGTGTAAGTGACTCCTCATACTCTTCGAGGAGTCTCGTACACAACTCACTTCAGGCCTTGCATCCAACGTACAAGTCGAGTGGTAGGTATCCGGATTGTTGGATCGGATGGGGTTTCAAGTCCAACAAGTTTAACCCTAGACGTTGCAAGAAGTGACAGAGGCCGCACAAAATTACAAGAATTTCAAGCTGTCTCTACGCCAATCCGGAATTCATTTGAAGAAGTAAGTCTACAAGGGGAAGAAGCAGATTAGGAGAAAGTGAGATGCCAACGATTCCAGCTTTGAAAGCAGCACCGATACTTGGTCTAGCGATAGTAAAGATTCAGAGTAAGATCACTCTCCCTAAAGAGCCTCCGGATCCAGAGGTTATCATGGGTAACACGACCCAACGAATATAGAAGCCGGCAAAGATTATGTGACTCTCAAATCTCGATGGTCATAAAGGGATCAAATGACGAGAGATAACCTACCGTAAGTTACAAATTCTGATCTTTCGGACCATAACATTGACCAGTGTGGGAAGAGTCTTGCCGGTCTCCTGTTGTCTTGGCAGCAAAGTTCTTGCATTCAGTCCATCAAACGCACAAAAGAGAAAACCTTCAACGCCTTTAGCATGTCTGTAACTACGGTTCTCTCTATTTACTTTTTTGCAAATTGCTCTATATAATACATTACAATACAAAATGTATTATATCAAGCTCAAATGCACATCTAATTCAAAGATTTTATCCTTATTTATCAACTACTTCTCAATCTCAAAGGTATTTTTATCATGCATGTCGTCAACGTCCTCGAATATGTCAACGCGATCAAACTCATCAATGTTACCATCATTAGCATCCTCATACTCGTCCACGAGTAATCTTCAAATTCAATTTCATATGCATTGGATGGATAGAGCTGCTACCGCCACTTGCAAAACTTTGTATACCTCGTTGTAAAGAATTGACGATCAAGCTATTACCAATTGAATGAAATGATGATCATGATCTTCATGTTCTACTTGTCTAACCGAGTTCATAAACCACTATGAAAGCATTTGCGTTTTGCCGCCTTGTGATTGCACTCACCTCCGCTTGCGTTTGTTGGTTTCTTCAACAATGGAAGGAGCCGACTTTTGTACACTATATTAATGATCGTCAAATAAGATTCACAAATCAAACAATTTGAAAATGATGTCGTTGAGATCATCATTTTTGTTCTTTGTACGCACAATCAACGTGACAAGCTCGCTACAAAAAATTTCAAAGATCGTCGTCGTCATTTGCAAGATTACTAAGTGTGATTTTTGACAATTGATCGATAAAATACTTTTTCAATTACAAGAACTCTTGGCTTAACTATGCCACAATCCTAATACGCATAGGTGTGAATGATTGATCAGTAGCAAATGCTAAAGCTTGGAATTCCGTATAAATTGTGGTTTATCATTGTTATAATCTATTCAGTATCATTATCATTCAGATTGAATGCAACCTTGACAGCAAAATTGATGGCTTTTATGTGAAACTTGATCGTCACGCAGCAATCATACATAGCTAAAAAAGGTTAATTTGTCTCTCTTCAAATATGTTAAACATGAGCAGATAGTCTTAAAGAGTGTCTCCATCACAAATACGTCCTTCCAATAAGATTGATCTAGAGCCAAAGTTTTCAGTTCGGCGCATATATCAATGTCATAATCTGTATATTACAAATTTTGGTTGGCAACGATGCACATGCCAATTTGATTGTGCTAGGTCAAAGGATGACATAGTAGACATTATATAGTATTATCACATAAGTTTTTTGATATATTTTTCTTTGCAAAGCTTGTAAAAAAATGTTAATGAAAGATGAAATAATTTTAACTTCTTAACCATAAACAAGATCTATTTTAGAACATTATTCATTCCACAAACTATTTGCACATATGGATGCAAAGTTTGTGGATTGTATCCAATCCATAAATGTAGTTAATCATGAACTTGTTCAATTTAAGACATTCTTTGCATAGTTTACTCATGAAGCTTGATGAATCATCGCATAAGTAAAACGTTGGTGTATTAACAAAATGTTAATTCTTGATGAAAAGTAGTTTTTCTTCATCAAGTTGTTCTTTAATATTACTAAATAAGACAAAATCAATATATATATATTTCTGAAAAGGCGCAACTTGCAACAAATCTTCTCCAAAAAATTTATTTCACTCTTTCTACACAACTTTATTGAAAACTGTTTCAAAAACATTGTAATTGATGAACAAGTCATAAAGTTAATCAATGACTTAACTTTTATATTTGTGACTCCATCCAAGGTATATCAGACCAATAACATCTTGTTGAGTGAGAATAACATCGTTATGACATATAAGTATTCATCTTGCATCAATTAACGACCAATAGCTTCTATAAAAGGAAATTGAAAGTATCCACAAGCGAATTAAAGAAAAAATTCTACGTCGAATGTTCAAAGGCAATAAATGGCATAGTCATGTGATGAATAGCACATGCAAATAATGTATCAAGCTTATATTAATACTTTTTCAGAAATATAAATGCTTTTGACCGCAAAAAAAGAAATCTCTGTCATGTGATGAATAGCACATTCAAATAATGTATTAAACTTCTATTTGTACTTTGTCAAGAAATCTAAATGATTTTGACCGCGAGAAAAGAAATGTCTTTAAAATTATTCTATCACACCGACTTGCTTAAACTGCTAATTGTAGGGATTGACGAACTAATGGTTAATTGTAACATTTTCTTTCAAAATGATTGATATGCCGCATCCAACTGGCATCTTGAACGTGTACACTTTTTACATTCATAACAGTTATTGTGCATACGACCCACTGTAGTAATCATTTATTGCAAATGAATCATTTGCAAGCATTGATGTGACATCATCTTGCTTGTAACAAGCTTCAAACTTTTCCCAGATTGCATCTTTTGGCTTTTTCATTTCAAGTAAAGTCTTACTAGTGTAAGAAGAATACAATATTCTTATGATATACATTCTTTTTTTATTTTAGTTCATTTTGATCTTGGTTTGTAGAGACTTCTTTTTTTATTCTATGAAATGGAAATGTTATTACTTGGAATCGTTAGTTAGTTAGTTCCACTCAAGTGCAACATAAGTAGAAGAAAATAAGCCATCCACAACAAGGATGACATCAGTCACAAATAGTTATATTTTGAAGCCAAAATCATTAAATCTCTCGACTATAAACTTGTGACACTACCTAACGCATGTGCTAGAACTTTTTTAAGAAATGAAAATCACAGCTCTAGTGAAAAAAGAACTTGAACATAATATTTTTGTGGTACAACCTTCTTTTTTTACTTCTGCTCACTTTGAGGTTGATCATAGAGAGTTCTTTCTTTTTTCTCTGAAACGGAGATGTTATTTTTTGGATAGGCAGTTAGTTTCACTCAGATATAACATAGGTAGACTACAGTATCTACTTGTTTGTAGTTTCAAAATTGCAAACAAGTTGCATGACCAGCATTTCATCCATTCATTGCTTGCTTGCAGATTTGAATCTTGGATTCTGATCTTGAGCGTAATTCTTGATATTAAAATCTTTGTTTAAACTCTAAAGAAGTAAACTAGATAACGCCACATAAATGTGATATTGGAGATCAAATCAAATACTAATACTATGAAATCTTACACGTACAGAAATCAATTTACTACAAACTTTTCATCATACAATATATGATTAAGAATTGTTGTATAATACAACACTTTCCAATCACATGTATAATACTACAATTATACATACACATCCATACTTGAAACATGATTTATTGAGTAAGGAAATTGCATATAGACATGAATCAATGAACTTGAAGAATACATCAATTGTGAGTAGATTATTTTCAACTTAATGCATGATGTATTTAACATATATCATGTTGCAAATGATAAACACAACCATAAACAACGTGAGAGTTTAGGGTTTTTGATTTCTCCATTTTTTTATTATTTTGTAATATTTTAACTTTCTCTTTATATTTAAATCCATGTTATTTCATGAAAAAATTTTATCCAATCTTGTACATATTTTCCTAGAGGCTTCAAAAACTAAGAGTACTTCAATTTGGTCGTGCATGTAAGCCATACTTTAGATGTATGAGAAGTAAATGATCATGAACATTTCATAATACAAACTATTGCAATGTAGAGGAGATGCATTTAGTGATGAGTAGTTTGTTACTGCAAAACACGCACATGATAGCAAATAGTAAACAAGATGTAACGTGGTTCATCTCTTCAAAGGGGCTACGTCCACGACGAGAAGCTCACCCATGAGATTATATTTAAAATGTGTCAAGTAATACACAAACCCTTGGGTATAAACACACCAGCACGACAGCATTCCTAGCTATTTTTAGCTAGGACCTAAAGTTACTTCTTGACCGGAGTTAATTTCAACAGAGTTATTATGTGAATTATTATTTTTGTTCCCATTAGTCTGACTAAAAACCAATCTACTCAGTATAGATTGACAATTTTAGAATGTATTTTTCTTTGTACTTAGTGATTTTGACCAAAAATGATACTGTTATGGGTAATTACAATCTATCCGAGCAAGTGTGCATGATGTTGAATCTTTACTTGAACATTCATCATGGGTTTAGGTTTTGTATGGATAAGGTTCTATAATGTGTGTACCTAGTCATAACCATGCAACATGATTAGTTCATCTTGTTCAATACAAGATGAAGTTCAATAGTTTGAACCATACATTTAAATTTTGAATTCAGTATTATGCAACTAGAGCTCAATAAAAGTAAAAGTGTTGATATGATACTGTTTGCTATGTCATCATGTTATTTTGGCGCATCATATGGTTAATGATATCACAATCAAGTGGTTTAAATTTTATATATTTAGAATGAACATATTACTCTTGTAAACAATTTATAATCTTACACATCAAATTATTGGAATGGCAATTACCAACCGTTTAAAGCACAATTGTAAGCATGTTTTGTATTTATTTCTGTTTGAAATTTAGTTTTTTTTCTATTACATAAATATTTAAATATTATAAAAAATATTGAACACAATATTTTTTTCATGAAATACAGAATTTGAATGAATCATTAAATAAAGTGAAATCTAAATTACTATGAAACATCATGGGCTCTAGGTCACTTCTTTAATGATAAAATATTTTGATACTTGTAAAAAATTTGGTTTTTTTAACTTGAGTGGTCAGATGTGTTTTATTCAAGTAAAGGGGTGATAGTTGATGTAAGAAAATATTATCATTTAGCTAGTTTGTATGCAAGACCATTGCAGCCGAGACTTTCACGACACCCTTAAGCGAAGGATTTTTAAAAAAGCATGAGATCTTGTAGATTGAGCTATATATATGTATCATATACAAACACTTTGTATTTTGTAAATTCATTTACATACTTTCTGCAATCATATGATAATTCAGTCTTTCGTTGCAGTTTTTCACTATAATTTGTGAGGTGAAATGAATTCCGCCTCACAATGTACTAAAATGAGGTGATCTCTACTAATTTTAAAAAATTCGGAATATTATTGAATACTATTTATTATTGTCTAAAGATGTTTATACTATATTTGGTGAGATGAAATGAAATCTGCCTCACAATATACTAATATAAAGTGATCTCTACTACTTGTCAAAAATTCGGAATTTTGAGGAATACTTTTTAATATAATCTGAAAATTTTTATACTATAATTGTTGAGGTGGAATGAATTCCGCCTCACAAACTACTAATATGAGGTGATCTCTACTACTTGTCAAGAAAATCGTAATTTTAATGAGCACTATGTATTCTACAAAATAGATTTGTATTGATTGGCGAACTTACTTCTACTCCTGGTTCAGACTCCGGACTACACGAGTAAGCGTGGAGTCTGGGACTTGACCAGTAAAGAAAATGAGAGTGGGAACTGACCACCGTAACCTTATCCGCTGCAAAGGGTGGGCACCGAGGCAGTAACCATGGTTAGATGAGAACCGCGGTTGTCGTCGCGCCTTATCCTTGGGGCGATGTGTTCCCCCGTCGGTAAGCAGTGTACAAGTGAAGGGGAAGCGAATTGCTGCTGGAGAACGAGCACCAGGAGCCCCGAGAGAGCTCGAGCAAAGTGTCGTGGCTATGGCGATGGCGAGCTCCAGCGCACTGATGGCAGCCCGAGCCTCCGTCGTTGTGGCCCAATCCCCCCGCTGCAGCATCGATTCCCCCGGTGCGTCGAGCTCGGCCGCGTCCGGCAACCCCAACAACAATGTCAAGTTCCCGCTCTCGAATGTGCTGCGCCAGCTCAAGGAGACCTCGGGCGCGGAGAATTTGTCCGTCGGCTCCGACCGCGATGCCATTCTCGACCCCCAGATGAAGTTCGCCAATCTCATGTGGTTCAGGGGCGCATACAACGCGCAAATTTTCGTCTCCGAGGACGAGCCCGCCGACTCTGTCGTCAGAAGGTTCCGGAAGGCGGTCATGCAGGTGAGTGACATTTTTCGGTTGCTGCACTCTTTTTCTTCTCCCCTTCACGGTGCGCAGCTCGTGAGGATGAATGCTTGGACGGACCTTAATCTAATTCAATTCAATGGTACCAATTCTGTGAAATAGGCCGGAGTCATCCCGGAGTGCCGCAGAAGGAGGTTTTTCGAAACTCCCCAGGACATCGTCAAGCGCAAACAGCAAAACGCCCAGCGACGCAAGTCACGGTACTTCTCATAAACCTGTCTCGTCTGGATCTTCTTTCTTCTCGGGGATGGAGAGGGCTGAGGAAGTGATAGGGTCTCAGTGAGTCGGACCGCCCAAAGTGGGGAGAATCAACAGGTGGATATAGTTCTTAGACCTGCCCCTCGACGAATTTTCTCATAATTAACGAAGGCTCTCACGCGATGACTCGCTCGTAGCATTTTTTCCATTCTACCTTCGGTGAAGACTAAGACCGCGAGGCGAGCGAGGAGAGACCGAGTCTATCGGACGCGTTTTTTTCACGTGTTTTTTAAGCCTCGGAGTGCGCAGAACCATTGCCGCTGCGCTCCATGCCGTGTAGGGTATGGGGCTAAGCGGTGGATGACTGATTCGTCTGTAAATTGAATAATAATCTTCCCCTGGGAATCGCCGGAGGCAGTAATATGAAGGATTTGCGCAGCGATACCTTTGTCGTAGCACACGAAGTTGTGAAGTTTTAGGTCGCTCGTCCTTCCTACTGCCATGAAATTAATCATCAGTGGAATCTAATACGAGGACACCTCGCTGCCTGCGAATTGTCCTGCAATGTCTCTGCTTGTACTCGCCGAGTGGTCTTTAAATGTCCCGTTCTCTGGGACATGTGTAGGCGCAATCATCTGAGTACATGAATGAAAGAATCCGTGACCTTGCCCATCTCGTCACGATGTCGAAGACATTTTATGTCATATGAGATTACGCTTGCCGAATTGGACGCCGGATGTGTTCTGATGTTTTTGAGAATTCTTCTGCAGACGGTTCACTCCCCGGAACGAGAGCTTCGGACCCGGAGGCGAGAAGAAAGAGGGAGGCGCCGGTGGATCGTCGGGTGGAAACGACGACGACGATTTCTGGGGATTCGCTGAAGAGTCTTGAACTCGACACTGTCAGTCAGCTATGTAGAATCGAAATCATTCACATTCTTGTGTAGGAAGTACATGTCAGAACCTGAGTCCACTCATGACACGGGGCTAGTAAGTGATTACCACAGGAGAGGCAGAAGATTGTAGAAGAGTCATATTGTAGACTACACTGTAACCATTTTCTTGTAGGAGTCCATAAGCAGTATAATGTTCGTCAGTCGAGTACCATATCATTTGTCACAGCTGGAGCAATCGAATAATTTTTTTGTACCATGTCTCGTTGTTCTCGTGTCTTATCTCTCATGACCTAATAATCTCCAGGGAATGCTGATTCCATACAAATCAAAGTTGCTTCAAGCAGTCGAAGGTGTTTGTTTGAGAGTCGCCATGAATGCTCCGAGCTGCGTGGGTTTAGGGCGTCCGGGTTTTGGTTCTGTCTTCTTACAGGAGGAGGCCTGGAGTCCAGGACAGGCGAGTGATGGCGGCTACTCCATCGTCGTGAATGCGCTTCTCCTTTGTTCGTTGTGATCGTCTAGACGTCGTCACGGACACGAAAGAAGCGTCGTAGTACGATGAAGTCTTTCGTTCTGAAGCCGAGTCTGAGGATCAATTAAATTTCTGTCTCTGCTGAGTCTTTTTATATTTCCAGTCTTCACTGTTCACTGACACGACGACGAGCTGACGACTCGCCTCTCGGGATTATGCATTTGTCACCAGCAGTCCGATCGTCGATCGAGTCTGATACGTCAGGAACGCACTAAGCCGAAGCAAACGAGTAGCAAGTCTGCAAGGCCTGCATCGTTGCACGAGTTGCTTGCATTATTTCACACCCTCACTGAGATGTGATTTGTTGCGTCTGTCCTACTCACTCACTCCTTGCGTTCGAAAGCTCCCATGAGTTCACTGATTCCGTCCATGCCCGTAGTCTATTGTTTGGCGCCATCAATATCCCATGGGGTTATCTCTAAACCCTCCCCAGATGAAATCTTTCTACTGACATGGAAATCTGTGTCTGGGATAATTTCTCGCCCTGAGAGGCATAGTCTGCTGCTTATTACCCTTAGTATCAACCTCGCTTGCTCGGACGCAGCAAACGCCAGCCCAGTCTCGTAAGGTGAGCGCTGCCTCGTTATCTGATTCTTCGGTCCTCAATCTGAAGGTCTCCATTCGAGGAGGTAAGAATCAGTGACGTCATATCGACGTCGACTCGCATGATCCTCAACAGAGACGGATTTCAACCAACTCTCTGCTCTCTTTCGGACAGAGCATTGCACGCCTGAGTCTGTCGCAACATGCTACCCGATCGAGGGAATGGCGGATTCTACTCTCTTGGTCTGTTGCCAGCTGAGAATTCCTTCGTTCACGGCGCACAGCGATGACTGCCTTCTCTCCCCACCTGCCACGCATCGTCTTCGATGTGCACGATCGGTCGATTCATCGGGTCCAATGTGGATAGAGGATAAGCCACTGTTAAGCTCTCTCTTCCTTCTTCAGACCGGGGACCGGCTGCGATTGCGGGTAGGGGACGACTTATCCTCTAATCCAAAAATCCCATGAAAGTGTCTTCTTAGCGTCCAGCGAGGAAGGTTTGTGTGTGTGTAACTATGCTGCCATCGCAATTCCTTCGCTAACCGGAGAATCCACGGAGCTGATTTGCACTCCCTAAAGAAACCATGCAACAGCATGTTCCAGAAGTGTGAAGATGCTGATCTCAAGGGGAATCGAAGGGGCAGTCCTGATCCCACTTCAGGCCATGGAACTGGCTCCAGGAACCTTGAAAGGAGAACCTGCCGGAGCACGCCGGGAACGTCGGGAAGAAGAAGATGAAGAAGCATCCATTACGTATGTACTGATGCCAAAACTCAATCGGTCGGCAGTTTAAATTGGGACTGGCGTGATTCCTACAGGGTTCCAGGTACGAGAACTAGGGGCACGCCTCTCACTCACTCCACGATGCGCAGATTTGGGTCACACACACATCGAGTGCGGTGTTGTGTTGTCATCGTCAAACTGCCAGGTAAGTGCTTCACGTACATCGAGGGTCAACAGATGCGGAGTCCGACTCTCCCCGAGCTCTCTCTGCGCGCCCAAGAGCACGCAGAGATTTAACTTGACCTTGAGATGCCCTGCGTTTGGTACATAAATCTTCATCAGACGAGTTTTTAATTCTTTCTTACTCTCTGATGAAAATTGAGTTCTCTTCGATCTGCTTTTACTTTCCCTATCGAGTCCCTTGGACTGATACGATTCATTTGCTTTGACCTGAATCGAACTTTGGTTTTGCAATTTGCCCAACACGAAGCGATACGAAGCTCTTTGCTCGTTCTCTCGATTCCGGAGTTTGCACATGCCATGACTGACTGCACTTGCTCGATATCCAAAGTATATTTTCTCGATGAATGCTGGAATCTTGTTCATCTGCTTCTGCAATAGTCGCAGCTCTCATATCAAGCTTTGAAGTAGACCAGGTCGTTCAGATATCCTGCCTGGATTCCTTGAGACGTCTGTACAATTGAAATTGGGCGTGGAGTTGTCCTAGCATCTGGAGGTCGAACACTATCTGGATGGAATTCTCGATAACATTTTGTGGTAGGAGTCGAGATCGGTTAAGCGACTTGCTTGATGAGCATCAGAGAGCAAACCTGGAATTTTTACAGAATGCAATTGTAAGAGATACACGAGGAGGGTTGTCACAATAAGTGGATGGTCTTACATTGTTTCGACCTGCGTTAGGCATTATCGCCTGAGTTTAGTGTTAAATGCGAACAATGTAAGTTGTAATACTTTTGTCATATTGATAGAGGATTTGTGAATGTTTTAATATCAACCGATGAATGCTTGATGGGATATTCAAATCGTTTTTTGATATATTGCACTCTCTCACAATAAAATGTTTAGTGTAGTCGGATCAACATACTCTGCAATTTAGTTAAGATTTGTTTTTCTCACCTTCCCCCTTATCTCATCCACTCCCTTTAATTCCTTACAGGTTCCGTCTTCGCCTTTCCGATCCCTCGTCTCTTGTAGCGACACGCCATGAACCTTGAAATCTGCATCTTGCCGCTCATCTGTATAACGTCACCACCAAGCGGGCTGATTACAAGATTATGTGAGTCCTACTGTTTCATTGAGTGAAGTCTGGCACAAGCAATAATCGCCATGGTATAACAGAGGAGACACGCCGGTACAAGAAGGTGCCTAACTGGGGAAAAATGAAATGTGGAAAAATCAAATCAGAAGGGTGGAGTATCAGACCCTTAATTTCATTTAATGATTAACGTCTTTATATATCTTACACAACGTCAGATTATATTGGATCTCTTTACCGAATTATATAGAACAATACACTAAATTTTATATGCGGTTCCGCAGTTTGAATGATTGCAAGCATTCAATAAAGAATCAAGATGATGATCAACGAAAATAAGATTTTGCACAACTGAAATATTAATTAAACATCTCCAACGAAACTTTCCTATCAGAATTAGCATTTTTATTCCCATTTCTGAAAGATTCTGATTCGTTTCTTCATTATAGTCTAGTGAAATACTTGAACACCAACTCCATAACATTATGCAATTACGTTGTACCTCGCCGATTCCTCTCTCGTAGTTTCAGAAGCTTATGCCTCGTAACACCCGGACGAGGTGACCAAACCAAATGTATGGATCTTGAGCCAGCTAGGCACTGCCATGCCCCAATTGCCGAGAGAAGGATCGCAGAGAAGTGGCGAGCAGTGCTCGGAGTATCTCAAAGATCACCAAATGTTACAGGTAACGACGGCTGGCAGACATACCTCGTGGCAACGCCTGCTTCTAGCAACTTCAGGGTGCTCGTTGGTTGGTATAACTAACGATAAATAGTCCATTAAACCTGCCGTGCTGTCCTTGATCCCTGTATTACACAACCCCTACTAATGTCAGTTGATTTCGTTCACTTGCAGACAATTTATGTCAGATATAAGTGTTCATCAGTTGAAAAGACATCCCATTTGTATAGAAAGAAATTTCTTATCCAGGATATGGTGTTTTCAATGCTTTGCTCGTATTCTAAAAACTTTCAGCAAGATATAAAACTGAAGTCTCGAGTAACGTTTTGTTGTAGTTTCCTCACATACTTTTTTGAAGAAAATTAAGATACGCGTTATAAAAATCACACACAATTATAAAAATTGTACAGAAATCAAACCTAAGTGAATTTATAGGTACAAAATACTTTTAAAATCGTGCACATCTTTATTATGTCAACACAATAATCTTATTTTTTAGTTTGCCTCGTTTTTTCAAGAAAGAAATTCATATCCAACATTGATGATCATAATAGAATAAACTTCCATGGACATGTACAATGATTTTGGATATATATATATATATATATATATATATATACATACAGACAGTTAAAATAAGGACGTTTCTTGATGACATGCAATTGTAAGACAATAGGATGAAAAATTGCATAGATAGAACATTTGCATAATTATTCCAAATTCTGATAATGAAAAATAGATGTATATGTGTTTTGGAAAACATTTAAAGCGTTAAACTTGAGACACTCGTTCACATCATGATCTGAAAGATTTTGAATATCATGTTGTAGATGACAAAAAACTAATTTGTGTTGTGATGTTGTTCATCCTAAATAAGACAATGGATCAGTTGAAAATATATTAGATTTATAGCTAAGGCAGCTTTTTCTTTTCTTTAAAAGAATATATTTTAAATATATTTTTATTTTTATTTAATCTCCATTTTTTACACAAAATTAATTTGTGTGATTTTCCTTCAAACAATTTTTTTGTACATAATATGTTAGCATATGGTAAAAAATTGTATTCCTTAAATTATTATTTTTGTTTAATTTTTACAAATATAAATTATGGAAGTTCTAAAAATATATGTATTTCTTGTTTCATATTAATTGATTATGTGAACTGATTTTCTATATTTCAAAGACCAACTAAATAATCAAAATTATCGTGTTAACAGTTGGTATAAATATATTCTGAGGTTTCGTTTGAATTTAGACTAAATTTAATTTTATCTTTATATGATTTCTTTGAGATTGAATTTTAAATGATGATACATTTATTAAAAATATGACCATGAATTTAGTTTAATATCTGGTAAAGTATTGATGTAATTTGTTTGTATAAGACTGACAAATTTATATGCATAAATTTATTTGATGATTTTGATTTCATTAGCTATCAATTAAGATTCATTTTTTTCCAATTTTTTCAGAAAATGAAATTTGAAATTTCTATTTTTTTACAAAACTTATGATTAAATATATTATTTTTAGAGTACAGATAAAAATTTCAAAGCAGAAAATGGTTGACTTTCAGAATTATTATTTTTTGTTATGCTTTGAGTATCAACATAAAAAGTTCGCGAATATGTATACAGAATTTTATTGTGGATATAAGAAAAAATTAGGTATTTTATATAAAAGGTATATTCATTAGTCCATGGTTAAATCTGTACAATGATACTTGGTCTTTGGTAAATATCTGTCAAGAAAAATATAGTTATATTTCGATAAATGGTTCACCTCTTTGTGTTTTGCAAAATAATGTTTTACGTAATTATTGCGCAATTCATTACTGATTTGTTTAACTTTCATTTTTCAAGCATACTGATATTTTTCATATTTCATACAATTTTTTTTTCATTATCATTGCATTTACACTTATTATAGGTAAAAATTTTCAAGATCCACTCACAGGATTTCAATATACACAATAAATATATTGTATATATTTAAAGTATATTTTCAATATAAATTAAATCATTTTGAATTTCACTACATCAATTGAGCATCTTCGAAAAATAATACATTAGGGTCCACAAAGCTGTTTATATTAATACTCGTGCATATTCTATGATGCTTCTACTTTGGATTTCAGCATACTCAACATGAAAAAGAAAATAGGAGGAAGTATGTTTTTCAAGTTTCGGTATAAAATTAATCGTATAGTATTCTGGGAATGTAGTACTGTGTTCCACCCGGTTTGTAAAAGATAGATACATTACGTACATGAAGATGGTGCACATCTGACATCAATATGTGACTTAGGTTAGTTATATATACAGCAACTCTATATCTGATTCTTGAGCATCAATCTACCAGTGTGGATTCATAATCTTCTCTTGTCATAACTTTGAACTTTAAGCACTTTCATCCTCTAAGCTGTATGGAAATTAAAATAAAAGCAACCATTTCTTCATGTATTGGGTTATTCAAATGGATATTAATATGCCATATTGATCATATAGGCTTGGAATTATATGGAACGATGTACTTTTTACTATAACTAGTTGTGAGTACGAGTAGAGTTCACCATCTTAAAAAACAATCAATATCTTCTTCTATATCATATTGGATAAAATGTTTTATGCTACATAAGCCCGAGAATGTACATATAGCCCTATAAAAATAGCAATTAAGTTACGAGATCTTCGGATGCTTAATAATATATATAGACCAATGGGATAATTTACGTGATGAACGACATTATTTCCAATTGACGGCAGACTAGACTAGACTTCATGATTTCTTCCTCCACTTTTTACTATATGTCTCTCTATTTACTATTAGTTTCATCAATTTTGCGGATATATAGTTATTATAATATATTTTGTAAATTTTCTTATCATTAAATTCATTATCCTTTAAAATTGGGAGGGGCTTAGGTCTATGCTTTGTTTTCTATTGGATGGTCTTGCATCCAATGCGTCGCATTTCTCCTATTTGCTAACTTCTCTGTGAAGCTTACTACCAGACTTTATCCTTCTCACTAATTGTAATATATATCTACGCCGGGAGGGACGAATTATTATAACCAGATAAGGACTTCGATTCCAATTGGACAGCAGTAGTATGAGATGTGAACGCGTCATTGAGCCGCAAATTATTCCTATTGTTAGAGAGACGAGGATCTGTAAGCTCTACAAGCATATACCACCCATGGCCTTAAACCCTAAACCCTCTGTTCTGGAATGTAATTCGTGCGCAGTAACATGGTAGTCGATCTAAAGATGATCGAAGGATTGACGCGCTACATCCCTCCACATGTCCAAAGTTTCACAAGACGTTCCATCTCGTGGCATGTTTGGAGGGCCGCATTAATGTCGTCCTGCGTTTGTGAATCTCGAAGTCTGGGAAAAACTACGTGTTAGTCCACCACATCTTCTTTTCAGCCCGATCATGAGCATGTCGTTGTCCTGATGATTTCTGAGCAATTCTTCTTCTCCGCTTGACTGATGATGGTCTTGTCTCGCATGGAAATCGATGCAGTTGCACGAAAGTATTCGGCCGAGTCGGACTTTCACATCTACGATCGCTTTTGGAGCGCGTCAATCCTTCGACCGTCTTTTGATCGGGAGAAGCCATCGACAGATGATAAATCTGGATTGCAAGATCTTCCCATGCTTGGGTGCCACCAGAATGTATACTTCATGTTATGATTCATCTCGAATTTATTTCAGATTAGAAGAAGCCGCGTCGTGCAGTATGTTTGAAGAGCTTTGAATAGGATAAGAGGATTTGGATATCTAACTCAATCCTCCATTAACGCATCCAAGAAGTTTACGATGGCAATTGACAGCATATCGTAAAACCATCCAGTAGTCACATACTACATATCGTAAAATCCTCACATACTTTAGGTATAATCCTTTCGAAAGTATTTGGAAACTATTTTTTAGTATATTTGTAGGCACACAACTTTTGATCCGCGTGGAGTTAAGTTAGTTTGACTTTCACTCAATTGACCGAGAAGTCAGGGGTGTTTGACAATGAACTTATATATTTGGGAGACTCTCAAACACTCTCAATTTGGCATACTTTATCAATTGATGGATTGAGTCTAGACTCATTTTATGATTTTGAAGTTTTTGTGCGATTCTATATCGTTATACATCATACATCGCTGACATGCTCTACTCACTCATATACATAAATAACTAGAGTGTACACACACAAAGTTATCACAACTCGCCGGTTGGGGGGCGAGTTGTGATACCTTTGTATGTATACATATTTGATAGTATATATATCCCTTCGGGTACATCCGATAAAATTGGAACGATACAGAGAAAGATTAGCATGGCCCTTGCGCAAAGATGACACGCACAAATTGAGAATAGTCAATTCTTCGAGTGAAATTTGATGTGCAAGATGACACAAAAATTCACGTGGTAGTCAAGCCAAACTCACTCCAAACGGAGACGCAGAGTCGAAGCTAGCGGGAACTAACAACTCCCTACACAAAAAGCTCAACTCGAAAATATGACAGTTCTTCGAGCTCGCCTCGACTATACTCTCGATCGAGAGTCGACCCAACTCAACGTTACCCGTGTCTCAACGTTCTCAGATTCAAACTGGAATCCAACGTCTATCTACAACTCACACTAACGTGTATACACATGACAAAGTATATAATTCTATACTAATTTTGATTGTGTTAACCGACTTGTGAGCACATAGATGTACATTGGTATCTCTAGTAATGTAACATATGTACGGGCCGTTTAGAGTGAAATCATGCCGAAGTCTTTTTAATGCATGATGAGAGCTTACTTTACCAGCACTAGCAATGGTCATATTAGCTATTGTACCGCACCAATTCATTGTATAGAATGACAATGAATAACAGTGACAAACAATGACATTCAGTTTGCTACCCAATTCCATTACTTTCAGTTCTTATCACCAAACTTTAAATGAGGGGTACTCATGGGCGGAGAGTACCATCAAGAGAAAGTGGACGAGAAGTATTAGCTGAACAGTTGTGGATTTTTAGAAACTACGAATGAACTTACATGGTAACATCTCTACCACATATAATCTTGTGTATCATTATTCGCTGTAATATGAAAAGCCTCTTCACGAAAGGTGGATTTCTTGTAATTCTTGTCTTGATAAATATATTGAAACTCAATAGTCCACTTACCACTTCTTTATAGACAAGAGTTCCAAACCTTCATTATACTTCCATAGGTAGTCCCATGCACTGTTACTTTCTAGTATATTGTACATGTGATGGATGATGTTGAGTGAATGAAGCAGTAACATGATACACAAGTAAGGAGATGTGCATATAGTTCTATTCTTTGAGAAATTATATATTGATACTATATGCAATGCATTCTGATACCTTTCTGCAGATCATTATCCAATGATATCCATATGTGATGATGCTTTAAATGTTGAGTTCTTTGTCTACCATTTTATTTCGATTGATAGGATAACTAGATGCGGTATGATATATCCGCCATCGTGAAGCTAGGGGAGTCTAGCCCCATGTTACCTATAGTTTCATCGCTGTACAAAGAGATGGGGTCTTCCCATATTTTTTAATACAGGGTGCCTCTTAGCTTCAAGCATATTGTAAATGTTGATAATCGCTCGAGGCGGTCCATTGTGGATCACCCGAACGTGAACTGTTGTGTTGTGGACGATGTTGTAGGCAGCGGTTCATGCTTTCTTCGTCGTTGTCTCACACGAGTGACGTGATCGTCCGCTTGGCAACTTTGTCCCGAGCAGTCTCAGACTCTCACCTGACGTGGTCATTCAGTTTGGCTTCGAGTGGACTGTCATTTATTGAGTGTGAAGAAAAATCTGGCTAAGAACGAGCAAAAAGGTGGGCACCCACTCCACTTTAGATCGACATCTGCACAAAACTCGTGCTCGGTCTGAACTTATGGTGAGATTGAGATCCCGTAACGTTGTGGACTTGGGCCGAGGGAAGAAGATTTTTCAGGTCTAAGCTCTGGTGAGATTGAGATCCCGTAACGTTTTGGACTTGGGCCAAGGGAAGCAGATTTTTCAGGTCTGAATTCTGGTGAGATTGAGATCCCGTATCGTTTTGGACTTGGGCCGAGGGAAGCAGATTTTTCAGGCAACAGGAATGAGTGAGTGAGTGAGTGGAGTGATTGCGAGCAGGCTCCAAGGTTCTTCTCTCGTTCGACTGGCGTATGACTGGTAAGAGTTCTGTGGTCGAACGCCTCGTTGTTCAGATGTCCGAATTCGATCTACTGTCAGTCCAATTGCGTACTCCTGTAAGAGGACCACTCCTTCCATACTCCCCACTGATGCTTCAGGTTCACTCTTCTTTTGACTACACGTTTCAGATTCTCCACGCGAGTAGAGAGATAAAAATTAAAAAATAACCCACCATCGGTTAGATTTTATTACATCTCTCGTTCCCTATATAAGAAATATTTCAAAACAGCTAAATAACTTCTGTCAATTTAGTCACACTCATATTTGTCTACACACACCAAGTCTCATGGTGAGTACGTATAAAATATGGATTATCGGATGTAAGATGAGATAGTGGAATATATGTATATGTATTTATAATGAAAGTTTTAATTTTCAAAAAATGAAATTCAAATCAGAATGATCATTGTGTGTAACAGGGAATATACATATATACGGAGAGAGAGCAAGATATATATAATAAGACATCAAAGTTAAAGCTAGAAGAATTATTAACGAGAAATTTTACATATTTTTAAATAATTGCTTCTCTTGACTATCTGACTTCAAACATAACATTAAAGTATGTAATTGCAAATATTCATGCTTTCAATAAAAGAATTACGTATACAATGTCGATAAGGTTTGACTCTTTCTAAAAAAATATCTCACATAATCATATACTTTAATTTTGTTTGTACAAATATTTTCAATATATATGAATAATTTTTTCTGTGAATTCTTACTTTCTGAATAATTTTGATGAAAACATCTCTAAACAGATTATGATTATTCAAATCAAATTACAATATAAAAATCATTTTTTAGATTACAATATTTTATTATTTCAGTCTTTAAAGCAAATATTAAAATTTCAGTGATGGAAAAATCTGATTATTGATTATCAATGAGAGAAAAAAATTATATCTAATAGAAAAAATAAATGACATGAAATATTTCATTAAATATATAAGAAACTTGAGAATATGATATTTTTAAATAATTTTATTTATTTCTTGTCCGTATAATTTATTTCATAATTTCAAAATTATTAAAAATATTTTGGATATTAGAATTATTATATTTCCACTCTCGCATTTTGATTTCCTTATTTTTTTTAGTTATTAAATTTTTTTATAAAATGTAGTTTAGTCTTGAAATTTTTGAAAAAAAATCCGAAAAATATTTTTTAATGTACATAGTGTGCTTAAGATATTTATGATTAGAAAAAATGTCATCAGGAGAAAAAAAAATTTACAAAATATTCCTCTCAATTTCGTTTGAATCTTTATGCTGATATTTTGAGCCTAGATCAATTTTAAATATATGCTGTTTCATTTAAGGAAAAAAATACTATGATATAATTTACTTTGTGTTACTATTAAAAAAATTCTTATAATATTATTTCATGAATCTTGTGACTTGCTTTATTATCACATATATTTTTAATTGAATAATTTATTTACGAATATGGCAGAAATATTTTAAAATCACAAATACAGTTCAAAAAATTTCTTTACTAATTTTTTTATTCCACAAATCAAAAAGGGTTTATTTAGTACTCCATGAATTTCAAAATAAGTATTATAAAATGAGTATCTTATATTATTGGGATACATTTTTTAAGTGATTTTGAATTTTTAAAGAAAATAAAATTTTATTTCAATTCAAATAAGTAAAAAAAAATTTAAAAATTAATTTTCTTTTTTATATTTGATAGTTTAAGATTTTTCTATTATGGAAAATATTGAATGAATTTTAGATTTTTCATTCTTATAATAGATTGTGATATTTTTAATTAATTCTTAATTTCGTAATGTTTCTGAATATTTTTCCTATATTTTTAAAACATTTCCTTTGTTGGATATATTCTATAATCATCTATTTTTATTCCTTCTTCCCTTATAAAAAAACAAATTTATTCCTTCTATTTTTAGTACCTTGTAAATGTCGCACATGAATCAAATGATTGCATCATTTGATTAAAGGCTTTGGTATCTATATTAGATTCCAAATATATGTTAAAAATTTCAAATTTAAATATGGTTTGTTTTCCAGAAACTCATTCGCATTTTAATGACACAAAGAAGTTTATTTTGTGAAAAATTTCAACATGTTTGAATTCTTTTCAATATCAAAAATAAATATTTCAGTATTTAATATGTACTTCTGAAATTATTCACTTTTCTTATCTTAAAACTCTACATTATATTAAGATTAATACATTTTCTAGATTTCAAACTATGTTTTTGGATAAAAATCTCGCTTCAATGAACTGCAAAAGATATGTTCACACAGTTTATGTTAACATGTATTTGAATATAAATCAAGAGAGATTTTTGGTGAAACTAATATTATAACCAATTTCCAATGCATATACCTCCTCATTTTTTGTAATAGAGGAGTACGTAGTTAACAAATAATTAATTTTGTAATCAAAATGTTTTCTATTTGATACTTTTTTGTAATAAAAGATAAAACTTCCAAAATTGAGCATGATCAATAATTTTAATAGAACAACCGTAAATCAAAGAAGAAGAAATGGTAAATTTATCAAATATATATTGGTAGATAACTTCAAATAAGTTTCTAATTTTTTTTTCTGGATAAAACGATTATGGTTAAAATAATGATTATGTGGCATTTTTTATTATATAGATTTTCATTATCTATTGAAAAAATATAATATAGATGGAGATTTTTGCATGCTTTAATTTTTTTCAAGTCACTAAAGAATTTAATTTAATTCTTTTCTAAAATAATATATAATAAAATAAAATTCTGAAATTGTGGATTTTTTTTATTACTTGGAGTGTCCTCATACACCTTTAGTCCACAACATATAAATGCATTCCCTACAAACTGCCTTATTTTCAACCTACAGTCATTTTTTTCACAGCTTTTGTTTATTCCACATATATATCAAGTCACTGTATCATAACATATAATAATTAAGAATATTAAATGGTAAATTTAAGCAAAATATTCAAATTAAGCATTTTCAGATTCTGTTTACCAATGAAACAAATTTTTTTGTGAGAAATCATCAATTCAAGTAAATTACAGATAGCGCAGCAGATTTCACGAAAGATAGTGAAATCGTCTGTAGCAGTCTCTACCGCGGATGAAAAAGGGGCAACACTTCGTAGCTTGGTACAACACCACTTCTGCCGACATTGTGCAGAACCAACTTCTGACAGGTCTCAAAATATGTCGCTCGGTTGAAATGTGACTGTGGAACCCGGCACCTCCTTATCTTCCAGTTGCCGCAATAAACCTTCTCACCTGGGGGGTGTGGGTGGGGAGGGGCTTGGTGAATTTCGGGTCTTTGGCTGGTAAATTTGCACCAATTCCCCACTCCATGTCGAACAAAAGCGCCGAAAGAAACCGATCTCTTCTGCTGGCGGCTTCAATCGCAGCCACTCGTGGCCGCCAAAGCAAGCCCCCGGCGCAAGGTGCAAATGTAGGTCTAAAAGTGGAGGAGAATTGTTGAGAAGCGCCAAGAAGAGTCAAAGAAAGAAAAAAGAGATAAAAGAAACTTCGACGGCCCCATGCATCCTCTGATATTTAAATCCGCACAACGGGAAAATTATTTATTCATCAGAGTAATCATCATAAGAGATCTGCCATCGATGACCCCCACCATAACATGTTTTCCCTCCTAAAAGTGTGTGGAGGATAGATTAACGGGCAGTTCATCGGAGGTTTAAACGTCCAGCTAATAACGTTTTAATCCGTTGAGTGTTAGCTCAATAATTAGAATTAGACTCCGATTTCTATATAAAGGACGGGGGGTTGGCATTTTAGATCGAAATGTGGATGAGTACGTACAAGGGCCGGTAACGGAAGGACGTAGGAGCGGAGGGCGGAGGGGGATGTCGGTGTGGAAAATAATATCTGGGGGAGAAAAGAAAATGGGAGATTAGGGGTGCTACGTCTTGCCTTTTAGCCCTAGGGCGCTGGATCGACGCGAAAATGCCATGTGTGATCACCCGAACAGTAAATGCTCTTTTGCTTTGGCCGCATCGATTGTTGACATTGTTTGCGGATGGATGCGCATGGAGCGGATTCCGGCGATTCGCATTTGGGCCGAGCTCATTGGGGGACGGGACGGCCGGGCCTTCCGAGAGCGAAGCCCGCGAACGAAGCCTTGGCTCGCACTTCATCGTGATCGGATGTTGCTCCTTTCTGGCTTTGACGTTTCCGTTGTGGCCGCGGATTAGAAACATGCCCGGGCCGGTGCCAGGGGCTCGACGGGAGCTTCGGCTGCGAGGGGTGGGTGACCGGGAGCGCGGAGGGGCTGGAAGACGGGTGACCGGGTGCGGGTTCTGACGAGGGACGGGGTTTTAATTTAGAAATACTGTAACAGAAAGAGAACGGGGGAGGGGATTCGCGCGAGACGAAATTTGGCCGATGCCGGCGACGCTTTCTGGGTGGAATCCGTCTCTCACTTCCGATCATCCGATTCCTCTGTCGCTGCCGTGAGTGCGGACTCGTAGTGTCGTCGTCGTCGTTGTGGAGACCGGGGCCGAAGTTGCCGAGCCATTCGAGCGATGGGGGCTGGGGGGTGCCGGAACGGAGGCCTCGTCGGCCGGCGCCATGTTGCCGGCGGACGTACAGGCGGGGGAGGACGGACTGACGACGACTGAGCGCGAGCGAGAGCGACTGACAAGTTAGGCCGGGCGGGGGAGGATGGAAGGGGGGGCGCTCCTGGGCTGGCTGGCCGGGCGGGCTGGTGGTGGGAAAGAGCGGGGCCGGGGGACGCTCCCCGTAGGGGATTTTCCTCCGCTTTGGTTCTAGACCTGGGGCCTGGGGTTGGGGAGGGGGGCTCTTGTTCTTCTCTTCTTCAAGGGCGAATGCGAGGGGAGGGGATGTGAGGAGAAAGAAGAGAAGAGAGCATTGCAGAACTCCCCGCGAGAGGGAGAGAGAGAGAGAGAGAGCGAAAAGGGGGAGAGGGGGAAGCCGAAGGTAGAGAGAGAGAGAGAGAGAGCAGAGATGAGACTTGACTGAAGAGGAGGAGGAGGAGGAGGGCAGGGCTGGCCAGCAAAGCCCTGACTGAGAGGAGAGGAAAGGAAAGGAAAGGAGACGCCAAAGAGAGAGCTTTTGAGCCCAGGAGGAGACCTTGAGACCGACCTACTGGAGCCTCTTCCCTTCGCTTGCCTTGCCTTGCCTTCGCTGTTCTTCAGATTCTGATAAATTTTTTTTGTATTATTCCTTCTTTCTCTCTTCTTACCATTGTCTCTGCTGCTCTGCTGTGCGTCTCTCTCTCCCCGATACACAACAATCTACCACCACCTCCATCATCGTTTACCATCTTCCTTCCCGAGGAGAGAAAGCGAGAGGAGAGGAGGAGCAGCAAAAGGTTCCTTCCGGTGTTCTCTCTCTCTCGATTGTGGTTATGTAGAGGCGGGGGCTGCCGACGAAGAAGAGCGACCGTGGTTGATCTGGGGCCGGAGACGGAGGAGGAACGGGCAAGCGAACTGGGAAGAGGTGGTGCTGGTGCTGGTGGAGGAGGAAGAGGAGGAGGAGGAGTAGTTGGAGCCGAGGCAGAGGCAGGCAGGCAGACAGGCAGAGACCGCAGCGGGGGATTTCGCGGATTAAGATCAGCGGGAGGCGCTACTGGTTCTTGCGCTCGGAGGACCTCCTCGGGGGGTTTCCATCGGAAGTGTGTGCGTGTCTTTTTGCCGCGGTCGGATTTGAGTGCTGAGGAGGAGCCGTCTTTGCTTGCTACTCATGGTAGTAGCGGATTTGAGACGGCAATCCCTTGCGGTGGACAGACAGAGGTCGTAGGCAGCAGGGACATGTCACAGCTCTGATCGAGATAGTTTTCCCCTGAGAGCGACACCATGAAGGCGAAGAAAAAGCGGGGCGTCGAGGCCGTAAGACAATTCTTATCTTGATTTTCTAACTCTCTCCCCTCACTTGTTGATCTTACTCTGCGAGTCTCGGATGTGCCTTCTATATAACGATTGACAATTGCACGGTCTGGGGTCGTCATTTGCATCCTCGCCCTAGGCGCTGAGATGGATCGACTAGCTGCAGTGATTTCCTCGTCTCGAGCCGAGGGGCCTGATGGCGTTCGTGTTTAGGGTTGGCCGTTTCATCCTCGCCCGCCGAGCGCTCGAGTCCAACCCGATTATCGTTCACGCGATTTAGTTCCGCCGTAGGAGGCAATTGAGTGTCGATTGCAGTCTTCAGCTGCCGGGAAGGGGCGAGTCAGGACTCTTCCTGGCTTGTTTAGGGTCCCAACTATCCTCACACGCCAAGGCAAGATATATGCAGAGATGTCGAATTTTTCTACGGAGATGCGATTCGCTTAATTGCGTGTAGGGTTTAAAGGCGTCACTCTCCTCCCCTCCGTCGAAGCATACTCGAGGATACAGGTTTGCGTCTTGTCGATTACCTGTCCTGGGTTGAGAGCGGAATACTTTGGACTGGCATGTCTATCGGCGATCGTGTTATTGAACATCGACCCTTGAACTCCTCATTTGACAATCTGGACTAGAGGAAGCCTCCGATTTGTGCCCAGGATGAAGCATGACAGCGAGAAGCCTCAGGTGCGAAGGGAGGGCTTCTTCGTATGTCTTACACTTGAAGACACCTCATGCTTTGTCGGGAGATTAGAGCCTACTACTTGAACCGGAGCCTCGACCTAAATTGGTAGATGTTGTAAACATCATGTGATTCGCTGGTCCCCGAGTAGAACATGAATCATTTACCGTGTGAATTCAAGTGGTTGTGGGCAGTGTTCTGGATGCTTAGTTCTTTCTGACTATCGGATGCAGAGCTGGGCAAGCTCGGGGACGCTTTGACGTCTGTAATGTTCATAACTGTTCCAAGCAACTTAGGTTTGATGTCTCTTGTATGTGGGCATTTTCCACGAACGATGTTTCAGAGGTTGGTTAGGCTTTTGTCACAAGACCAACTTCGTGTGAGCATTGTCTCGGTGTTATACAGTTGAGTGGCTGACTCCACATTCATGTAGTTTTGACTTCGAGATGGTCAGTAGGTAGTTCCACTCGTCACCGAAGTAATTTGTTCGAGGATTGTTTCCCGAGCTGTTTTATAGTATGCATACAGCTCAAGAAACAAGCATTCAGTGCTCTTTGTTCTGGGCGGTTATACCAACAGTCCTTCGGCCACAGCTCTGTAGCTTAATATCTACCATTCGATGGTCTTTGTTCTAGAAACTCCTATCGGCCTTAGGATCTGCCTGATCAGTAGTCTCTATCAGCGCACAAATTGGCAATCCCCCCCTCTTCACACCTGATTTGTATTAATCATGGCATTTCGAAGTCATTTTCCTTTGACGTAGGGAGATTCCTCAATTTCAGTATACATTTCCACTCGTAAATCTTGAGATGAGTACAGGTAGCAGTCCGAGTCAGGGGTTTGTGATATTTTGATGTGGTGGAGTACATGTGTTTGAATGTAGTCTTCCGTGCTTCTTTTGATTTGTGGAGATTGAAGAGTTGCTGACTGGGTCCTGTGACATCTGGCAGCCCCTTCGAGTAAGGACATTCATCAATACTGTCATCAACACTCCCTTGGAGAATATCGAGGCTCCCTTGACCCGATTCTCTTGGGACTATGAGAAAGTAAGACTTCCTTTCAACGCATTTCGACAAGACTGCTTTACTACGGATGTTGTCTCCCTGTCCCATGTCGTGAATCTGAAGGGCTTACCAGTCGCTTACAGTGGTTTTCGTACACGTGCACCGCCTTGTGCTAGTTGTAGTGATCGAGCAGCTCTCTGTCCTATTGTGACGTCTTGTCCTTGTTTCTTCGAAAGAGAAGTAGTTTTAGTAGTCCTGTTTTAGGGTTCTGGTCGAGAATTAGGCTATTGATTCTCGATGTGCAACTTGATATCTGCGCAGGGTGATTTTTATCACTGGGTTGATCTTCTGAATCATTTCGAATCATTCTTTGAAAAGTACGTGAAACCAAGAAAAGATTTGCAGCTGGATGGCAACTTTCTTGAAGAAGAAAATCAGTTCCCAAAAGAAGCAGTTCTTCAAATCTTACGGGTCACCCGAATCGTGTTGGAAAATTGTATGAACAAGTTTTTGTACAATTCTAATGAGGTAGATAATACAAACTCTTCTCTCACTACTCCGTGAATGGACTTCATGCAAAAGCGTTTGTACAATATGCTGCTTCAACAATCATTTCAGGACCTCCTAAGTTTTTGCTTCCTGGACAGACAGAATATGTCTTGCACGAGGTTTTCCGGCAACTGTGCTGTTGTCACATGGACCGTTGTTCCCTTGTGTTTGATTTCGGCACTACATCGGAACGGTTCATGCTGTCGGTTTCGTCGATCATGCGTTTCTCATTATGCTTGCTTTCAATGGTTCACTGCCCACATCGTTCAGTATCCTGATTCAATGCCCGTCTTGTGGACTTTTGTTAGAAGACGCATAACATGTGTCATTGTCTTACATAACAGCTGAAATTTCTGTCTGTTTGGGAGCAGCATGTATCAGCGTTGTTCGCTTCTACGGATCCGGAAATAGTCATAGCGGCTTTGGAGACGCTGGCGGCTTTTGTCAAGAAGCCAGTGCAGTCAAACCGGGCTATGAGATGGCATGGTGATGCAGCTTTAAACGCTAGGCTTTTTTCATTGTCTCAGGGGTGGGGTGGCAAAGAAGAAGGCCTGGGGCTATTAGCCTGTGCTATTGAAAATGGGTGTGATGTAGACGCGTATAGATTGGGATCAACGCTGCATTTTGAGTTTTATGCGGATGGAAATACACAAGGGGAGGATGATGTGAAACCTCCCTCAAAAGCCTCTGGGTTGCAGGTCGTGCACATCTCAGATTTGCATCTACGACCAGAGAATGATCTTGAGCTGTTGAAGAAGCTCACAGATCAACATAAGGTGCCTCCTAGTCTTCGTTTCTCTTTGCTAACACGGATCAGATTTGCCAGGGCGTTTGCCTCTCTCACAAGCCGGAGGCAATACATCTGTATACGGTTACTTGCCTTCACCGTCTTGCTGCAGTCAAATCCTGATCACGAAGATTTGACGGCATTTTTCATCAACGAGCCCGAATTTGTGAACGAGTTGGTTACCGTGTTACGTTGTGAGGACACAGTCCCTGAGGATATCAGGATTCTTGCTGTGCTTGCTCTAGCAGCCCAGTCACAGGACAGACCCCGACAGTCGAGTGTGCTCACCGTTATTAGTGCGGGTGGTCATAGAGGTATCTTGCCTAGTCTGATGCAGAAGGCTGTTGGTTCAGTTACTGGTGGTACAGGGGGCTGTTCGGTTGCATTCGTGGAAGCTTTGCTCTCTCTTGTCACTGTCTTGGTTTCTTCATCCTCTGGTTGTGCCGCACTGAGGGAAGCAGGGCTGATACCCACTTTGCTCCCATTGCTGAAAGATATGAACCCTCAACACACTCATCTTGTCAGCTCAGCGGTTCACATTTTGGAGGCGTTTATGGATTACAGCAATCCTGCTGGTACTCTATTTAGAGATTTAGGAGGCTTGGATGACACTATTGTCAGGTTAAAGCTTGAAGTTAGTCGGGTCGAGGAAGGAGCTACGAAGCAGAAGGAGGAGTTGCAAGTCGATACCAAGGGGAAGGCTCCCATGATCGAGGACGGCGACTCTCAGCAAACTGCTCTTGTGCAGTCAGAGACTTTGATACCGTATCATCAAAGGTTGCTTCTTAAGGCTCTGCTGCGAGCCATTGCTTTAGGTACCTACGCGCCTGGAAGTACCGCACGTCTTCACGGCTCGGAGGAAAGCGCCCTCCCAGCGTGCTTATGCACGATTTTTAGACACGCGAAGGAGTTTGGAGGAGGTGTGTTTTCACTAGCGGCATCTGTCATGAGCGATCTGATTCACAAGGATCCGACCTGTTTCTCCTCCCTCGATGCAGCTGGTCTTCCCGCAGCTTTCCTGGATGCGATCACAAGTGGTGTGCTGCCCTCATCAGAAGCAGTTGGGTGTATACCTAACAGTCTTGACGCCTTGTGTCTTAACAATCTGGGTTTACAAGCTGTGAAGGATAGGAATGCTTTGGGTTGTTTTGTGAAAATATTCACATCGAAAATGTACCTGAGAGCCCTGGCAAACGATACACCTGGATCTCTCGCTTCTGGCGTCGACGAGTTGATGCGTCATGCTCCCTCACTACGAGGACCTGGGATTGATATGTGCATCGAGATACTGACGACCATCGCCACGATTGGAGGTGCAACGGAGGTCAGCACTCCACCTACTTCTCAGGAAGCTCCAAGCGCTGACGCGCCTGTTCCGATGGATACGGATTCAGAGGAACGGCCAGCTGCCTCACCAATAGCTGACGTGGATGTGGCACGCCCAGGTACTTCTCAGCAAGTCGTAGAACCAGCCGTGGAAGGGGCAAATGCCAATGTGGAAGCTTTTCTTCCAGAGTGCATAAACAACGTTGTCAGGCTTTTAGAGACCATACTTCAAAATGCGGATACAAGCAGAGTGTTTATAGAGAAAAAAGGTATCGAAGCTCTCCTTCAGCTTTACACGCTCCCTCATCTTCCTGTATCATTTGGTGGTTCATCGACAGCGCACAATATGTCAGTCACCTTTAGAGCTTTCTCTCCACAGCATGCCTCTGCCCTGACTCGGGCCGTATGCTGCGCGTTGAAGGACCACTTGAAAGTAACAGTTGAGCTGTTGGATTCTGTGGCGGGAGCGAAGTTGTCTGAGCTCGAGACTGGTTTAAGGAACAAAGTTGTTCGGTGTTTGTCTGCGGCGGAGTGTTTCATTTCCCTTACCTCGGTTCTGGTGCGAAGCTCTATAGCTATGATGCCGGAGCTCAGTGGGGGTGGTTCCGAGGTACTGAATGATGTAGGGAAGGTGCACAGAGAAGTGCTTTGGCAGATTGCACTTATCGATGACGCGAAAGTTGACCTGAAGAAGGAGAGTGAGACTGGTGGAAGCACACCTGGAAGTACAACTGTGAGTACTGGTACAAGAGAAGGAGAGGACGATACTGATGTTTACTCTGTCATCAGATACGTAAATCCTGTACCATCTCGCAACGGGCCTGCATCACATTGGGGTGTTGAATCTGACTTCCTTCCGGTGTTGCACAATGGAGGCGATGGTCCGCATCGTCGCAGGAGAGAGCATGCTGTGACCACGGAAGCTATAACGCAGATGGCCAGGCTTGGTCGACTTTCTCGGCACAACACAGATCCTGTCCAAGTCGATTTGGAAAGCGCTGGAAGTCTGTCCGAGACTCCTCAGGCTCCAGAAAACACCAAGCGCAAGTCACCTGATGCCGCAAATTACGAAATGATGACAAGACTTGTCGGAGCTGCCCGTGGTCTTTACGTTGCCCTGGGAAAAGCTATGGTTATCCCTTCTCGCCGTCGGGAGCAAGAACATGTGAGCATTAGTGGACCGGCGAAATCTGCTGCTTCCGCTCTTGCCAAGCTTTTGCGGGATGAACTGAGCTATGATGGCCATGGCACAACTTCACAATTAGAGCCACCTGTGTCAGTCAAATGCCGCTACTTGGGGAAGGTTGTTGAAGATATCATAGCAGTTGTCTTCGACAGTAGACGGCGGACTTGCAACACCGTCCTTGTAAATAATCTCTTCGCACATGGTGGCATTAAGCAGCTTCTGGTCACTTTTGAAGCGACAAGCCAGCTACTATGGAGAGTTCCACAGGCCTCTGGATCACCTATGGATACCGAGAATGGTAAGCCAGAGAGCAGTGACAAAGTAGAGGACAAGTCAGATAGCAACTCCTGGCTTCTTGATACGTTACGAAACTATGCACGCCTCTTGGAGCACTTGGTCACTTCATCGTTTTTATTGTTTCCGACTTCGATGGCACAACATCTTGTGCAACCAGTGGAAGGCGGAACGGAAACGGTGCCCAAAGATTCAGAGGCTTTCATACGAGCTCTTCAGGCACAGGTGTTGGAGGTTGTGCTCCCTGTGTGGAACCATCCTATGTTCCCTCAGTGCAGCGCTAATTTCATTACTTCAATTGCCGCAATCATCACGCATGTGTATACTGGTGTGGGGGATGTCAAGGGGCACAGGAACGGCAGTGCCGCACCTGGTGCCCGCCTTGTGGGCCCTCCTCCGGATGAGTCATCTATCTCTAGGATAGTGGAGATGGGCTTCTCCAGGTCCAGAGCAGAGGAGGCGTTGCGGCGTGTAGAAAATAGCGTGGAGATGGCGACAGAGTGGTTGTGTAGCCTTCCTGAGGGTGCTGCTCAGGAGGATGATGAGTTGGCACGTGCACTTGCGCTGTCACTTGGCAGTGCCGATGGTACTCCTAAAGAAGAAGCCCCTAGGAAGGGCAAGGAGGCTGTAGTTGAGGAAGAGGGGCCACAAGCTCTACCAGTGGAGGATATGCTCTCCACTTGCATGAACCTTCTGCAGAATACAGATGCTGTGGCGTTTCCGTTAACAGATTTGCTTGTTACGATGTGCAATCGCAACAAAGGCCAGGATCGTCCAAGAGTCATCTCCTACTTGATTCAGCAATTGAAGCAGTGTAAGGTGGAAGAATCGCAAAGTGATGGCAGCGCACTGTCAACAATTTCGCATACGCTAGCTTTAGTTCTGAGTGAAGATACCACGGCACGAGAAATCGCTGCGGAAATAGGCCTTTCCAAGATAGCTCTCGAGATTCTAGCGTCATTCAAGGTCCTTGCGCCCAGTAAAGACGCTGCTGGAGTACAGGTCGAAGTCCCCAAATGGGCCACGGCGTTGCTACTGGTTCTCTACCACATGTTACAGTACAAGCCGAAAATCAACTCTGATGCACCCACTCCGACTGCCGGGACTGCAGCTACTAGCAACAGCGCAGTGGCAGGTTCTGCGGCTGCTCCTGAAGCTTCCAAGCCGGATGTTGAAGTCGTGCAGAAGGAGAAGGAGGAGAACCCCTTTATTGCCATACTGGGTAAGCCAACGGGTTACATGTCAGAAGAGGAACAAAAGAAGGCCATGTCTGTTTGTTGCAATTTACTGCAAATGCAACTGCCAGCAATGGCCATCCAAGCTGTTCTTCAGCTCTGCGCTCGCCTTACGAAAACACATCCAGTTGCAATGCAGTTTCTTGAAGCAGGCGGGCTGATTGCACTTCTGGGTCTTCCCAAAGGCTGTCTTTTCACTGGTTTCGACAGTGTTGCTGCTGCCATTATCCGTCACCTTCTTGAAGATCCGCAAACACTTCAACAAGCAATGGAGTCAGAGATCCGTCACACTCTCATAGCAACTCTTTCGAGGCACAATGGCCGTGTCTCCCCACGAATGTTTTTGACAGCTATGGCTCCAGTTGTTTCCCGCGATCCTTCGATATTCATGCAGGCCGTTGCTGGAGTATGTCAAATTGAGACTGTGGCTGGTAGACCGAACATAGTTCTGGCTAAGGAGAAGGAGAAGGATAAGAAAGAGGAGAAGGACCGGGAGAAGGAGAAGGAGAAGGACAAAGAGAAGGACAAAGAGAAGGAGAAGGAGAAGGAGAAGGAGAAGGACAAAGACAAAGACAAGGAGAAAGAGAAGGGTAAAGCTCTTCAAGCTGAAGGTGTTGTTTCTCCTGTCGATGGAGGTCCTAAAGCCCACGATGGATCTGTAAAGTCTGTGAAGGGACATAAGAAGGTCCCTCACAGTTTCTCACAGGTGATGGACCAGCTTCTCGAGGTGATTTTACATTACCCTCCTCCTGGGAAAGAAGATGAGGTTATTGCACCTAAAGATGGCTCAACCACTGCAATGGACGTTGACGATCTGGCTCCTAAAGACAAGGGGAAAGCAAAAGTTGACGAAGTGGTGAAGCCCGAAGGTGACAACATCTCTGAGAGCTCAGCGGCGCTCGCTAAAGTGGCCTTCATTTTGAAGTTGACAACTGAGGTTCTCTTGATGTACTCCTCTGCTGTGAGCGTAGTATTACGTCGCGACTCTGAGAGCAGTCAAGGAAGAGGACCAGCGCAGGGAGGATTGGAGGTCATTGGACACGGGGGGCTTTTATACCATGTTCTCCATAGGCTTCTTCCATACCCCGGGGACAAGTCAAGCGAGAAGATGAATGACGACGAATGGAGAGAAAAGCTGTCTGATAGGGCGGGATGTTTCCTGATGTCAGTTTGTGTACGATCAGGAGAAGGGCGTAGACGCGTGGTTGTGGAGATCGCTCGTGCTCTGACTGCGGCCGCAAATAGTGCGGATGTCGGCGTTCTAAAGGGACTTCAACCCCCGAATAGGAAGGTGAGAGTCTTTGTTGATCTTGTCAACTATTTTCTCTCACATCACTCGTCATCTGGGACCACGCAGACTCCAGGTTTTTCTGCTGACATGGCGAAGACTATGATGGATGCCGGCATGGTTCAAGCCTTGACGCTCACCCTTCAGGTCATTGACCTGGATCATCCTGATGCACCTAAGCTGGTGAATGCTGTATTGAAAGGCATGGAAATTCTAACAAGAGCTGGAAGTAACGAGGCCGCCTTTGGCTCTGACGCTAGCAACCAAAAGAAGAGCACAGCGGAGGCAAGAGCTTCAGCTAGGGCCCTAGCTTCTGGAGGTAATGGGCATCCAGCATCTGATACACGGCAGGGAGATGCTCCATCCCAGACACGGGACGAGACAATGCGCGATCTGGTGCAAGCGGAAGCTCAACAGCTTGAGTTAAGTCTTCATCCATCAACCGGTGCAGACACTAGCAGGGAGGACTTGATGGAAGATGATCTTAGATTGGATCGAGAACTAGCAGAGGAAGCCGAAGCCCAGCTAGAGGCAGACGTCGAAGAAGAGTTGATGCGAGAAGCTGCTGAGGATGCTGCCGAGCTAGAGGACGCAGCTGCGGAAATGGCCTACAGGATGGAGCATGGTCCTGATGATGATGTCGGAGATGAAGACGATGACGAGGAGGACATGGATGGCGATGATGGAGACGACGATGGAGATGAAGACGAGGAGGAGGAGGAAGAAGATGAAGAAGAAGACGAAGATGACATTGAGGGTGACGAGGGAGTTCCCCATCTGTCTCCGCCAGACACAGATGTGGAGGACCATGAGGACAATGGACTCGGGGATGAGTATGAGGATGATATGGTCGAAGAAGAAGACGAGGATGATGACTGGCGAGAAGATCGGGTTATCGAAGTAAGGTGGAGGGACGGATTAACTGGACTTAATCACGTACAAGTGTTGGGTCACACAGGCACTGCCAACTTGGTCGATTTCTCTGGTGATCCTTTTCACGGCATGAATATGGATGATGTTTTTGGGAACTTCAGGCGTCCTGGTGGTGGAGATAGGCGTCGAGCCACGGCTTACCGAGCTTTTCCTGAACGGCCCGGGGGAGACCGCGGAGGTGCTTTCCATCATCCTCTATTAACCCGACCATCTCCAACTCCAGGTGTTGGATCCACAGGGCCAGTTATGACCGGGAGTCTATGGCCAACAACTGGAAGCTTTGTCAGAGATGCAGAAGCCTTAATGGGTGGTGGTAGCGGTCTGGATGTTACTCACTTTTACATGTATGATACACCCATACTTCCAGATCATGCTGTGGATGGCCTGTTTGGGGAAAGAGGTGTTGTTGCCCCACCTCCACCGCTCCTCGACTTTTCGATGGATCCTGTCTACCTCATGGGTAGACGTGGAGGGCGTGCAGATAGCAGACTGAGTAGCTGGACCGATGATGGGCAACCACAGGCAGGAGCTCATGCAGCCGCTGTCGCACAAGCCATTGAGGAACAGTTTATCTCTCAATTACGACTCCTTGTACCCGGAGAAGATCAGCCAGCTGGTCCAGCGGGTAATGTCACTGCACCTGAGAGCACAGAGGCAGCTGATGCAAGACTACCCGATGCCGCAGAGGATATGGAAGGTGCAGAGCCTGAAGGTCCCCACCCAGTGACAGAGAGCAGTATGACTGAGCAGAGAGACACGCCTAGGGTAGGCGAGCCAGAACCTGCAGCTGGCGAAGGAGGAACTGTCACCACCTCAGCTGGTGTACACGGATCCAGTATAGTGGAAGCCGAGTTGGCACGCTCTGGGGAGCCTGTCGCTGCATCAGGCACAGATTTAGATGTGCAAATGCAAGACGAGAGGAACGAGCCAGCGAATAGAGATGTAGAAGCTGGTAGCCAAGATAGTGGAGAAAGTGGTGCAACCGTGGGCGAAAGTCTTCGCAGCTTGGAAGTAGAGATTGGAAGTGCGGATGGACGTGATCCAGACGAGAGACAAGCGGGTCCGGATAGGTTGAGCACTGGAGAAATTCAGAGAACTGCCGTTGTGGAGGTTGTACCTGGACAGGTGGGAACGACTGGAAGGGCCGAGCGTGGTGATGCAGATGAAGAAATGGATGGGTCAAGCCGGGCAGGCCGACCGGGTGATGAGGCTGAAACTGCCGATAGGTCAGGTTTGGGGGCTACACAGGAAGAATTAGCCGGACCAGTACCCGCCAGTGCTGGAGCTGGAAACAGGGGAGAGGAAGAAGGTGCACGCAGGGGTGAGGGGAATGCTGGTGTGAATGCCATTGATCCAACTTTCCTAGAAGCTCTTCCCGAAGATTTGAGAGCCGAAGTATTGGCATCACAACAAACTCAGACCATACGAGCCACGAGCCACCCTCCCCCTCCTGCAGAAGATATCGATCCAGAGTTTTTAGCTGCCTTACCTCCCGATATCCAGGCTGAGGTCTTGGCACAACAAAGAGCCCAAAGAGTTGTTCAAGCCCAGCAAGTGGAGGGTCAACCAGTTGACATGGACAGTGCGTCCATCATTGCCACGTTCCCTGCAGAGCTTCGTGAAGAGGTAAGAGTCGACATGTAGTTGTCCTTCTTTCAATTCAGATTTCTATGTTCAGTCTGTTTTTCGCAGTCACCCCAGTCTTCGAGAATCTCAGGAGGAATCTTGCTAGATTCAATATGCTGTTTTCAGTAAAGATGAAGTCTCAAGGGTCATACTGAATATGGCTCTCCTACTTGATGGGGTTTTAGGTTTTGTTGACATCTTCGGAGTCTGTTCTTGCTGCACTGCCACCTGCTCTTATTGCGGAAGCACAGTTGCTACGCGAGAGGGCGTTGAGTCAGTATCAATCTCGAGGCTTGTTCGGAGGCCACAGAATTGGAAGAGGGAGAAACAACATGGGTGTTGGTACTGGAGGTGGTGCAACGGCGATTGATCGGGGTGTGGGAGGAGCTACAGGGTTGCCGATTGGCCGCAGTAGGAACACCATGCCACTTAGTGCTGTAGGGAGAGTAAAAGAAGCTGAAGGGAAGCCTCTTGTAGATACTGCTGCTTTGAAGGCAATGCTTCGGCTTCTACGATTAGCTCAGGTTTGTGTCGTCTTTCTTTGTCCGTTGTCGTCCTTGCTGCCCAAAAGTTCCTTTTCGGTCGACTCAGTTGAGCATTGTCGCGATTCTACACGTCTCAGGCTTAGGATCTTCTTTCTCTTGTCTTTTGATCTCTTTCTAGTTATCGAGTCACTTTTCCTATTTCTAGACATGTGAAGGACGTGCTACCGACTGAGTCTGTATAGTGCACTCTCTACTATCTTCTTTTGACCCTGCTGAGATGTGGTGTGATTGACATATTGCTTCTGTTTCCTGCAGCCTCTTGGAAAGGGTCTACTTCAAAGGCTCCTGCTGAACCTTTGTGCACACAGTGTAACTAGGATCACTCTGTTGCAACTTCTTCTGGACATGCTTCGACCAGAAGCCGAAGGTATTTCGGCCGGCGCATCGTCTGCCGATGGTGCCCCGTCTCAACGCCTCTATGGCTGTCAGTGGAATGTTGTTTACGCCCGTAGCCAGCTATCAGATGGTAAGCTGCTGTTACATTGTCGATAACATTTATCCATCTTGTGCCGAATTGTCTCTGATGATATGAATGTGCGCCGTTGCACAACTGGGAGTTTTCGCACCCCATTTGTCTTACTAAGGTTTTTGCCTCTTCGCAGGAGTCCCACCCCTTGTCTCCCGGCGCGTTCTGGAAATTTTGACCTACTTGGCTCGTAGCCACTCACTTGTCGCAAACCTGCTGCTTTACCTTGAACCCTTGAGTTTGTCACCGTCCTCGACATCTGAAAGTTCTGCCGCTAAAGTACACGATGCCAAAAAGGAAAAGGGAAAAGCAAAGGTGGTGGATGGTCCGGCTGTACACGAAGAACCTGAGCCAAAGCCCAAGGGCGAGATTCCCCTGATTTTGCTGCTGAAGTTACTGAATCAGCCACTGTACTCCCGAAGCAGTGCCCATCTGGAGCAGGTTTGACCAGCTGTTTTCCCCTAAACGAGAGTTGCAGTTAGATCTGCTCAAAGCTTATTTTGCCATTTAAATCGAATCCAAATTTGCTTCTGTAGCTAACGACGTCTTATGTACTGTATTCAGGTAATGGGCCTGCTTGAAGTGGTGACTACCAATGCTGGAGCGAAAGCAGAGTTGAGAGCCCGAACTAAGGCTACAGATGCCGGAAATACGACAGCCCCTGTAAGTGGGGAGTCAACTTCCACTCAAGGTGCTACTACCGCTCCTGCTGGACAAGCAGCAGCTGCAGTTCGTGATGGGGAGGAAGGAACTGAAGCTGTGGGGCGAAGCCGAGCCGAACCCACGACTGTGCCCAGTGAACTGAAAGTGGACACAACCCGACCTGATGCAGATGGTGTGGAACCATCCACGTCGGGCCTCGATCACCAGATGGATCCAACAACTGTACTTTTGAGTCTTCCTGAACCAGAACTTCGCAACTTGTGTAAACTCCTGGCACGTGAAGGGTAAGATTTGAAACTTAAGAATAGGAGGTAGATTGGGTTGTAAGGGGGTTTAAGAAGTCCTCTTTCTGCTTGTTTTTCGAGATCGTAGGAGAAGATTTAAGTGGTTTATCTGACCGCTCTGCCCTCAATCCTGTATGGACAGGTTGTCAGATACGGCCTACTCACGGGTCGCGGAAGTTTTGAAGAAGTTAGCTATTGCCGCGCCTCCTCACCGAAGACTATTTGTCACAGAGTTGGCAGATGCTGCGCGTAGACTGGGCAGTCCAGCCATTAACGAACTCACAAATCTGGGAGATGCTGACACTGCCGTTGTGAGTACGACATCTATGGCAGGCGCTGCAATTCTTCGAGTCTTGCAAGCTCTAAGTGCTCTTACGTCGCTTGGCAGCTCAGAGAAAGAAAATGATCAAGATATGGTCGAGAAGGAACAAGAAGACGGAATGAGTGTCATTAGGGATCTGAACTCTGCTTTGGAAGGTCTATGGCATGGGCTGAGCATCAGTGTCGGCAAGATAGAAGGCCGGTTGGGTAATTCTTCAGCTTTGTCAACGCCATCAAGCAGTGCAGCGGCGGCTGTTGTTGGTGCTGTGGGAGTTCCGCCACCTTTACCTCCGGGGACCCAAAAGTTGCTACCCTTCGTGGAAGCTTTCTTTGTACTATGTGAAAAAATGCGTTCGGGGCCCGCGATTGCAGGTCTTTCGGAACCTGCTAGTGCAACTGCCCGTGAGGTTAAGGAAGCTGCTAGTTCGTCGGCGTCAGAATTGGCCATTGTAACCACTCCTAGGTCACCACCTCCTACTCCTCAGAGAAAGCCAGATGATAAGGGCATGACTTTTATTCGATTTGCGGATAAGCATCGACGTCTGTTGAATGCCTTTGTGCGTCAAAATCCTGGTCTTTTAGAGAAGTCCTTGTGCTTGATGCTGAAAACGCCTCGTCTGATTGACTTCGACAACAAGCGGGCCTACTTCCGCTCGAGAATAAGACAGCAGCATGAGCAACAGCATTACACTCCTCTTCGAATTTGTGTAAGGAGGGCTTATGTGTTGGAAGACTCGTACAACCAGTTGCGGATGCGCACTCCAGAAGAATTGAAAGGTCGTCTTACTGTACAATTTCAAGGCGAGGAAGGTATTGATGCGGGAGGTTTGACACGAGAATGGTATCAATTGCTATCTCGTGTTACTTTCGACAAAGGGGCTCTTCTTTTCACCACCGTAGGAAATGAATCGACGTTCCAGCCCAACCCGAATTCTGTTTACCAGACAGAGCATCTGTCTTACTTCAAGTTCGTAGGCCGCGTGGTAAGCAGCTAGGAGCCTCTCTATTCATGATTTTCTTTTACGTAGGCGGTGGGGGAGAAGGACGAGGCAGTCAAACCTCTTTTGACGGATAACAGCCTATGATAAAATGCTCACTAGTTTTGACAGTTCTCAGCCTGTTGAAGGAACCTACTAACTTGATGCCTTTTCTGATACAGGTCGCCAAAGCACTTTTTGATGGACAATTGCTTGATGTATATTTTACTCGGTCATTCTACAAGCACATATTGGACGTGAAAGTCACCTACCATGACATAGAAGCCATTGATCCCGATTATTATAAGAATTTAAAGTGGATGCTCGAGGTATGTTCCTGCAGTACACTCGAAATATCTATGCTTTGTAGACGGGTGCCACCTTTTTGTCGGTATAATGCATGTACTTTAGGGCAGATAACTAACCTTTAGCGTAGTTGTCTTCGCGAAGTTGCCGCTTTTGTTGTTGAAGGGAGAGTTTTCCTTAAGGTTCTCTATTTGGTACATTCAATTGAAGCAATACCATCCATCCTGCGTTCATGAATTGTGACTGTACGTCGCTGTCTCATGGTGTCAATTGACAAAGTGTTCCTCGTTGATGTTTTCACAGAACGACATCAGCGACATACTAGGTCTTACCTTTAGTATGGATGCCGATGAGGAGAAGCATATCCTATATGAAAAGACCGAGGTCTGTATTTTCCCACCGGCTTCTTTGCTGATAAGCGCATGGATAATAAATAATTTCGAGAGAGAATGTCACGTGCTTGTTTTTTTCATTGTCCTTCGCTTGTTTTATAGCGACTTTTCGATTAGCTACATTGTCCTGACACGAAGTTTGTTTTTCCTGGTTAGGTGACTGATTACGAGCTTATTGCGGGTGGTCGAAACATAAGAGTGACCGAGGAAAATAAGCACGAATACGTGGATCTCGTCGCGGAACATCGCCTCACAACTGCTATTCGACCACAAATTATCCATTTCTTGGAAGGTTTTCAGGAGCTTGTCTCAAGTGATCTCATATCTATCTTCAACGATAAGGAGCTGGAGCTTTTGATCAGCGGTCTTCCTGAAATTGACTGTAAGTCTCTCGTATATTTTACTTTTAGACTCTAGTATGTCTTTGGTCTGTGTCATTTGGTCTGGATGAAGTGCTGTTTATCTGATTGGTGTGAACAGATGAATCTTGCTTGAAACGTTCTACCTGTTGTGCTTGTACTGTAGTGGAAGATTTGAAGGCGAATACAGAGTACACGGGGTACACTGCAGCATCCCCTGTCGTGCAGTGGTTTTGGGAGGTTGTCCGCGCCTTCAACAAGGAGGATATGGCACGACTACTGCAGTTTATTACTGGGACTTCTAAGGTAACTCCGCCACAGCCTCTTCAGTAGCGCAAAACTTCGTAGACAAGGTGACATCGTGAATCTTGCATTTCGATTATCTCTTATGTTATGGAACATAACGTATTGCGGCCATTACAGTTTGCAACAGCTCTTGCTTAGTCCTGGTCGACCGTCTAGTACTGCTATAACTAACTCGTGACGAAGTCTATTCTCAGCAAGTCCAGTAAGTAGACAGGCAAAGCTTTCTCCTGTGTCATTCTCGCTATCAACTTGGGCAGCCAATGTTATTAGAGTGCTGTGTGGGATAAAGCTCTCATTATGCGGTGATGCCGAACGACGTTTTTCGTACTTTTTCTTACTCCGGATATGTATCAGGTGCCGCTGGAGGGTTTTAGGGCTTTGCAAGGCATATCTGGTCCTCAAAGGTTTCAAATTCACAAAGCATATGGGGCTCCCGAACGGTTGCCATCCGCCCACACATGGTGAGTAAAAATCTTTTAATGGTTCAAAGCTCTTTCCGTTGGTAATACTTTCCCAATGTGTTCATACGGATTCGTTTCCTTCAGTAGAGTTATTTTCATGAAAAGCAGAAGTGTTTGCATGTTATCTGTTGAGGACGAAATGGTTTGCGCCGAGTGCTTGGCATATTGGTCTTTGACTCCTTCCCTTGTGAAATGCGCAGCTTTAACCAACTTGATCTTCCCGAGTACGCCTCGAAAGAGCAACTTCAGGAACGTCTTTTGTTGGCAATTCATGAAGGAAGTGAGGGTTTCGGATTTGGATGAGGAGCGAGTAGCTGCCTCTACTGCTGTCTACGTAGGATAAAGGATAGATAGGATCTCAATGTGTTATAGTTCATATAATGTAGAGGAAGGTGTAGGTTTTTTGATAATCGCTGGTGGTAGAAGGCCGGCAGCTGATGCAGAAGACATTCTCAGCAATTGTTTGAAAAATGCCTTGTAGTAATGTGTATGCACGGGGACAAGGAGGGGAGATGATGGAGAGATAACTGAGGTAGGATTGGGGTTCGAGGAAAGCCTCATGCCCTGACTTCCTATTGTGTAAATGGTTTCCTTACCACTCTCGAGAGAAAATAATTTGATTCGACCATAGGTCTTGTTCATTGTTCAGCTCTTAGCACTCAATTAGGAACCGACACGAGTGCTCGTAAGCGGGCGCTTACGAGCAGCCTTCCGGTTCCAAATGGACGTTACATCTAGATATGATCTGAATGTATGTGACACGATATTAGAAAGGTCTACTACCCTATTCTGGCCCCCATCTTTGTTTGAACTAGCCGCAGTCTCCCTTCAGCCTTTTTTATGTGATCTTAGATGTGAAACTGCTATAATAGGCCCGAGAGGTTACATGACTTCTTACGTGCGCGACAGTTAGTTTATGTCACCGAGCTTTACGAAGCCTGTCGAAGCCTGTCGGTCTACCGGGTTGCCTGAGATTTGGTTGGCCCATCCACCCGGCAAATAAGCTAAAAGGAGATCTGGAAATATAAACCACTGCACCCAACTAGAGTGAGAATCTATGTTTATGAACAGCAGAGCGATAGAGCAGTAGAGCAACAGACGCATGGCTGATCCCTAGTGCCTTCTACATGCTGATGTTATCTCATTAGTGTGCGGTCTAGTTAGTGCGCTTTTACAGAGCAGTTAAAACGTTGGAGTGATAGTTCTTGCCATAATAGCTCTTCGCGCATTTGGATGAGAAATGTCCAAACAGTGTAGGAAGTGAATGTAAAAAATGGACCGTTAATTTCACTCACAGTTGTTAAATTCGTCGCGGGAGTTGTCATGGGAACAAAGACAAGTGAGAGTCTAATTCTTTCCTCGTTGCGCCGAGGATCGGTCTTTCTCATTATCTTTTCCCCTTTTGTACTTTCTTTTCCCCTTATACCGTCTGTGGTGATATTTCATATGGAGGAAACACCGAATCTGTTGCGGCTGTTGATGTGGAGCTTGAACACGTTGTTTTAACCAAAACTCAACATTCCAAGTACCCACTGGAGAGACTAAATATTTTAAAAATACCCCCTCCTAGTCATAGTATAGTGTTTAGTGCAGTAAATGGTCGTGATGGTTATGAGATGACTGAATATGACTTCGGAGATGATACTGAGTAATGAGAACGACCCACACATTGAATATAAGTCATAACACCTGTCATTATTATTGTATTAATTGCTCATAGTATGTTCTTTACTCTTTACCGTTAAATTCCACTTTACTTTCACATGCTAGAATTTATTCCGTGTTACAATATATTCTGTTGCACACCCATTTAAAACAGAAGTAACCGCGTGTTATCTTTTAATAACCTTTCCACCTACTGTACATCAATTACTTCTAGCAGACTATCTAAGTACTCAAAATTGCAAGCCAACATTAAAAGCTATTTACAACAGCTCTATGTTATATTAACTATTAAAACTTTGAAGCTTTAAACTATCGCCAACTCATGCGGGTAACGAAGTTTAGCTTGTTTATGACTAAAATTCATTTCTATAGGCCAGAATTGACCCTGGATATTCTTCTGAAGACCCATGCAAAACGTAATTAATTATCAGGCCCGGAAGCACCCACAGGCCTTCTTCGGCAGCAAGTGAAATCCGCACACGAGACGAGAATCAAAAGACTCGAAGAACGTAGATGTTGCAAACTTCAAACTGCAGGACATACTGAATTGTAACGTCGAAGGATAGAAAAAGGGAAGCTAATTCTATGACGGGTGAACGTTCTCAATGAGAACTTTGGAGTGACTTTGAACACGTAGGATAATATGAAAGTCACGCAAAATTGATAATGGGCACCACTAACGCTAAGCACGATAACAGTTTTAAGCTGATGTAACAGGTACGTACAATTCACAGAACAATGCCACATAGACCATTTGATAGGATCAATACAAACTGTTTAAAGTCTCTTGTTTCAAGAAATCTTCAGTTGTATTAAGATAAAGGCCTTGAGCTGCAGATTTGAATAACCGATCGATTTGATTGATCGACAATATCTAGCTCATAGTATGCCCTTCTTTTTAATGAAATTTTGCATTGCTTTCGACTACACCATCTATCATCTCAACATTTTTTATCTGGCAGATGAAACCTTAGACTGGAGTTGATAATCCAATTGCTAAGAGTTGTGAAACAATAGAATCAGGTGGTAGATTAGAACCACTTGATCTCACATCCCGAAATTAAGTTGAAGCCATATCTGGTGACAACTCTAAGTCAAAAGTGAAGAAATCAATGAAAGAAATTGTCTGACAGTTATCAAAGATGACAGAGAGAAGAACTTGGTCCGGTAAAGCTCTAGTAGACTTTAGTGGGTTTTCAGGTACGATGAAACTCTAAGATGTGATGAACAAAGTTCCATCGTGGACCTTATAGGATCAGAATTTAGCATGCAAAAGCAAAAGAACTCTTTAATTGTTCACTTGGCTAACAACGACAAAATTCTAACTCCTCACCAACCCGCTACAGGATTACCACCGACAATAAGCTGGCACATTTTTCTACAATTGCAAATTATTGCAAATATTTATTCATCAAGCTGGCGTTCTCAATCTCTATGACTTTTGACCTCGTACCTCCTCGTGCAGCTGCACGAGGAGTTTTCTAGAAGTACAAGAATGTTAAAAAAATTTAAAAAATATCAAGATCTAAGTTGGTGATCAAGTTCAAAGAGAGTATGTCATTATGCCACAATAGAAATGCAATCAAAACTTGTGTCTAAATGACTTCAAACAAAGTCTGCCATGTTTAAACAATAATCTCATAAGCAATAATTTTATCTTTTTATTCTTATAAATCTAAAAAATAAATGTTGAATTTTTTTGAATATTAATTATGTACATGTCATTCAACTAATTGGTAAATTTTTTATTGTATTACCTTTTTTAAAAATTATATATTTTTATTATATAAAATTATAAAGTTAAATTCTAAGAATAATTAAATTTTTTTTGAAAAAACCTATTAAAAACTGCATCTGATTCAGATCACAGTTTTATTTGAACATGCAAGTATAATATTTAAAGTTCACTCAGATCTTTCAAAAAATAAATACTTTTGGTTTTATCATTCTGATTTTATCATGACTTTTCGTCACATATATTTTGGAGATACAAATATCTTTGAGGCACCTTAAATCAATTTAAAGATCAAAGTAAATGTGATTTATTTATATCATGAATAACAAAAATCTTTCTGTTTTTCAAAAATAAATTTATTGTATTTATTTTACTGTTAATAAATAAATAAATAAATAGATATAATATGTGTCTTTCATCAAAACTTATAAAAAAAGATATAATTATATTGATTTTAGATCCAATGCCATCAAGATTGAATTCACTTGAATTAAAGATCAATTTTGTAAATTAAAAATTAATAAAAACTTATATAATACTGATATTGGTTTTGAAACATCAAGTGTATCATTCATTGGCAGTTATTTCTTACAAGAAACTATTTACAAAATATTTTTAGTTCTTCATATATATATATATATATATAATATTAAACATTTTTATAAATAACAAAACTAAAATAACTTGAAAGATATTTTGACCGAGCAATTAAATATAGTTTAGAAATATTTATGCTTCAGCATAATTTACAACAAAAAATGTATTTACAATCTCCAAATGTCTAACCTATCAAAATTGCAACCCCTTAACTTGTTTGTATCATATTGTGCAATTTTAGGATAAAAATGTGTAATCAAGGACTGAAATCAATTTAGATAAATCAAATAAATTTAGCACCAGCATTTTAAGTAATAAAAAAATTATATTTTTTTTCTTATTAACATATGGTTTTTTTTTGCTTAAATTTTGTAAATGAAATTGCACTTATTGAAAATTTGCTAAAAATGTGTGATGGGCCGACTCAAAAATGAATTTTGTTTTGAGAGGTCACACATCTAAACTCCAATCTTAAGTCCGTGATTTGCCATTGATTTTCTTTGAGGTTTATATTGATGAATATCTAGCTCTCTAATGTCATAATCTATATCACAAATAAAAGTCAATCTAAATTAAAATAAATTAGAATCAATTGCTAACAATCTTTTTATGAATTCATAGTGTGGTCATAATAAACTCCATAACTGATGTACAAGTCTAGAATTCATTTTTATAACATCTTATTTCTATAAATTATAAGGATGAATTTTCTGTATATTACCATATGATTGAATTAAATATTCATGGTGTGGATTGTAATAGATCCATTTATAAAATCTACAACGTTTGAAGTAAGTATTAAATTTTTTTAATAGTTTAAGTTTATTTAATATATTATTAAAAGATTCATTTCGGATATTATGAATATCAAAAGTGAAATTATGATATAAAACAAATTCAAGAATAATTAATTTACAGTTTTATATATTTCTTTTATGAAAATATATTATAGAGGAGAAAAATTCTGAAATTTTTTATTATGTTGAAATTAAATTCATTTAAATATGCATGAAATAAAAAATTATTTTTAATTAATTTTTTTTAGAATATCATCACTCAAAATCCAGTCTTAAAGTTTCAAAAAAATAAATAAAGGCTAAATTTGAATTTAATTTTCAATAAATATACCTTCAGAAATAATTTTTGATGATATAAAAACATAAAATTGAAAAATTTTATCAAATTTTTTTTCTAATTCTCATTTCTTCTCATTAAAAAAATGTAAATTAATTTAAGGATTTCAATTAATTATAAATAAAATACTAAAATTTCATATTAAAGAAATTTAATCATCTCAAAATCTGTAATTATTTTTTTATTTTTTCAAATTTGTTGTTATGTCAAATTTTTTATTACAAAGAAAATATTCTTGGGTTTATAATTATTCTCAACATGATTCAAATTTTTTTGTCTTATTTTTATTTATCAATATAAATATTAGAAAAACTCGCATTCTATTTAGCTTCAGATTATATTGAAAAGTGATACCTAATAAGATGGCTAAAAAACAGATAATAAACTGTACTATGTACATAAATTCATATTTTAGAAGTAAAGTGATGATCTGAAATAAATGAACAGATTTAAATTATGAATAGCATATTATGTGTACATAATATGCTATTCATGCTACCACATAGATTATTAAAACTACCACTTTGCACT